TTTTTTGCTTAGTACCGAGCCTTTTCAATGATATTTTCCAGTGGCTTTCTCCGATACTGATTTGACAAAAAGAACTGCCAGATAACAGGCAACAAACATCGCAATGACGGACACTATCACTGTCAACCAAGTTATGACTTTTACAGCCTGGCAAAGAAACAGATCATCAGTAATAACCCAATCTTCAAAAATAAATTCATAAACATATTGAATAATTATTGAAATCATGGTAAAAAACGGAAGTGCTCTTCTCGATTCTTGAGCAATGTCAATATCGAATTAACTGCCTCTTTGATGAAGCCCCCTTTCATTTCATTGCATCCTTGTCGTGAAAAAACAGGCCTTGGCCATGCACACATTTCATCCCAGCCCTGCGAGAGACTAAAATTCCCAAGTGTGACGACATAAAATCCAATTTTAGATTTGGAACAATTTCACCACGCACCCTGAATAAATATCATTAAATACTTGCTAGAATGCAAAATCAGTAAAGTCTATTTCTAAAAACCTACTTTTATGATATCAACTTTCTGCAACTTTACTCTTCATCATTTATGCAGACGAACAAAGCGTTGCATGTATATTGAGTATTTTTCTTTAAACTTTATGCTTTTATTTTGCCAGAATGCGAAATGTTTATGTTGTGATTTTCAGCTCATTTGTGTTAAGAAACTCCTGACATCTTCTAATAATACTCCTTCTTCAAGACTCAACTTTGACGATGCTTATTTAAAAGAACATAGCAATTTGATAGAAGAATATTGGTTGTAATAAATAAATTTAAATATTTCCCTGTCGAAAGTTTTACATCGATTATTTATTACGTCGGGGTGTTACACCCCTCCCCAAGTCTTCATGAGTTTGTCGGTAGATTTTCAGTTGGCCCAAAAAATCCATGGTTTAACGGTAAAATTGTCTATCTGTAGGTCACATAGCATCTAAACTTCTCTTCATCCATGTCCTCGTCGGTAAACTTTATTACTGATGACCCTCCACCCACAAAGTCTAGAAGGTCAACCTATGACACTGATTATAGCTTTAATCAATAACATGTTATAAAATATATTCACGATTTAGTGAAAGTGGACCATCACAATTTACAGCAACGGTCAGAAGAACTAAGCACTGGAAACTTACCAATTGATTGGTAGACGTTGTTTCTTGTACTTCAATGGGGGCTGATCCAATAGCTGTTTTTAAGAAAAATATAATTGTATCGCTCAGCAGCAAATTGTAGTTACCAATCAGGTTCAGCATTATGTTATCAATAAATTAAGAAAGCTGTTGCAGTTAGGAAATTTGGAACATTCTCAAAATCTTTAAACACAAGCATTACTTGATTTACTTGGAAAAATCATCATTTACATGACAGCAACCCTAATTGAATACGTGGGAATGTGAGCAGTTGATTAGCAACTCCCACTGCAGTTCTGGCCAAAGGGTCGGCAAAAACGTCTGAAAATGAATTATACGATATTGGATTATTTCTAGCTCATTTTTAGTTCATAGTCCACACAATATCCAGTATTTGTTGCAAGTTATTGTACATTTTAGTATGGCCACCTGCAAATCATTAATTCGAATTTAGAGACTACTGTAATAAAGAAATTATTCGCACTGAGAGATCACCGTCGGTAAAGAAATAATATCAATCAGCCAAAGAGCCACGATAGTCAGCAGCAGCTGATGTCAATATCACTCGTTATAAGTCATTTTTTCAGTGTAGAAAGACATTCATCAATTTGATATGTTGGCAAGATCCTTCCCGCCACCTTGTATGATCTAAGCACGAGAATGGGACAAAGGGAGGATATGTGAAGCAACGCAGCCTTCCCTAGCCTGATCCTGTCCTTGCACTGAAATCTGATCCTGCTCTTAGTCTGCTCTTATCCTGCTCTGACAGTGCCAAGCTCAAGATCTGAACCTTTCTTGATCTTGGATTTTTTCAGCCCTGATCCTGTCCAGATCCCGCCCTTGCCTTACCCTTTTCTGACAGTATTCGTACCAAGGCTTTATCCTTCCCTGGTCCTGATCTAGTTCTGTGCTAGCCCTGCCTTAGCCGAATCCAATCCCTGCCCTAGATTTGACTAAGCCCTACCCAAGCCCTACATCCGATCTTGTCCTAGCCCTGCCCTGAACTCTTCCCTCCCTAATCCTCCTCCTGACTCTTCCCTCCTGCGCCCTGCAATATCCCGTTTGCTCTAAGCGAATGTTTACATGACATAAGTATTCAAATGCATATAATAACTGTGCATGTAAATAGAGAAAACTCACCATTTTCTTGAAACTTTGCATATCTAAATATCTCAGCCAGAACTGCAGCACATGGAAGAAGGAAAAACCAGACTATCAGCGGCTCAAGATGCACAGACAGCAAGTGACAGCCATACAACGCCGATATAGCTGAAAGAGGTATGCCTAAGAGTTATGTCTTCATATTAGTGCAACCGCTACTAGTTTGAACAAAATGCTTAGGTGTCTGATAGTTACATAGTGACAAATAAATCTTTTAAAAGTTATCAGCCAATTTGGATTGATACTTTTAAACAATTAATCAAAACTTCTACAAAATAATTGACCAAATTGAAATGACCAGCAAAAATCTATGATACACGGTTATTTCCATCTGTTCACGATTTCAATGCATGTAGTTGCACTATAATACTTACATCCGCCAAGCAGGGTCGAAATTCCAAGGATTTTATGCAGTACATTGAAAATCCATCGGCTGAAAAATAAATTGTATGTGCACTTACATTGAATTCTTTATGTTTGCAAAATTGGAATGCATACGAGGTATGTACAAAACTGCAAACGTAAAAATATCAGTTGAGGTTGTTTGCATCTGAAATTATCTTACCAAATAGAAAAAACGTTTTAAGAAGTGCTTGAAATGCAGATTATGTTGTGTAGCTGAGTAAGGCTGGAAACGACAAGAGGCAAAATCATTTCTTGGAGCAGGCCAATTGCCAAGGAAATAAAATCTAATGACGTCGTAGCCGAAAGTTGAGTTGTTAAGCCAGTAATAATTGCCGAAAATTTTGGATGGGATGTTTTTAATGCAATAAGCCTGCACCGAATATTTATCATTTTCGAAAATTTATTATTATAAACTGATGCTGAACTTTATTTGAGAGTTCTTTTCTTTGATCTTTCTAGAACTATATCGCCACAATGCCCCCAAGATAGTATTGTATTGAATGCCCCCCCCCCCCAAGATAGTATTGTACAAAGTATTGAAATACCTTGGTGCAGTTATGCTTGGTCTGAACACTGCCACCAGCGTCTGAAAAGACATAACTTAATAGTAAGGCAGAATTCTAGCTTTGCAAGAGAAAGGGCAATGAAAGATATTCTTCATAACGAAGACAGTCTTTCCTTATGAACAATATTTTTCATGGAAGTGGGACTTTAAGGGTTTTTTCTAAAAATTGTCAAATTCTAGATTTAAACTGATCTTACATAATATTTTTGCAGTCTTACATAATATAGTGTAGGTTTACTGTCACAAGTTTTGAGCAAATTAAAAACATCAACGAATTTCTCGCAAGGGCTCTCACTACTGTGAACGGACATCGCAAAATTAAAAACAAGCTTCTGTAAAACATAGGGTGTGCGTCTCTACTTTAGTGCATCCTGAAACGACATCCCTGATAGACACAAACTGACAAAATTTGCAGCTTTGGCAAGTAATTCCGTTATAGACCCTACCTACCTGTAGAATAGCTGACAGGAACGTGAATATACCAATATATGGATGAGGCCCAGCCCCCTAAAGAGATGAATTTTTGAATGAAAAAATTGCTTTGAACACGGTGGAGTTATGATAAAAAGTTACATTTGTCATTATTCTTTCTAAAAAACTATAATTTGACAAAGGATAGAAGAAGCTAGTCCATTAAAAATGTTCAAGTCGATTCATTTAAAAATATCGAATAGATCTGCCAGATATATTCAAGAATAATTTCCAAAAATTGAATAACTGGAAGCATTCTGTTAGGAATATTTTTGTATACAGATTGAATTTAATGTCATAAGTAGCTATTGACTTGCTAAGAGTTTTCGTTCTGAATTTCGTTAATTGGCTTCATTTCTTAACATCTGCTGTGAAGGAGCATCACTGTAATCATTGCATTTAATGAAATCTTGCTTAGAATTTCAAATTTTGTCCCATTGATCACTCCGTTTGGACATTTACAGACCAGTATCACTTTAACTTAGGTCTGTGGCAGTTTCCATTTCTTTAGTTTTCATGGTTTCAATCATTCAACTTTACCTGTAGTTTCCAACCACCTTTGTATCTCAAGATCGTGAGTATCCCACTCGAGGTAAGCAGAACTGCAGCTACCATCAACGGCAAATGGATCTATAACGAAATCATCATATGGGTATTGGGTGTGCATAAACACATATATATATGCCCTTTTGGTATATGGAACAGGACGGTTCATAGTTTCTATTTCGAGTTACACGCTTAATGCAATGGTCATCAGGCATTAAAATCATCAACAAGCCTGGTGATCCCAAGCGACTTGGAACTGTCCTGTTCTATGCACTTATACATTAATAAATACTGTTAAATTAGCGTCCTCTAGAAACGTGAATAAAGGAAAAGGAAAAATTGTGCTGAAAATAGAATTAGCTTTACAAAAACAAAAGGCATTAGAACAAGGGCAGAGTCTATACGTACTGGCTTCAGGGTTGGCACTAAACTTCAAAGTTCTAGCGTTTATATTCTACGTGCTGACTAATGATGTCCAATGTGCCAAAATATATATTACAACAATATTATAACAAAATGACTCAATCCCGTTGGTAAAACGATTCAACAATCGTGGGCCTAACACACATCCCTGTCTTACACCTAACTTGCATCTAATCATCTTATTTTCTCCCGTCACTTTTGGTATATAGCATACAAGTATCTGAACTGGTCGCCCCTCGTTTGTCAAAGGCCTTCTGTAAAACACATGATTAAAGGTTTTCAACGCTTACATTAAAATTTAAAAACACGCCAGTTTACAAATCTTTTTTCACGAAATTCTCTTAAGTTTTCTTCAAATAATTGGCTCGTCAGTTACTCATACAAGTCGATTATTTATAATGCCTCTTAATACTTTGCATATAATTGTCAAAAACGATGTTTCTCTGTAATTCGACCTAACTTTAGTCTTTTACACCTAGGTCCCGCGGTTAGAATAATCAAAATGATTAAAAAAGACTGTTAAATATTCTGATAAACACGGCACAAAGTAATTCGAAGACACAACTTGGACGTTTAACTGATTCACAGAAAGTACAAAATGTGCAAAAGCTGCATCACAAACACTACCAGCTCATCAATGAACAGATAACTTGTTTTAGAATGAAAGTGCATTTTCAGCTGTTGCTTCTGTGGGTGTGGTTGCTCAACCACACCCCCATCCGTGCGGCATGAGAGCCACCCTGCAATTACGATACCAGACCGCCAATGTCTGTGATCAGGTGTTCTGCATTGGCTTTTATTTTAAACTTATTTTCAGAGTAAGAAAGTGGAGGTCGATTAAAGTAGAGCAAGTAGAAGTAGAGGTTTTACTACCAGCAATGTCTAGGCCATGCTTTAAGTGCCACATCAATTGCGCAGAAATGAGATTATAGAAAACCATACCTTGAACCATATTTGTGTTGAACCATACTTGATGTAGTTTCTATTTCGTGCAACGAACGCTCCCAATGACGCACAGAAAATCCATGCAAAAGTCATTGAGCAAGCTGCAAAGATATTTCACGACAATCTATACTAAAGCCTTAGATTTTCAAAAGTCCCAAACCGGTCGTTAGCAATGGACCGTGAAAAAGGTCTTATTAGGTCGTAAAGTTCTGCACAGTACGTAGCAATCAAGACTTTGCTCTCATTTGAGAATTAGTTGTTTGTTACTAACATCCATTTTCATTCATATGAAATTAAGAAAGTTTAGATTAATATTAGAAGGGAAAACCTTTATTTTCAGTATTTAAACTGGATCTTTTATTGTCGAGATGGATACTATGGAGGAGTGGATGCATTAGAGGTTCTCTTACAAACTAGCCCAGCTTTTGAACAGAGGTACTAAAATTAACACGATTGAATACCCGACACAGGTGTACTTGCTTTAATAATCTAATCAAATCAATAAAATTAAATGCGAAAAAGATATCTTAAGTTAAAATATTATCGAGTACAACCCATTTTCATTTTTTCAGCGTCACAATTTTACAACTATGTGAGCAATGCTTTGAGAAGCTATGTGACCAATAGTTTGAGAAGCTATGTGACCAATGCTTTGAGAAACTATGTGACCAATGCTTTGAGAAATGTGGTGAAGGGGGTTATTACTGTGCAATAACGGTTACAAATTACCTATCGCCAGAAAATGGATACAAAGGGTAGGTGAGTCAGCCAATGGTGGTTTAGAGGGGAGTCCAAGGGGCCATGGCCCCAAGCCCCGCGCTTAGTGTAACCACAAGGGGGCCCCACAACTAAGAAAAAAAATTGTAAAGAACAAGGGCCCGCAGATGTTTTTGGCCCCGGGCCCCGGGCCCCGCAGTCCTTAAAACTGCTGCTGGAGACACCAAATTTTAGCCGTCTGTCCATTATTTAATCAGTGTCTTACTTAAACACGATCTTATCAGTTTATAAGCAAGAGAAAAATACGCACCATGGATTATCAGATATAACGGCGAATTTGTTTCCATGTTTATTTGGGAGACTGGACCTTCAAAATTAATAGATTTGTCACTTGTTGCATAATTGCCTCTTCGGTGCTTGGCAAGTCCAGTTTCTAAGAAAAAATGGAATTTGAGATCAGAAGGACCACTGTTTTTTTAACTTTCAGGCTGATAGGCTAAATTTCTCATTAAAAAACATAAAATTTTCAAGAAAAAACCTTGTTATTGGAAGAAATGTTGAGTGAAGTGGTCAACCATATCCGATACCGGTATCTACTAAAACATAGAAGCTCCTAAAACCACCTTAAACCACCTGAAACCACCTACAACCACCCGCAACCACCTTCAACCACCTTCAACCACCTTAAACCACCTTAAACCACCTGAAACCACCTACAACCACCCGCAACCACCTTCAACCATCTTCAACCACAACAACCATTACATTGTTTTCAAAATTCGCATTGTTTTCAGATGGTTTCAGATCGTTGTAGGTGGTTGTAGATGGTTGTAGGTGGTTGTCGGTGATTTCAGGTGGTTTCAGGTGGTTCCATGTTTTAGAATGTACGATCCGATAACAGACTCAACTTTAACAAGAAGAGAATATCAGACTTCTGGATGTCATTTCGGACGGGGATCTTTCGAAATATCGCCATCATTATTTAACATTTGTTTAACACAAAGTTTTATTTCGGACGCAGAATGAGGTACATTTTCAAGATGTTTTTGTAGTAAAAGAATGTTCTCACTTTTTAGCGATCCATAAGCAACTGTGAGATAGAACTGCTCTTTCAAGTCTGCGAGGAAGGTTCCTGATGGCGGAGCGATCGACCTTGTATACCTGCATAAAAGAATCGCCTTAACCAACCACTGACAAATATAACAACGCAAGTATGATCAGAGGATTGAAATTTCTAGTTATAGCACAAGAAACAATAGAAATCTCGACATCCCAAAATCTAAGCTTGAGAGTATAAAAAAGGATTCCACCCCTCTGGGATTAAAGCTTGGAACGAAATACCCATAGAACTAATTGATTTTGGCACTATTGTGTTAATTATTGTAGTGAAAAAGCAAAACTTTTGCGATTTATACCGGAATATAAAACGAACAATACAGCTGAAGTTTGAGGATGTGTTTGAGGACTAGAATGAATTTTATTAAAAAGGTGAAGGGAAGAATGAACTTAACTAAAAAAAGAAATATAAAATTTCATTTTCTTGAATTTTCTAGAAAAAACGCCCATAATTTTTCTTTTGCATTTTAAAGCGAAAGGTACGCGTGGCGATCGTAACTTTGCTACCCGGGCCAGAACGTGCCTGACCGGCCAGACCGCGCCTGACCGGGCCTGACCGGGGAAGAAAAATTGCAGGGGCACAAACAAAAAATTAATACACAAGCAAACTGACAACAAATTACTACTTGGTCAAAATAATGTGACACAAAATTACCTGCATATGACACTTCCATTGATGACTTCTGTTCTTACGTTTTGAATTCCTGTCTATGTAATAATATTCTTTAGAAGTATATCTTTGATGCAGGCACATAATGTCGTAAACGTAGCTGAGCTAATTAATTGAATATGTAAATGGCTTTCAAAATATTAACTGCAAGTGATCTCGGATATATACCATTCTTAACTGAAGCTAAGCTCGGTTCAGCTCAGCTCGTCTAAATGCATTTTGTTTTTCGAAAACAGTTTTCATGATAAATTTTCCAAAGAAAAAGATGTTTGTTTGGATTTATAACTTTTACAGGATCAAGTTGCAACAAGCTAGCACTCAGCTCAGCTTGACTCAAGTGAGCAAAACTGAACTCATTTAAACCATGTCTAGACTAAACTGAACGCAGCTGACTTCAGCTGCTGTATTAGCAACATAGTCCTTGAGTTGAAAGAGTCTCCTTGATACGGCTTTTTTAGCTTTGCAAACACACTCTAAATTGCTGAAAAATATACTGATTATCCAACCCCTTTGGATAACTACAAGGGTAAGATTGCTAAACAAGACAGAGTAAGACTGCACCAATCTGTGCAAGGTCCTCAGTCGTTATCAACATTACGCAATGAATGACAAGTGACGTGAAACACTGTTCAGTCCAATGCTGAGAGCTGTTAAATCGAGCTTAGAATTCTGAGCTACATTAAGAGAACGCACAACATATGGAGCTATACTATTTATTCTCAAAAATATTTCAATGTATTTCAATTATTTATTGAACTGAAAGAACATATCGTGAGAGTTGTAGCATATGTTTAATGATGAATATAGAGGGAAATTGCAAAAAATAAAAGCATTTGTTTGCATAGGATGGTGTTAAATATTAATACCATGAACGAAATCTGAAAAATATTTGCAGCTTTAGATTTTAATAACCCTGCTCCAAAAGCAGTGCACGTTAGGATACAATATGAATTAACAAAACCCTGATGTTTTTACATTTGGATATGAGAATTTTACGATGATCAGGGATGCCGCACTCACAGAACGCCCACGGCAAACGAAGACTCTTTTGTCCTTCTATCTGTATACCTATACATCTTTATTTTTCTCATGTTGATAGAATTTAGCAACTTACAACAGGGAGAAATGTTACTTTGTACCCAGTCGTCTGGAAAAGCATCATCCTTGACACAGAAGAATTTTTCACGCAAACTTCACCAACGTTTGTATCCTTGAAAAAGAAATTTCTTGAAAAGACAAACAACATCCAATGGGCGTACGTAGCGAATCCGGATTTGTTTTGCTGGATATCATATTGCCAGAAGAGCGTTTTTTCACCCTGGGCTTCTTTTGATACGTTTATATAGTAAAAATGTCCTCAACATGCATGACAAGTGGTTTATCATATCATCCATTCCGGATTCGCTAGCTCGACCATCCAACGCTAGTCTCAAAGCTACGAAGCCTGAAAACTTCTTCAGCTATAGAGAGAATAATTCTCATTATTGTTTTCTAAAAATTCAAAATATAGCAGGGAAAATCAGCTTGTGCATAAACCCAAGCATTCCTTTGTTATTGTGTGACGTCATTTTTCAAAATAGCAAGAAAAGGTTATGGCATAGATGATATGCTACTTCTTGTTGAGGGCTGTTATAAGCGTGAGTAACAGTTGCTTACCATTGAAAATGTTTTGTCTTTTCTTAAGCCAAATGCAACCCATTCGAAAATGCTGGAAATGGCAAAAACAACACTTTTGTTCCCTTTGTTGTATGTAAATTGGATGAAAAAATCGCAGTCTTGAGTTGAATTGCACCCTGTTGGTCCTTTAAAACAGCTGAATTCTTTATTGCAGCCAGAGACGTCAAACTGAAATTGAATTCAATCCAATCTCAATAACCACAGTTGCCATTTAAATGTCTGTTTTTAAATTATAGTAAATCAATTTATTTTAACAACTTAAGTTTGTTTTTCGTGCCACTTTGTAAGGATGCTTTTCTGATATGATTTGAATGTGGCACATTTTTCGGACTTTCATTATGAATGTGGCACATTTTGCTAGCATTTAAGTTGAGATTTGTTTGTTTCAATGCCCATGGTTAGCTCTAAAACGCTAAGACAGCTTTACTTGGTTTTGAGAATTACGTCCAGGACTCTACTGGTCTCCAGTTATGATAGAAATAGAAGGAAAGCCTGGTAAATCCATACAGAGAAAAGAAAGTTAAATGCAGAATTATGATGCCAAGAATATTACGACGTATTACGACGACCTTGGTCAATCTACAATTTGCAATGAGCAATAACGCGCAGAAGTGTTTCTGGAAAAAGACAGAATTCATAATCGGATGTTCAGCAAATGTTCCATTTTAAATTTGTTCCTTCTTTATTGCAGTTGAGGTTAGTTTCAAACCCAGTCGTTAGTTCTAAAACAAATAAAATGTTTTCATTTGTCTTCAAAACTTGGATTCCTCTATTGCATTCAAGAGGGTAAGGGCAAGGAAATTAAGAGCAGATTTAGGACGCCAGGCATAACGACCTTGTTCAAGACAGATTTTGCAGCCTGCAGTTACATGGAGTCAAATTTCGAGAAGAAAGCATAATTTGCAATCAGATGCTTGGCTTAGGTTCCAAAATTTTAAGATTTTGCTTTGACTGGTTCCAAAATTTTTGACTGGAACTTTTATTTTTCAGTTTTTATGTATTGTATATAGGTATTGAAGCATAGATTGAAAAGGAGAGGGCCGAGGCAGTCACCTTGAAGAACACCACGACAAATCAGGAATGAGGGTTGTGGAATGTGTCTGTGAGGATAGAAGTTTTGAAGCCGAAAAATAAGCTGGAGACCTGAGCCTGAATATTAGATGGTACTTTAGATAAGCCTTTTTGAATTTGGTTTTCAATGAATATATGTTATTTCAAAAAGTTAAAGATAGAGTTACGCAGGCAGGAGGTGAAAATTTTCAAGGGAGCAGATTCTAAGGTTATTGGCTGAAGTTAGAAGGGTCATCTGTAGCGTCTTCTTTGTGGATCAATATTATTGGTGCTTTTTTCCATTCGGATGGAACATTACCAGTAGCCTAAATGATATTTATAATTTTGGTGAGGAAAAATCGTAGGTAAGGGCAACGTTTGCAACAAACGAGGGATACTTAATCAAAAGAACAAGGTGAAGTAGAGGATTTCATGCGACGTATGATATATGTTATTGCATGATATGATGAAGGTTGTGTGTCAAAGGGATAAGTTGGTTCACTGAAAGAAGGCATCCAAGAAGGAATGATGAATCCTTTATTTAGATGAAGGGCGTAAAAAGTAATAATAAAGTCCTCAGTGCACCATGTAACAGAAAAGGATGGAGAAAGTGATGACTTTAAAGCGTTTGACGTAATTCTAGGACGTTTTATCGATGTAGTTATTAACATTAAAGGTAATGTGTCCAGCTAAAGCAAGCAACTCTGCGGGGGTTTTTAGAAACATGTGATTTTTCATGTCATCGCCCCAGCCACTACGGTAGTTTTGTTTATCTATACTGCTGCGAGGTTAGCTTTCATGTGAGCAGTTTTGCATCGCAAGAATACTGACCAATCGCAAACCGTTATTTTGATGTTACTTGACATGTTGGGTATACGCAGTCCTTTTATATGGACACATTACCTTTAAAAAGGCCCTAGTGCTGCTATTAATTATTGACATATGTACATGAAATTTGGTTTCAGCTGCTGTGGGAAGAGCTATGAGCATTTTGTAGAAACGGAAACATGGGTTTTAGAAAATAAGGATGCAAAAATATTATGAGAAATATTTGCCCTTTTCGATACAGACGGAAAGAGGATAAAGCCCAAAAAACTTGGTGTTGTTTTGCTAGAAAAGTGCAAACAAGTCGGTTTTGCAGCTTGTCCGTTTAATTTGAGAGTCACAAAAAAGAAAAAGAAAAGATTGAACATTATACCGACCTGAAAAACAAAGTTCTTAAATGTTGAAAGCGGGAAGTTGAAAGTTTTGTGATCAAACCAAATAGAAGTTTTAGCCATTGTTACAAGTAATGAAAGGAGAAATCTTGACAAGATAAGACCAGGGATGGGCAACCTACCGCCCGCGGGGCAGAATCCGGCCCGTGAAGAGCCCGCGAGATGTGGGATTATATTATAATTTTTTGGCTGGCAAGGATGATATTCTGAGCGGTCACAAATATTGAATGAAACATATCGATTTAAAATAAGATTTTCTTCTTTAAACCCAGGAATCAAGGAAGTTTTTTACCCGTTGCTACGTATTCTTTCTGCTCCTATTTTTAAAAGACGATAAGGATCACATTTTTCACGATTTTGCAATTTCTCATTTCCCAGCCTGACGGAGCCCCTACTGGATACATTAATTTTTACGAACATTAAATTGAATAGCCTGAGCTAAAAGACTAAAATCTGTTTGGTGGATAGTTCTTTATTTCCTTCCAGGATGTTTTCTCAAAACCCTGAAAAATATCCTGTCTATTTTGGTTGTTTACTCTGTTTTCCCATTTGCACTTAAGACTGTGATAGTCTTTCCTTGTAACGCCAGGCTAGCCAGTTCAAAAGAACATATGTAACAGAAAGGTTTGTGATTGTAGTATAATTGAATCAAAGTCAAAATTTTCGTTATTGTTCATTACAAACTTAAGGATCTTATTAAGAGTTGCAAGCCTTTCAAGTCTAGAATAGTTTAATATTGGATCGCTCTCACCTCGCCAACACCAACAGCTCTTAAACTGCGAAGAATACCGAATACGCTGACAATGCACCATCGATACCGCATCTTTAAAATAAAACAGAATTCAGAAACATAAAATGCAGAGAAAGTATTTTAAATAATAATTTCCGGTGTCAAATGTAATTCAACGTGAACCACGGGCATGTTATTTTCTTCTTTACAAGATATGAAAGGGATTAAAGTAGAATAAGTGATAGACAGGAACAGCAAAAAACGACGTGGAACAATCAAATATCAATAAATCCAATTTTAAAAATCACAATTCTAAATGTAAGAAGAAAAAAGTTTATTTAGAGGACAACCAATGTTAAAATGTAGTATCGTGACATGACTCGTATAAACATCAAGATACCGAGGACCGTAGAGCATATCATTTCATCTTGATGTTTATATCAGAGAGCTAAAAGCGAGCTAAAGGGTGAGAGAGCTTAAAATTTACAGTAGGCTAAACATGCTAAACCAAAGGACAAGACGATCTTTGTATGGCTATAAGTATATTTTGGAAGTTATTGGGAGGGGGGGGCTAAGCCCCGTCAGGTCCCCTCACCCCCACGGTCTTTGAATGATGGTAAGTATTATTTTTTATGTATTGGGTAAATAAGGAATGAAGCTTTGCTTGAAATCTCCTTGTTATTTTGTAGTTTTTCTAATTTCAAAAATTTTGTTTGGCATCCACTCAAAGCCACAATAACAGAAGAGCCTCGGGTAGAAAAATAGTTGACAGCCTCGGTTTTAATAAAGTTGACAGCCTCGTATACATACAGACTTGCAACCTACCTCTTCATCAAATGTCAGTGGAGCATCTGTTTTCTGTAGCAATCAGGATCCAACGTCTGTTTTCAATAAAGCTAGCTCATTTCAAGCCAAATTTAATTTCTGACCATGACCAAAATAAGAAGGGAATCAGTTATTGAAAAGGAAGCAGAACCGTAGTATTTGCAGTTTCAACGTCAAAAGAAATTCGAATTCGACGGTGAAATTGAAAATTCACCGTCATACATTAAATTTTAGAAAATATACAGCCAATTCATTTAATCCAATTCTTTGAATAGATTTCTTTTATTAATTAAGAAAATTTTAGCTTGAGCACGAATTCGCGTAAAAGTTTCATATCTTTATGATCATTGAAATTTAGGAGATAGTTTGAAAGGCGAGTAAAAGGAGAAAAATGTCTGGGTTTGAAAGCAAGCTCTTGTAAATATGACTGCTTCTTTTGGTAAAACACAACAGGTAGCAGGACAAAAATTAAAATTCAAAGACCTTACCTATAGAGCAACGTCTAGACAAATATTCTCAAAATGAAAGATTAGAAATAATGACGCCTCGATGGAAATACAGCAATACCAATTTGACTCTTCAACCCTCCCAACCATTGACTTCTCCCTCAGATCCCAGCGTGACATTTTCAATTTATATCTTTGTTATCAGATATAGCACTGGGCTATTGTTTCATTAAATCTGTGTATTGAGACTACAGAGACATTATCACTATTTATTTCGTCTGAAAAGTAGCTTTAAATTACATAGATATCAACAGCAATTTATAGGGATTTAGCAAGTCTTTTAGCCCCATCTCTTTCAGAATTTTTCAAGGTTTGATACTAGGGGTTTGCTTTCCCTACATCTAGCATTACAATTTGATGGGACATCTATTTTATTTAAAGGAACCTTTATTTGTTGCAGTTAGAGATTTTCTATTCTTAATTATACTTGTTTATGAACTAAACTTGTGCAATTGCAGAATCGATTGTATTATTTATAAGATCAATCAATAATGGATTGAGTCTTTCTCGGCCCAAACCAAGATGGTATTGGATTATATAACTTTTTCAATGTTAGATTTCTTCAAACATGAACGTATTTTTATTTAGAATAACATAAAGCAATTATAAAGATCGCGGAGGACAGAGTAATTACTGCCGAAAGAACATGCATTCTTGCTTTTAAGAAGCCAAGTTTTAATCACATTTTTTAATTGCTAAGTATTTTAGGCTGTGTTAACTGATTTTGGGAGAGACTTTCAGATTTTAGGCCCGAGAGAGTCTAACGATCTGATAAATTATTGTTCTGACTTTTGGAATGTCAAAAAGGCTTTGGTTAAGGCACACTATAGTCCTTTATAAAAATAGGGACAATCAAAAGAATATTCTTCATCATCAAGATGATAATCAAACATTTTGAAATAGTCTCGAATAATCAGTAAATGCGCTACGTTGGCAAAACAATTACTGGGGGATACTGCAAGAGCTTCATAGTTAGTCACATTGTTCATGCTTAAAATTGTTGTCGTTCATAAAAATCAGATTAGAGGCTTTACAGATTTCAGGAAACCCCCTTATCAGTAATATTTTCCATCTATTATAAACAGGGATATTTTATGTATACGGCAGTGTCTATTTGACACCATGACAGGCCAGGCACCCCAACTATTGACTTCTTCTTCAACACATGTTTGTTAAACTCAAGGAGTAGACATGTTTGGTTCAAGATAGTATTACGACAATTAATAATTTCCATTACGCAATAATTCAATCGTCTCTATGATGCAATAACAGTCCCGACTTCCTTAGTACAGCAACGAAGCACATTATTTCTTCTATTAAATGCTTCTAGATTTCTTGGCTTTATGTTTAACAACTTTCATAAAATTCTCTAAAGGCATACTGCGCCAAAAAATGGCAGATATCCTTATCATTGATTTTTTCCGAATAAAATTCGACCCAATGACAAATTTCCGTATTTAGAGCTGTAAAAATTAAGTGCTTTTCTAAAATTCTTCAAAACGGTTTTTGTGTATGAAAATTCATACATAAGCAAAAGTTTTTGTGTATGAAAATTCATTTTTGGAAAGCAGACTTCAATATCATTTACTGGTTTCTATTCCTATAATTTCGTTGGAGTTACTTTATATCTTGTTCTAAGTTGATTTTCCATGTAATATTTATTTCTGTCATGCTGTTATGTTTACCGAAACCCCGTAATTAGGGACTGGTTTGATTGAAAGGAGAAATCTAGTCTTAGTTTCTGCAATGATTTTTATATCAATATTTTCAACTCGATATGTTGGTAAAAAGTGTGCCAAGAGGAACTTGTCATTTCCACAAACTGAGAAGTTTGCCCTGTAAAAATCCAGTTATATAGAGTGCTGGGAAACTCGCGAAAACTCAAAACTCAACTTTCCGTTAAGAGATGAAACCCCAGTTATAACTGTATGATCCCACTTATAGAAGAGTTCACGTGGGTACACTGAAATGAATACAATTCCTCATTATATCCTCACTCAACTTTTACGCGTTCGAATTTCCTTTTGTAGAATTTTAATTTGAGTATGCGATCACTAGAGCGTTTTGGCTTTCCCGTCGGAAGGATGCATGGCTTTGTTTTGCTTTCTAATTCTCTTTCATATTATCTTTATATAAATATATATCCTATACCAACATGTAGAAATAAAGTAAAGAAAACTGCTTACTTTTACTATGGAGTTTTCTTGCTTCCAAGATTTTCGTGCTTGCCTTGCGACTTTTCTACGAACTATGCCGAGTTGAGCTGTCACCTGTTTTTGAGTGGATATGAAATATTCATTTTCACATGGGGTACTCTGATTATGATTTAAGTTGCTAGAAGCATCGTCTCTGTTCCTCCAGCCATCTGCTATAAACGACCCTGAGGTTTGCGTATTTTCATACGAAGCGCAGCTAGAAACAGTCGATCAAGTTGCAAAAATTGGAATAAATAGCAATTAAAGTTCACTATTGCTGCACACCGTATATTACTAATGAACATATGGTATTGCTTCATAATATTGAAAATCATGTCACTGACTGCGGAGGGGGATTAAGTTGGCCAGCAACGTGTCGAATGGCACAACGTGTCGAATAGCACAGTAACAATCGTGGCAAAGAATAAAAATTTCATTTAATGCGTTTTGAGGGAATTCATTCTAGAGAATTTAAAAAGACTTCCGATAACATAATTTTTTAAACTTATTGCAAAAATTTTGCAGAGATACTGAAAAAAGAATTTTTGAAAAGAACTATTTAATAAGTCTCTACCCTGAAGGGGATAATTGTTTATAAGCCCCCTAGCCCCCTATCCTAACATGCCATATTTGCGTTTTTATAGGCCCCCATTGAGGCTGGGTTGAGAAACAGCAAGAAAATAACCATTACAATCGCACATTCAGCGGTGTATGAAAAGAAAAAATATATGAGGTATTTATGCAGTGGCCGCTGTAGATAAAAAACACAATTTTTTATCTTTTTGTCTTTTAACTTATTCTTTGGTTTTGGCGTTTATCAAAACATTATCAAGTGAAATTGTGAACAAGATGAAATTGCACTGCTCTCTAAAAATTTTTCTGTATAATAAAATTTTTACACAAGCTTAATCTTTTGGGAAAAGAAACATTGTTTAGAGTCTACTTTATTCATTTTCATCGCACTTTTTCTTGTCATTTTTCAATTGACACCCTTTTCATTTTCTACTAAACGCTGCCCTCTGATTAACGCCGCTTTCCATTGAACGCCGCACTCAAAAGTTTCCTCGAATGGAATATCATGCCAACTGCAAGGAAAGCGGAGCATATTACAGATTAAGGGGTTCGAACGTTTTTAGGGGCTAAATATTTTATTTCAAGAGCACGACAATCTTTTGTATAGGTAGAAGTAAATTTTTAATTCCTATATACTGTTTATGCCTGCATACATTTTAACATGAAAACGTTGGAAGTACGGTACTCCCGCCCAGCTGTGATCGGCCACGTAAATAATAGGGGGCTCGGTGGAGTGACGGCCCCCTCCCCCCGAAATTTGGAAAATCCAATTACAGCATATTACTAAATGAATATAATCACATTCGTATTTCTATGCTGTATATACGTTCAAAGGTGAAAACAAAAGAAACTTTCCTCGCTATTTTTTGGGTATAATTTATTTGATGCAAAGAATAAAATCACTAGGATACAATTATGAAGGCAATTTGAAGCAGTAAAATCATGTTAAAAAATTTAATATATTATTGGAAAAGGTAACTAAACGAATGCTAGTACTTTCTTAAACCAATAAAATCTCATTTCAAATGTGCAATAACCATGTAAAAATATTCAGTCGGCTTTAAAATACGTTTTAATTATCAATGGTATTACAAAGACCTTGCTCCACACCAAACAGAATTCTCCTCGAAATTTTGCCCATTTTGCTGCTTTTTCATGAATTTTTCTAGCTTTCTCCTTTCTAGAGGAGGGTCACTCTTTCTTATCAGAATATCAAGGTTTGACGTTTTCCTACATCAAAAATTTTAAAAACAATCAAGGAGAAAAAGAGCGTGATGTGTTCACAACTTGTAAGCATACAAATGTACAAAATATCTGAGCAAAATCTTATGATACAATAAAACATGATGAATAGAGCACTCCCGTTGTTGTACATGTGATTGTATTGTATTGTAGATTATTTAACGTTAGTTTTTACAATAGTGAATATACACTAATTAAGACTAACATGAAGCAATTTCAAGGATTGCATAAGACAGTTTATTTACTGTAAAATGAGCATGCGCACTTGTTTTCAAGGAACCAAGTTTTGTTCAAATTCTTAAATTGTCTAGTATCTTGTGCTGTCTTTATTGATTCCGAGAATGATTTCCAGATTTTAGGCACTTGAAAACTTACTGAGGTGATTCCATTATTGGTAGTTCTGGCTTTTGGAATATCAAGGGGGTTTTTGAGTCGAAGGTTATGACCTGTTGTTTTGGGTACAAAATAGTCTTTCATGAAAACAGGATTAAGGTTGTTAAATGTTTTATAAACTTCGAGCGCTAAAATTCTAACTGATTGGATTTGCTTAGTCCCCTTTTTATTATCAAAATTATATCAAAACTTGTGGCCAGGGGCGGACACTTGATCAAATATTGGGGGGAAGCCTATTGTTTTAATAAGATGACATCACATGTCCCATTGTTCTAGAACAAAAGACCATTATCCTCTAAAGTATTGGGGGGCGGTCGCCCCCCGTCGCCCCCCCCCAAGTGTCCGCCACTGCTTGTGGCAGACCATGAAGAGTTGCTATCTGGACTTCTACACTGTTTTATCAAGTAAAGAGGACGGTTATGGGCTTAATACTTTCACGAAAGTGAATATTTGCAGATGCAAAACATAATACGATAACTCATATGCTTTATGAGATAATGTGAAGTCTGAAGATCAATCTAGCAATAGGCGGCAATGAAAGAGAGGGACAGGAACAGAAGGGGAAGAAAGAAAGAAAAAGGAAGAGGGAGAAATGAATAAAAGGCTGAGGAAAAGAAAAGAAACCAAAAGAAAAAGGAAAATTAAGGAAGAGGAAATAAGGGAAGAAAATCAAGAGTAACATGAAATATAAAAGAGAAAGAAAGAGATGAAAATAAAAGAAAAGAGATGAAAGGGGAGAGAAAAGAAGAACAGGGATTAAGAAAAGAAGAAAGGAGAAGGTAGGGGTAAAAGAATAAAATAAAGATAACGAGAACGGAGAAAAAGAGGGAAAGTAAAGACAATCCATATAAAAAGCCATAGAAAAAAGAAAGACAAAGAAAAAATGAAAACAAAAAAGATAAGAACTGGTCTGGAGAAACAAAAGAAGAAGCAAAGACAATGAAAAAATAGAAAAAGAAGGAAAATTAGGAGAAAGGAAAATGAGAAGAAGGAACTTTGATTAGAAATTTTTGATTATATATTATTTTTGTTAAACAAGCAATGTTTATACTTAAACCAGGTCTTCCGACGTCTAATTTAGTGCACCCCAAATTTAGTGCAAAGCAAAAAAGCTTTTTGTCGAGCCTGCCGACGCATTATGCCAATACCCATTTTACAACTTGCGTCGGAGACCCTCTAACCATGTGAGTGCTGGATATTTTTGGTTCCAAATAATACAGCTGTAGCTATCGCAATAGAAAGTAACACGACGACAACTAAAGCTAGCATCCCTTTGTAGATTCTCTTGGCCTACGATCAGAGAAATAAAAGACATTCTTAGTGAAAAGCTTTATCAGCTTACTATATTGTTAAATAAAGTTTTTACTAAATACCATCTAATAATAACAATTTTTTCGCAGTACAGAATTTGAAACTGGTTTTGAAAAAAAGCAAACATATTAGAGCATAGTTAAGAATATTGCCTGACACTCTTCAGAACATAAATGAAGTCTTTCGGTCTTTGTTCTGACGTTTTTTATACTCTGAAGAGTGTCAGATGAAAAGCTTATATATGTTCTAATATGTTTGCCTTTTCAAAGACATTTTTAAAATCTAATGATAATACAAAGCACACACAACAATTTCTAGAAGCACATTGAGCATAAACTTGAATTGGAAAGTCAAATGTTGAGGTCATATAATAAAGGCACTGTTGATCAAATATCATAAGTTAAATACAACAGACAAATAAAGAGGAAGGTCATCCCCATTGCACCACTCGCTTTGCACTCTAGAGAACATCATCCTTACATTTTATCAACAGTTCAACCCCCATCATACATTTTGTATGTGCGCTTAAATAAGTTGCCTCGTTTAGTATCCAGATCTAATCTAAACACAAGTATAAATCATTATAAAAAAACATACATTTTCCGAAAGAGATTGCTCTTCCTTTTTTTCATCAGTTTGTGTGTCCATGTTAACTGAAATTTAGAAAGCATGAATCAGATATCACGATGTTTCATGTCAACTAGCCCAACAGATACAAGAGTGCATGAATTAAAAGTTATGAAAATTACTGTTTTGCCAGTCTGTCGTCAGTGCTTGATGCCATACATCCATCGCTGTACACGCTTTGGTATACAGGCAGGACAGTAACATGTTGTAACCACGCAGATAATACAAAATCTTTTGATAAACTATGGAATAGCCCAGAATGTAAATTTAGTAATTATAGCAGCTTTTATTTAATTCAACAAAAAGTTTTGCATACATTTGTAATTTTATTACATTTAGCGTAGTTAACTTTGTAATGATTAGATAATGTTACTTGCAGAAATTTTGGGACAGAATAAAAGAACTCTAGTTGTTTGCCCGTTATTCGGAGGTGTCTACCATGTTGCGTTGTCAATTCAGGGATCTACTTATGGAGGTTTTGCTATATGCATATAGCCATTGGCTTAAAACTCTATAGAAAATGAACTCTTACAGTGGAAAGGAACAGAAAGTAACAATGCAAAGGTGAAGTTTTCTCCATTCATAAAAAAGGAATGAAACATGAAAATGAAACGAGCAATTGAAACGAGAAAAAACTCGATAAATGACACCACAATGCTCACCTTCAACATTTTTGCCAGTTTTTGAGTATGAACAGGAAAGTTTTTCCATTGCTATGACAACCAAGAAAACAAAAACAAACCAGATAATGGAGGGTACTATTGAAATCTCGACTAGTTTGCATCCCAGTAGAATTGTAATGCCTGAAAATTGAGCAGAGACATCTTAAATTCTAATTTAAAAGCAAAATGGGACAAATGCTCGTTATAGGAGCATGTCAAAATTCAGCGCATTAGGGCTGGGAAGATCATTTGAATCAGAAACATTCGATTGACTAAGGTCAAGTTCAAATGGTACATTACTTGATATCAACACAGAATAGGAAATAGGCAGAAGGGTAACTCATGTCGGTTCCTTTGTTGTTTTTGAAGCCCAAGTCAACAATAGAATTCCTTAATTCCCCTTTAACCTTGATTTCATTAGACGAACTTAGCCATGACAAATTATCATTCATTAATCAGATATAAACGAATTATGATACATTATTGAATTTGTTCACTATCATGGGGCATTTCGTCTCAAATAAAGTTGTCTACTTTCATTCTTTTTTAAAATTTTGTTAAATCAGGTAAATCCATCCAAATTTTGTTGTGCAGATATGTTCCAATCCTTGAATTTTTTAATGAAGATACAAACAGTTGCATAATTGGAACTTTCTCTCTCATCTCTCACCAAAATTACATGCTGTGTCACTTAAGAAGGATTTAAAAATAACTTCAGGCTATCAATCACAAACTTTTAGGAATAACGAGGCTCAGCAAAAATTTAGGTTTCCTTACATAAAAATGTATCTCACTAGCAGCCAGCAATCGAATATGCACAAGCAAGTAAAAAGAAATACACTTTCTTAGAAACAAGGGTCGAAGTTGAGCATTCGAGTTTTTTAACGCTTTTTCAATACTTTTTGCTTCAATACTAAAGGTTTCTTGAGATAATTCTGTTGTGATTAATTTTAGCATTTAGGGGAAACTTACCTTTTAAGTCATAATTTCCAGCAGCAGCCTATTTGAGAGAGGTTTTGCAGCTTTGTTTTCTACCAAACAACCGATCACAATGACGGATTTTCAAAAAATTTTAGATAATAAAATTCCAAATTCAAATGTTTCTTTTTTTGCTCTGAGTACTGAGGATTCATAAGTTTTTCTGATTGCCCAGTACTCATTTGCTAAAGCAAGTTTTTTTATAGAAATGGGTCTGGCTTAGGTTGTTCTGTGACTGGGTCCTCAAGACTCGAGGATGTGATTTTGATCACATTGTGATTTTTATTATGATCACAAAACACATGGGTAACTATTGTGACGCTATGTGAATGTGAGATTGCAACAATGAAACCACAGCTGCGTAATAGGCTTGGATTGGCAATTACTGCAACAAGGCAAAAATAGCGATAGGAAATCAGGCAATTGGACTTTTGAAGACTTGGAAACAGTTAAAACTATTAGCCATCTGTATATTTTCCCACTAAAGAGCATTGTTGCAATGAACATCGACAAGCTTAAGAACAGTAAATATTTCAACACGTATAGGTTTACTGAAAAACACATGTCCGAGTTACTCTGTAGGTTGTCTCAAAATAAAAATACAACACGGAGAATCTGGACTTGAAAATCCAGAAGTAAAGACAAGAAATTTCAAACTGATTATAAAAACAGGACTGCCACTGTAGCCGCAGCAAGCCTTATTTTCATAAGATGGAAATGTGAATGAGAAGAAAACGAACTATTTTCGTTTTAACGTCGATAAATATATGTTCGTTGTCTTTTTCAATTATAATTCTAGCAAGTTCAACAAAATCGTAAGCAGCAGCTATATTAGGCTGCAAGAGGGCTCGAGCCCCACCCTATGAAATTTCTGGAGGGGCGCGGCGATCTATGGCAACTCTTATATGCAAAACATATTTTCTGGGAATGAAGACCAAACAATTTATTTTTTCAATTCTTGAATGGAAAATAAAAATAGGACTTTACAGTCAAGATTTTATTTCAAAAAGACCATCTTGATTCAGTCGTTGAGACCGAGCTGCATAATTGACCGTGCAGTTATAAAGTTTCAAATTGATGACGTCATAAAAATACTACTCATAACTTGGCAATTTTGACCACATAACCTGAAAGATATTAACAAATACCTCTAAATGTGCAAAATCTGTTACGTGTGTTACAAATTGGGTGCGATATGGCACTGCTGCGAAATGCCCACGCAAGCACGTGCTCTTTCCTTCTTCTTTATGTTCTATTATTCTATCGTGACGTCCTTTAATAAATTCAACTTTAATTTTTAACGATGTGCATCTCCTATATTTCTTGAAATTCTTACTAAATTAGAGTCTTACCGGCAAGAACTAGGGCTATCACTCCAATGGATCGATGACCAACATTAAAGATCCCTCGCCTAGAAAAAAATCACACATACGTGAATAGGTTATGCTGATCGTGTGATAACAAGAGAAGAATTGATAATAATCAATGATATTTTGTAGATTTGACATTTTTGAAGAATCATATAATGGATCAAGCATTACATTTTAACGTTTGTCAATGCATGAAGACAGAACAGAGGAAACCTTCTCCTCTCTAAAATAATGTCATAACGTATCATGTTTAAGCTTCATACCGTGTCACGTGTCAAAGTTCTATGAAGCCAGTCTGTTTACTTCTTTGTTCCATGTACATATTTGTTAATCTATCTCACTTACTTGTTACTTGATTTCTTAGGTCTCAGATTGCCAGCAACCATCTTTAAAAAGGAAATATAATACAAGATTTAAAAGAACAATATCTAACATATTATTAATTATACCTGTAATCAGACAGGAAAAGGGGTAAGGGGGCGATTGCCCTGGGGCACAAAGCCACCAAGAAGCCCGTTATATTTATTGGCAGGACTTGCTGCAACTGTGAAGATTTTGGACAACAGATTATCCAATAAAGCCACGATGTACGGGTACAAGACACAATAAACAAAATTATATTTTTAATTGTTTTCAAACATCATTTTCCTACAGTTTTAATTCACATTCTCTTTGCAGATTAGAAAGGCGAGAAACACCATTTATGTCTCTTTCAACAAAGTATTAGAGTGAAGTATTAGTATTAGAAATCCATCTGCATTAAGATAAAGGGTGCTTCAACTTCAGTTTTATTTCGCGAAATTGCAATGGTGTTTAACGATTTCCATTATGACTGTAAAAATAAGGTCAGGTTCGATTTTTCTCGCAATCTTTGATTCTTTTCAAAGAGATTCTTTTCTACAATGTGTTATGTGTAAAGCGAGTTAATTTCTCCTTTCACGCCAGGGTGTATGATCAAACTACTTAAGCTTTTGGCATTGCTTGAATCATAAAATCTTCCTTTATAAAGGGTATATCTATACAAAGAACGGATAGCAGGCTAGATTCGGCTCTTCGACAATGCTTCCAATTATCATAAATGTCAGTACCGTCAGCTCCAAGGGCACTTCTCTAAGGTAAAACCAAAAGAAAGACTATAATTCGTTAGTTTAACAAGCTGTATATATCTAACAAACCCTAAGAACAAGCTCTATATCAAAAGCAAACGGAAGTCAATGAAAAAGGCATCAGAATATCTATCCCTGTTCGATTTCTTCTCTATTTTCCTGGGCATTTTCTTTCTTAGTTTGGAAAGGCTTCAAGAAGGAGCAAAGAAATTCACAATTTTCCCTGCTTTTCTGATGAAATTTCTATTCAAATAAAACACTGCAAGTTGGGTCACAAAACAGAGTTTTTCCTCGGAATTTTTTAATCACTCTGACAGTTTTGCTGAGGGATTACACAAAATTCAGCCAGCTAGCATGGTAATTCAGTTTGATCCTATGAAATTTTAGAGAGCAACAAGAATTAACCCTCTGTTTCACCTGCGACCGCTTGAAAACTTCGGTTTTTTCAGCCCTAAAGTTCAAACTTACACTTGTGCTGCACCACGATCCATAAAAGCCAAAAACATTTCAGACAGCAACTTTCTCAAGCAGAAGTTAAATGCTAAAATGTAAATCTTTACTAACAGAAGCCGGTGGTGTTGTTGTGGCCTCTTAAGAACACAAGGACAGTTCTTACCACCCCGCTCAAAAGCATTGCCTTAGGAGAGTTTTGATAATCGGGTAGACATTGGAACCCCATTCCTTCCATTTAACTCTCAACAATAATCAGCGAAACCAATTATGGAATACTTCTTATGAAATGTGAGATACTGTTGTAGAAACTATTTCGACGGTAAAAACAAATTGCTATAGCCTGCACACAAATGTGTTCTGTTTACTTTTGGCTTATTCCAGCCCAGTAAACAAAGAAAACCAATTCAGCGAACAACTCTTCTTTCTCACAAAGAGATGCATAGTTAGAAAAGCAACATATAGCAGTTCAATATTTATAGAATCTTACCTCTGAATTTGAGGGCACTTTTTCAGCATTTGTGAAAAGTGGGGGGGGGGGTACGTGTCCCAATACCCCTCGCCCCTTCATCTCTGTCAAATTAGCTCTCACTTTTGACAATTCTTGCAATTCTAAGTAATGACAGTAATGGTATTGTCAGAATTGTGGAGTCCACATACCTGAATGATAGCGAGTAGATGAGCAATGACTCCAGTGTAAGCATGAGCACCAGCATACTGAAACATTGAAAAAGGACATTTGTACCAGCAAATAACAAAAATTCTATAAGATTTCTTTAAGAATTTACAATTCTAAATCGCTTCGACAGTGCAGCTATACCCATACATATTCCGGAGATTTTTTGCTTCTTATGTTGTCGCTATATGAACGAAATTGATGATGACAGAAAAAGGGTTTGCACAATTATATGCAGTTTTCTTAATATTGTGATTATATATATGATTTACGAAACCTAAACACCCGAAAAGGTGTTGATGGCCTTTGGAAGGGGCCCCACATAGTGGTTGTGATTCACGCACAATTTTTTGACTTTTCACGCATTTACGCACTGCAAAATTGGATTTTCACGCTCACGCAAACAATAAATGTAATATCAGCTATTGCTCATCAGAGCCCTGTTTGAAGGACCACAACAATACTTTCGAACTTTGAATGTCTACACTTTGTTAGCTCTACAAATCAGTAGAAACGACAGTAGATTTAAATTATCATTCAAAATTTCATTCACGAATTCACGGCTCACACCCAATTCCTCCTTTCATACATATTGGCTAACGGAAAAATTCGCATATCTATTCGCATATTTATTTAGTAGAGACAGCGTTAACATATTGACAAACCTCTGCATTCCAACCTTTAAGTTTTACAAATATTGTAACCATGCATGCTGAAGACATGATTGTGGTTACAATCATGATGATTCGATGAGCCTGAAAAGAAAAAATGGATTCTAACAAACACTTTAGGCCTAAATATTAATAAGGCCTTTTAACATCTGAATGCACTTGAGAACAAAAATTTGGAAATATTCTAAGTAACAACAAATGTTTGAAAATCTTTTCGTGATGATTGGATTCGAAGATGACAACACTTGGAAAAACTATAAGAACTAATTAAGGTCTGAAACATTTTTTTTGTAAATTCACTGGCAAACAACCAAAGAAACTGGGAAAATCTTGAGACGATCGTTAAACATAGAAATACTTGAGATGATATTAAGAAACACTTGGAAGACATTTGGAAAGATCGTAAAATTCCCAAGATATACTTCTTATAACGTCACTTTAAAGTCACAACAGCAGCTGGACATTTAAAATGGCGAAAGTTTAAAAATATCCCATGGGAAATTTGTCAAATCACTGTTGTTAATGACACAGCTACACTTTGGTACATGATTGGCTATCAGTTGATTGGCAGCTGTGTATTTATGCAGCTAAAACTCGACGCGTAATTGACTATCAGATGACAGGCAGCTGTGTATTGATGCAACCTAAATTTGACACCTAATTTGCTAGCAGCTGACAGGCAGCTGCATTTCAACCATTCCGATTTACTTTTCGAGTAACGGCAAAATCGTGCATCAATAAATAACCTGTCTGCTGTAATTGAATAAATAGAATAAAGTACGATGTTTCGGAAAGTCGAAAAGATTCAAATTCTCACCGGAAACCAAATTTTGTCCCCAAGAGCTGCTTTCATATACCTTGCTATAAAGATACCGATGCCTGCAAACAGTCCCCAAGCAAAAATCCCAAGGATGCCTAGAATTTCAAAATTTGCTCAAAACTTCAGAGTAAAAAGAAAAAATCGTTGATACAATATTTCTTCATGTATTTTTACCCAACATAAACGAATTCCATTCCCTGAAAAGCATGGTGCCCCCAGGAAGGGTATAATTTTATGGGATAGCACAAATAATAGCGATAAACTGACTTTTAATTAGAAGTGCAAATAATTAGAAGCTGCATCTTCAAAAACCAATCCACCTTTACTCATGCCAAAAATGAGTTAGTGCTATCCTCAGTAATAATTGTTGGTATGTGGAATATTATTTGAGCGTGGAAAGAAAGGGTCCTTATTTGCTGGGCAAAGCTATATGTCGCCCTAGATGTTTGTTTTGAGGGCTGCCAATAAGTTGAATTAATTGACGTTAAATTTATTCATTGATTTGGAACTGAGTCCTATGTTTCCTTCAATCCATAGTCTATTTAGGGGCTGCTCCTCCTCAGTTTTTCATTTGAAACCATTTTGCAGCCTTGCTCTGCTCGTCAGATTTCCTATATGATGCAGATTTGCAGGTAAATAAATGCCAAACAATTAATCTCGGCAAAAAAGATGAAACATGAAGAAAGTCGGTGAAGATTACCATGAGCAAGTAGCAAAGCTGATATTTCCCAAGATTTGGTGTTGATATCACCAACCTTCATAAAGTCAATTCTTGAAGAGCTTGTTGCATAATTTCCAGAGTCATGGTATTGCGGCTCTCCGGTCACTAGGAAGGATTTTAGAAATTATTACAGTTGACAGAATGGTAATAGTACAACACCAAAGTAGAACCGCTGTCTATAGCTTTGCTTTTCTTAGACTTGTTGGCTAGACATCTTTTCTTACTAATTGCTTAAAATCATCGGTCAAAAATCATTATACAGTCAAAACTAGGATATTAAAAACTAGCACCTAGTGTTTTCTATTTCTAGCTATAAAAGAACATTGTATGCAGTCTTGTTTTGATAACCATGAAAGACGGCCACTATAAAGCGCCCATTGGATCATCAAATAAGTATAAGAAAGAGATGCTTTGTTCTGCTTAAGGAAGCCGAGTTTTCTAGTTAGGGTTTAGAGAGCATGATGGGTAATCAACAAACCTATCCTGTTCCCGTAAGCGCTCGTAAGATACCAACTCGAGGCAAGGTTTCTCAGAGTCGTGCCACTAGGAGTTGCGATCGATCGTTTATATCTAGCGAGTAAGCATAATACTAGTGATTAAGATTAAGAAAATATATAATATATAATATATAGTAAGCATAATATTAAGATGGGAAATACCAATAAAATTTTTAATGATGATGATTATGATGACTTTTACAATGATGGTGACAGGGAATATTGACGGCCTGTAGCTACAATCAATTTCTTAACACCCCCTTTCTCGTTCTCGTTCTCCATCCTCGTTACCGAAAGGATTGTAAAAATGGTCCATCGAAGAAATCTATAAAACCTAGAGTCCAGGCCATACAGCCGATGCCATAACAAATACTGATAACATGTACATAAGAGTATGTGAGCAGTTGGCAAAAAAGCGAAACACATGGCCACATCCGTGGTAGAAGTCTGTTTGAAAGATCAGCCTCTGCTATTATCAAAATAAGATGGAACATCCTTCTGAGAATAAGTTCCAGCCAGCCATAAATACTTATCTTTGAAATAAAAAACATACTCAAATGAACACGGATTCTGAATTTTCTCTCTGTTAACCACTGAAATACATTGAAAGCAATAAGCAATAATCATTTCGGCTTATATCTGTTCCCTATATCCCTATATCTCTATATCTGTTCCTATAGCACGTTTTTTCTTAATCACATAAAAACTCCTGTGATGAGAAGGGAGTCCCCACCAATCGAATGTAAACCAAACGTCAATTCATACAAAGTTTTGAAGTTTGTTGGTTAACAAACTAAAACATTACCTTTCGAATGATAAATTTGTCTAATACTAGAACCCTTTCTTAAATAACTAAGATAATAAAATTTCAAGAAAGTATATTCACATTGAAATTGATAAAAGAAGATATATTGTGAAACAAGAAACTGGAAAACCATATGCTTACATATATATTAGGCCTTAGCACGGGAATGTCAACCCTTTTTGTCAAGTAAAAACATCAATCTAGGGTTTTGGGCTCAATAGCAACAACTTATTTGCACGCCTTCCCTCCTTGCTCGGCCTTGCATCGGTAGTTAGGCAGATACCGGTCACATACCGGTCACATGCAGATACCGGTCAGAATTTTAACGTTGGTACCGATTACGTTTGTTTCTATCGTCTCTACTTTCCTGTTTCAAGTGGTAAGACCAGCGTTGTGCGTTAGTTCATTTCATGCTTGGTACATTTTTATTTCATTTTCATAATTGTATTCAGATGGCATTCTTGTCAATTATTTGGAAGAACGTACCTACAAAGTATGCTACCGTTTATCACTAGTGCCTCGACATCTACTAGTCCTTTCTAAAAGAAAAGTAGAGTTTAATTTTTAATCCGAATGACAATACAATCTTATCACTGGAAACAGTTTCGATAATTGCATGTTGCTATGACAATGTACGGACAACAACAACTTGAATCAGCAATAAGAGATTTTGCAAGTTGAAAGAAGCTCGATTTCAGCAGTAAAAAAACAGGAGTATACATGGTTCTCTTCAGCTTTAACCTTCATCTAGTATTTTAACATTAACACCCCAAACTCTACTGACATTTTTTTCCTACCGTCGGTCTTAATATACTAGTTCCAAACCTATTTTCGTGAACACTCCACATTTCCCTAACCAGCGCAACAGACTGGCGTTAAAGAAACGATAGAAAAGTTGGTTAGATTACTCCTGATTTTCCTCCTTTGTGGGAGACAGGAACGGTGCCATGGGGTAGACATTTCCACCCAACTTTTCTGGAAGATAGACTTTTTATTTCATTCGAAATCTACGATCAAGCGGTGGGGGGGTGAGTCGTGTAATTTGATATTACTCCGGGTATCAATATTTATCTTCGAACTTCAATGCCTGATAAATGAATAAAGACGTCGTAAATTGACTTCAAACCGATGGGTGCCGGAAAAATCCTGAGTGTAAAACATATAAAGAGCATGTTTTCATTATTTGATTGATTGGTTAGATAATAGAGCCGAGGACGAAAAACTGTTTTAACTCTAGTCTTTGCAATATCTTTGAATAAGGGTGTTTCTAGCAATGAAGTGGGCATCGTTCCTAAGAAACTCCTGCTTTAGATAAAGGCGCGTTCAGTAAGGTCGTGCACTTCTTTCACGAGTTTTAATAAGACGTTCTGAGCATCATATTAATAAAAAGACGTGTTGAACACGATGTTTTCTCTTGTCGAGAAAAGTTAATTAATTCTAGATATTCAAAATCTCCCTGGTAATGCGACGGTAGGATGATCGAAAGCCGGTAAGTTGAAATGCTAAAAACTAGAGAAGCACTGCAATAGCACTCAAGAAATATTTTCGGCACTTTTGTACTAGCAAGCGCGGCAAAGGCAATTGCTGCTACCTGCAATGAAGACTAATCTATATCTATAAATAACAATCATAAAGAATCTTACATGTGGCGAAAATGTTGCCTTTTTCCCTACAGTATTGAAAAATAAAAGCTTAGCTCCTACTCCATCCTTTACACAAGCTTCGCCAATGTTTCCATCCTGAAAAGATAAAGACAAATAGTAACACGAATGCAAACTAGCGTAGCGAGGGGACAAGGAAGTAGCAACAACACCTAATTATCAGAGAGTTGATGTCTTAAAAAGCACATATCTGCAATAAATTTTATAGTAGGGACGTTTTACAGCATTGTGAACACAAAGGGTGTGTGAACACAAATTTTCCCCAGACCCCCACAATGGTTTGCTCCAATCGCCTTTACTCCCTTTGTCGTTCCATCTTTGCTACGCAAATAGAAGTAACACTTAAGAAAATAAATACATGTTGGAATAAAATGTAAATTTATACACTGTAATATCACATACGAAAATCGATGCTAAAACTGTATGGAAACAAATATTTATAATATCATTAGAATGAACAAAACCTATTTACTTTACATTCTGAAACAATTATCTTGATAGTTCTCACAGAAACCATAGATTGCGTCTAACTTGAACCATCATATTCTCATTTGTGATGACAAACATTGCCGAACAATTTGACCAAACAAACATTTATAAGCAAACACTACAGGTTCATAAACACAAGAAATTGAAAATATACTAGTAGCAAAGTAAATACCATGGTTAACTGCTTGCTATCACGCAATCCTAATGCAATCCAACTGTGTTTTCCACCAATTGCAAAACTAACCATGCTTGCACTAGCATTGTACTGGAACTGAACGAAGTAATCGCAGTTTGTACTTGATTTGCATGATGAGCTTTTGAAGCAATTGACTGCCTTTCCACATCCATCTGCCGTGAGCTATTAAAGAAAACGGAATTTTTCTAATATAAGATGCAATGGTGTAGTGCTGTCAAAATAGCAAAGGAGGCTCTTGCACAAAATTTTGCGAAAAACAATAGCAAAAGTAGACATTAACAAGGTGGTCTCAGATTAAATGGGAGTACCCTTCATACAACATACAATTCCCCTTCAACTGACCAACTAGTCAACGCTTCGTAACCCCTTTTCAGATATACAAACTATATTTTGCAGGAATAGAAACCTCAAAATTGGTGTAAAGTAAAGGACAAATTAAAAACCACCTGAGGTACTGTAAAATAATGAACTATAAAATTATAAACCGTTTTGCAAATCTTTTTTCGAAAAATTCTTTTTTTAAAATTAGGAGATTTCTACCATCTAGGGTAAATGGGGCCTGAATACCAAAATATGGCCAATGACAAAAGATACATTATTGTAGGATGTCAATCTTTACAGTTGAAACACGATCACACAAATCTTTGTTTTCTCTGGCTGCTTACAGAGGTGCAATAATTATATAGAAGGGAAGAAATAAGATTAAAACATTATTCAAATCTGCTTTCAAGAGCTTTGACCACGATGTTGGCACTTTATTTTCAAAGTTCAAGGGTGGGTCAATTTCACAACTTTTGTAGCTGATTTGTATGCATCCCAGTGGGATTCAACAGTCAAAGAATGCCAAAAAGATCTGTGTCTAAATGGAACCTTGAGGTACCCGACTTTTTTATCATAAAGCAACTTTGATTCGCATCAACGAAATCACATCGATATTTTGAAATGCATTTTCTTCTTTTCGGAAAGTTGAATTAAGATCATAGAGTTGATTTAAGCTCTTTGTGCTTCAATTTATCTTCTAAACATTCTTAAGATTTAGTTATTCTAGCTTAAAAGATATGCATATCAATGTTTTTAATGAATAAATTAAAGGTTAATAAATTAATAAATATATAAATAAAATAAATATAAAAAATTAAAAAGCCAAAGAAGGAAAATGAATGTTATCGAACAAATCAACATCGAAAAAGAACAGAAATTGGCAAACTAACCTCCTGTCCATTTGCAAGTATAAATTCAAAAAAGATGAGACTAAATGCCACGATTACTTGCTTGCCAACCATTCTAGAAAGAAAGAGTGAGAATTTATTCCTATGGTCTTACCACAATTGGTGGGCAATGGGTGGGGGTAGTGTGGTTTCATTGGGGGGAGGGCAAATGTTACCATGGGAGGCATTTATGAATCAGGAGCCTAAGTTTAACTTGGATGATAACTGTTGGCGATTCGAAATTTGCAAAACAATAAAAAAAAATCAACGTGGAAAATCATTTTGAAAACTCAATGTTTTAAAGGTCCGTGAAAGATAAATATTTATAAACTAAGTAGTAATCAGTCTATGAACTTAATTTTGTCGCCAAGATTTCATAAACCTTTGCTATCATCATCATAAGAACGATTTTGCTCTAAAGACCAACTCTAAGTTAGTACACTGTGTTCCAGACCTAATGACACCAGCAGGGCACAGAGCTGAATCTTGCGTGAGTGGCTACTATCACCACTACTAAAAAAATGTTGAATGGGCCTACAGTGTTACTGGCATCCTCAATTATTGGTAAGCAGAGAGCGGACTAACCAATTAATGGGAAGCCAGGAAACGACCAACCACGAAAGAAGAAGGGAGTAGCTCTCCAAGGTTCCCTTGACCCCACTAACTAATGAAGCATTGATATCACAAGCATTTAAATGATTTCACTTTCAGTATATCAAAACATGCTTCTTTAGAAAAAGTTGGGCTGGCAGTGGTGCAATTAGTCAAAACTCTCTGCATGCATGGGCGTAGCGGATGCAAAACGTTTAGGGAGGGGGGCTTAGTATGGATCCTATAAATATTATTGCCCAAATACATTCTGAAATGCGATAAATTTTGCTTGATTAAGGGGGCTACAGCCCTCCCACTCCGTATGTCTCCCACGCCACTGGCACTGGCACTGGCACTGGCACTGGCACTGGCACTGGCACAGACACTGGCACAGGCACAGGCACTGGCACTGGCACTGCCCTATGTTTGCATGGTGGGACTAAAGAAATGAAGAAAGCTACCCCTACAATACCTTTATCCACTTTGAAGAGCCAGCTTGGCTTACGAGTAATTGTGATGTTTGTAGATCCTTTAATTTTTATCTTTTTCTGTGCTGACAGCAATGTAGAACAAAATTCAAAGAGACCTATGCGGTGCCCCAGATAGCGTGTGGTATGACCGCGCAGATACCAACACCTCTACTTCATAGTTCAATTCTCTAAACACTGAACAATCACGGTTTTCCAATTTATAGGTAAACATGACATGCCATCACATGACGAGCGCAAGCAAGGCGTCATTAACTAGCATTACCTAATGATACCATTAGAAAACACATGATTCTACAGATGTGCCTTCTATGTGCATTGTCAGTTCCCTACACGTTGATCATATGGCAATAACAACAGTTATGGCTTTGTTAGTCTGCATTTTGAATAAGGTCCTTAAAACCAATGGGGTATGAAGAGGGGGTGAAGATTTACACTTACGTTTGATCAAAACCAGGTGTTACGTCTCTTTCTTTCGAACTTAAATCTCCTCCGCTCTCTTCTTGAATACAGGAGTTAAAGGGAATGAATCAGCATAAGTAGGCAATGTATACCCTACCTGTCAAAATCTGCTGACCACGAATATTAAATTTGCGAAGTTTGATTAATCAACCTAGACTGATCACATGATCTAACTTTGATCATGGCGTCCGAAGCAGAGTCTAGCTTTTCTCAGCTTTAAGATTTTCAAGTGGATTTTAGAGCTCAGAGAGAAGAAATTTTGCTCTGGTAATAGTTTGTGATAGACAAGAACGGAAGATCTTTTATCTGTGGCGGAAATACTAACCCACTTTACGCACAACATCTTCTTCTTTTGACATTGGAAAACATTTGCTAGCAAAACTGGCCATAAATCGAGTCAAGAAAGTATCATAACCTATAATGGCGAAATGTTTTGGATAGTTGGCAGATCCCGGTCGGTGATAGAAACAGTGAAAAGTTGTTGATCACTTTCAATGAGACATTAAGACAAATTCATGTGCTCTTTTCTGTGGGCCGCCAAATTTCTCATAAGAATTTGAATATGCATCTAAAAAGCTATCTTTCCTGAACATTAGCATTAGCAACATGGATCAAAATAGCTTGGAATGAGAAAAAAAAATGAACAGTTGTTGAACACTTTGTGAAAGACATTAAGGCAAATGCATGTTTTCTGTTCTGTGGACTGCTATTTTTGTCATAAGAATTTGAATATGCTTCAAGAAAGCTATTCTTTCTGTACAGTAGCATTAGTAACATGGATGCAAAAAGCCTCGGATTAAAAACAGTGAAAAGTTGTTGAACACCTTGTGAAAGATATTAAGACAAATGCATGTGCTCTGTTCTCTGCCCTCGCAAGTGATGTCGCTAATGGTAAATTAAACTGTCATTCCTGAAACTTTCACCGATATAAAAAATTACAAGTTCCAGAAATATGAAACTTGATTATCAAACTTTATCTCTGAAAATTACAGGAATCTGATATAAATCATTTTCCATAAATGTAACAGCTGCAACTGCGAAATCCGGAACTGGGTAAAAATGACTGCTATCAGGCGTGGTTTTCGGTCTGATCAACTTCAGTGGCATTTGGGCAACAAAAACAGCAATAGCTGTTTCAGTGACCTCGGCATCATAACGAGGCATTGCAGGGTACTTATAAAAGCTTGTTGTTTTCGAGTGTGTGTTTGCAGATTTTCCAAGATGTTCATGAAAAGATTGGAAAAGTATGAAAGGGAAATTCTAAATATTGAATTTTTCAATAACATATTCGGATAAAAGTGGGCAAGAATTTTAATATTTGTTTTAAGTAACTTGTGATTAATGTTAGACTTTGTGATTAATTTGATTTTTTTATTAATGTGACTAATTTGTGAAAAATTAAAGTGTGATTATTCTTGAGAGTGTACATGATTTTAAGCAGTGATTTGCCCTTCGAGACGAAAGGATTAAGTATTTTTGAAACCGTTTGCTTTTTAAAAACTAAATTCTTCCTGACCACTGGGTTATGAATTTTTTTAAAGAAGCGAAGAAGCTGATGATATCATATAAAATGATTTCAGAACAAGGCCAAGAGCAGATGATTTTTAAAGGTCATTGAAGAACTAGTTTCCCAGTACTGCATAAAGTGCACGAAAATTTGCCGCTTCAGCACTATCTTAAGCCAACATTTTTAAATGTCTGAGTTTTTCGATCAAATTGACATTAGTACTTTGTCATTAATCGAAAACCTTTATATTTTCGGATTTTCATAGGAAATTCTTTAATGCAAACATACAAAATAATCGTATGAAGTGCTTAACATTTTTTATTCCATTGATTTAATCTCATTTTACTTCATTTTACACTACTTTTAAGTTAATTGAAAGCTAGTCTATAATCTTTGCTGATTCCTACTTATTTACTGTTTGCTGGCTCTTAATTTTTATATTCGAGCCAAAATAATTTTGTAAAATATACACATCGTCAAATGGGCACATGCCTTTGATAGTTCTGTCTTGAGTTTTTTCCATGCGTCAATCCATCAGCGAATTTAGCAAACAATTGATCTAACTTTCTTTTATCATCTTCAGTCTCACAATATACATTACCTATGAAACCGCAAGCCTTGCCGAAATATAGAATTCGACACGACAATTTGGTTAGAACAGGATCCTTAAAATCCTTCAATAAATAGTGTTGAATGGTTAAATACTGAAGCGCATTGTTATGTGATAAAAACAAATATCACGGGTCTGGGGGTTTCTGCTACATTTTTTATCAAAGGATTTTTGAACTATGGAATCTCTGGTGCAGGGGCGAAAGCTGTTGGGCATGGTGAAAAACTGAGTTTCCGCCACTGTTCTGATACACACGCTTTTTTATAAAAGTAACCTAACTCGAGGTCTAGTTCTTGAAGTTCCTTAATCTAACGGCGCTAGTTGTTATGATCAAAATATCTTCTCTCTCGGACATGGCCCAGTTTTGTTCACTAACCACTTTGCAATCGTAATGCCGAAACACCCTTGACATTGTTACAAAGTTTGCACATTTGCTGACATCTCCAAAAGGTTTTTGTGCATCGTGTTCCTTCGATTTTTTCTCTATCATATATCATGTTTACTCCGATACAAATCCTGTCATTCTTGAAATTGTGGAACTTAACAAGGACATCACCTACGGTTTAATATCATATTTCCCCCCTCTCTCAATCAGTACTTATGGAGCTTCAAGTTGCCTTTGAAAAAAGAAATTTGAATCGATTGCAGCTTGTCGCGACAAATCAGAGGATACGTACAGAATTGGAATAAGAGTATAAAGCTGACACAGTGTCCTTGTGTTGTGTCCTAAAATTTATTTATGGAAAGACTCCTCAACATTTTATTTAACTTCCGAGACAATATTGTTGTTAATTTCCAAATAGGTGAATTTTCATAAATATTACATCAGATATCTACATATGCAGATTTTCAGACGCAGTCTTTTTAACCTTGAAGCTAGAAAATTTATGTATAAAAGCCAATCTTTTTTTAAGAATTCGATGTAGTGACCGCTAAAGTAGCTCTTTTTTCCAACTCAAATTAAATATTTTTCCACCTTGAGAACTCAATATTAAGAAAACTTCAAGTATAAGGTCTGAATACTTTGATACCATTTAATTGGGCTTATGTTTGATAATCGCGCTGAGCATAAAGTTTCCTTTCGTTACAGTATTTCTTTAAGTTGTTATTATTGTTTCGCCGTCTGATTCCCAAGAATGCGCTGTGGTACTTGTTTAGCTGAAGGCCTAATATGTTAAATATTTTAAGTGTGATTAGTTTTCAGTTGTAGGTTCGTACGTTAACCGATACAGACAGATCAAAATATCATGCTTAAGTAGGTTTGTAAGCTTTGGAATTTAAAATAGCAATACAATTTTCAATTTATCTCCATGCAGCCATCAAATTCTGTCTGCGTTGACGGTTGGTAATGAAGGAAATTGTTTCAGGAGTCTCCGTCACATAGAGTATGATCAATTTACGATGCTGCAACACTCTTAACCTGGAATCTAAGCGAATATTCGTCAGATAAAGTTTTATATAAGTAGAGATTTGTAGTACTCACCTAACTTGAAACTCTTCCCACAGCAGGTATCATTGTTCTGGAGGCCATCTCCCTACCTATTCTTGCGGCCAACAATCAGGGGGTTATCTCGTGAACCTACCTAAACCACAATGAACAAACGAGTCCTAAAGCAGGGCCTCCGACGAAGGGGGGGCCGGGGGGCCTTGGCCCCCCCTCACTTTTTTGCAAAACAATAGAGTTTTTTTTCCAAATCTTTGGTTATGGGTGTTGAATTTTCCCTTGGCCCCCCCCACTTTTCAACCTTTGTCGGAGCCCATGTAAAGTGATGACGTCCCGAAAATCAATTTTAAGAATTTTTGAATTTGGATCCCATAACCTGAAAGAACATCACGAAATTCCTCTAAATGTGCAAAATCAGTCAATTGTGTTACAAATTGGCAGAGATATGGCCACATGTGTATTGGCTCTTTCCCCTGGTCTCTTGTTCATAACTTCATATGAACCTCTTGTTCATATGAACAGAGCCAAAATAACAGGCCGGTTTCAGGAAAAAAAAAATTTTTGGGGGGGGGGGTGCAAGTTTTTATCTACCGAGTACATTTTGGCAGCATTACAATACGTTAATGCAATCAGAATATTTTAGCATTGTTAATACTTAAATTTAAGCTATTACAAAGCAAATTCAGCTGCAAAACTATTTGTTTTATGAAAGTTCTAAAATAAGCGTTTGTGGTCACCTAGTTTATTCAACCTTATCGAACTCTTCTGTTCTTCAACTGGACCCACTTCTTGATAACACATATGTCTGCTGTGAAAAGTATCCTTGGAGCATTGTGCTTCGCAGTTTCAGAGGCGGGGGGGGCACAAAACTGAGCCTGGGGGCTAAGAATGAAGTTTAGTGACATTGGAGAACCCACCACGGTTGGGTCCGACGCGAAAGAAATTTTTTGAAATTAAGCTTTCCAGAATGGAAAGATGCATCTCCCAGACTAAAATTGTCTCTGTTTTTGTCAAATTTCTTGGGATTAATCTTCTTCTGTGATGTTCCTGAAAATTCTCTTCTGGATCAACAGAAACCTGAACTGCAGAACTTTTTAATATCTTTGAATATTTTTAAAAAATTACATGAAGGACAATTTTTCGTCTGAAAATTTAAAAAAGATTATCTACTACCCGTCAAAATCTCAATTTTACCAACTAAAACACAAATGTCTACTCTTGGGGGAGGGGGGGGGGTGAAAAACATGGGCGGATACAGAAAAAAGTTGACAATCGCACATTAACACTACACAGCAGGCGGTCTAGGGGGCCTCCCTTATGGTCAAGGGCGGAGCCATGATGGAAGCCCAGACCCCTCCCACCCCCGGAACCAGCGCAACTAGGTCTAATTTTAAAGGCAAAAATCCTAAAGTTCACAATGTCGATTATTTCAACCACTATAAATAAAAGGAATAGTTTCATCTTTTTGCAAGAAAGTCATCTTGATTGAAAGGTAAATGTATTATCTTTAAGGAGGAAAATAAAAGATTGTGGTAAACATGATTGCCTTATTTCAATGACTAAAGACTAAAACGAAATTCTGAAAATCTGACGGTCTTCCGTGCGACCTGTGCGACACCCTGAATCCGCCCCTGGGGAAAAAGGCCCTTCATGATTTTAAACTTTAGGCTCATTTTGTGCCATGCAGCTTTCGTCGTAATGTGACCAGGATAAAAATGAGAGAAACCAATTTTATCAGATGAAGCGCTTGTAAAAATGAGGATTCAATGAAGATGGGTAAGGACATGCTCCATCGTCTTTTTACTTATTACAAGAATGAATTAGTTACCATTTTCACATAGATAAACCGGTAGGAGACAATAAATACTTCAAACCTAGATCCACAAACAAAACAGCGTCATCAAATTTTTTGCCACAACGGAGGGTAGTAGGGTAAGAGGACAACTTTTCTGAAGTGGTGCACTAAGCTAACGTCATAGGCATTTATCTGCTTTCAGCCAGCAGACTGTTGATTATGAATAGATACGTACAAATGAGTGTCCAGTGTTTTCCTTAGGTCATGGGCTCCGACACATGTTGGAAAGTGGGGGAGGGGGGTTTCAAGTGAACATTTGGCCTCTACAACAAAATAATTTGAGAAAGGCTCTATTTTTTGCAAATAGTGGGGGCCATGGCCCCCCGGCCCCCTGCACCGGAGGCCCTGTTCAGCTTGCAGCCTTCTGCTTGCAGCCAGGGGCGTTGTGGCTCCTAGAAAAGGGCTGGGAGAAAATGATCATAAGGGGGTCCGCTCTTTTGTTTGACATCTCGAACCACAAACCACAGGTCGCCAAAATGATACCTATCCGCAAACCATGCACCAGAATTCAAAAATTACAATCATTAAAGGTTCATCTACTTATTTTTTGTCTGGGTGTATCCCCTTTTCTCTAAACACAGCTTATTTAGATATGCAAAAACTGTGAAACAAATCCAATGACGTATTGCACACTTGATACAAGCGCAAAGGCGATAGAGCACTTCCATGCAGAAAATTTTTTCGGTCACGCCCTTGAAAATAAATAGCTTGAAACGTCTTTCCGAACGTTTTTTAAAGTCGTTTACCACATTCTACAATTTTTTTGGCATACTTTGTTGCGTTTCGTTGAAATTTAGTTCTCGAAGCAGTTTGCCCCTCCTTGTCCACTTCTTGGCGGCCCTGTTCATATTCAACTCATCTCTTTCGCAGGAACCTGTTTGTATATGTTGACCTCCTCTAATTATGAACTCTGAACTTGAGTCTACATGCAAGTGAGGCATTTTCTCACCAAGGATTTTGTTCATATTAAATATTTTGCTGGGTTTTACAAACTCACTTGAAAGGGGCCCACTTGAAGATTTCCCGGTGTCCCGCCTAGCCACAACGCCCCTGTTTGCAGCTTCTTCTTCACCGAAAGGTTTCGGAGGCCCTGTGGCAAAACCGAACAACGAGGCCTCCTACGAGCGGAGCGATGAGAAAGTTTTTGCGGCCACGCCCTTCAGATTAGCTTTAAAAGCAGTTCAGAACCCTGCTTCATTTTCTTGCAGTCGTTTAAAATAGTTAACTGTTTTTAGACATACATTTGCTACGTCTAATTAATTCCATTCTTAAAATCTAATTCATTACTTTATCAGGCACCCTAAACCTCGGTCGAGGCCCTGGGGCAATCTACACAAGGCACAATTTTACCTACCCAACGAAGCAACTACCTAGGTTGATCCTTTTTTGAATTTAAGACGCGTAAGTCCCTGATCTACCTAAACAGTTTCTTTCACGGAGGCCAAAAATAGCATTTAGGGCCATTTTGATGATAGTTGTGAATCTAAGTCACATAACCGTGTTATGATTAGCATTTATACTAATTTTCATGTAATTGATTTCATTTTCAAAAAGTTAAAGAGACAATCAATTTGTGTTCTAAAAAGTCTGGGAACAAGCATTCTAAAAATAGCATTTTGGGGCATTTTGAAGATGCGTGTCGAACCAAATTCTTTTAGTGTGCTATAATTAATATCTAAATCAAGTTGTTTGCTATTGATGTTTTTTTAGCGGACTTGTAGAGATAAGCGTGTTAGAGAGATAAGCGTATTAGAGGTCTGGGAACGAGTACATGATCTAAAAATAGCATTTGGGGCCTTATGACGATGGGTGTGAATCAAAATCACATTATGATTAGTACCGTGTTATGATTAGTATCTATACCAATTTTCATGTCATTTATTTTGTTTTCAACAAAGTTATAGAGATAATCAGTTTAGGAGTCTGGGAACAATTAAGCATTCTAAAAATAGCATTTGGGGCATTTTACAGTCTGGGTCCCGATCCCATCTTATTCAGCATATCAAACTGTGAAGTTGTGCAGATGTTCATGCTTTTATCACAATGTGCGCATTCATTCTGCTTATCTCCTACACTATGTGTCAAGTGCTTCATTGAGTCAAAATAAATTAAGGAACTATAAAGGAACTTTTGGTACTACAATTTGATGATTTGAGGTCTACGAATAAGGAACTTTTGGAACTAGGCCTTGAGGTAGGTTCCTTATAAAAAAGGTGTATATTTTTGTACTTGTGTCTTAAGCTCTTGGCCAACAGGGCAATCATGTTCTTGGATTTTACAAAATTGCGTTATTATCAGTTTTATCACGATTTAATAGTTTCTTATTTTTTTTTGCTTCAACTTTGTCTGACTGTCTAGTACTCGTTTCTTATAGCCAGTTTCTTATAAAAAAAATGAGTGTAAGCCGTTTATTTTTTAAGGCCGCCTTCTAGGACTGAAAAAATAAATACGCCCTCCGGGGGCTTAATAGTACTTTTACTGTTTGTCAAATATAAACAATGGGTCTAAATGCGGAAGTAAGGTAGGGCGTGCTTTGAGCAGAGCTTGCATATGCTTTGAGAATGCAGACATTGTAGTTGCAGGCAGAATGGATATCGCCAAAATGTTTGCGATACCTTTTGCGATATCTCTGATCGCAAGTTTCGATGGAGCTTTTGGAACTTCGTTTGTCAACGTTTCCATTGCCGGCCTTGGTGTTGTGCAAGGAACAAAGAATCAGAATTTCGAGATCTTCAAAGGAATTCCTTTTGCCGAGGCACCGATCGGAGATTTGCGCTTCAAGCCACCAAAATCTGCAAAATGGAGCGGTTTTAGAAATGCTACTCGGTTCGGAAATATGTGTCCGCAAAGAGATTTTACATCAAAAAGACTTATTTTAAATGAAGATTGCCTTTACTTAGATATCTATCGGCCTACAAAAAGGGCTGGAAAGTTAGCTGTTATGGTATGGATTCATGGTGGGGGATTTATCTTTGGCGCTGCAAGTCAATACAGTGGACATTTATTAGCTTCTCTACACGGTGTCCTTGTAGTCACGATCCAGTATCGACTTGGTGTTCTCGGCTTCTTCAACTTGCCGAATACGGACGTTAAAGGAAACTTTGGCATGTTGGATCAAATAGAAGCCTTGAGATGGGTAAAGAGACATATTGGCGACTTTGATGGGGACGCCGGAAAAGTCACTATATTTGGAGAGAGCGCTGGCAGTGCAAGTGTCTCATTGCTCACACTTTCGCCTATGATCAAAGATGAGGGCCTTTTCTCTCGAGCTATCGCCCAAAGTGGAGTTGGAAGCGGCTACTGGGCGGTACAGAAAGCTTCAAACGACAATATAGCAAGAAATTTTGGCAAGTTGCTGCAATGCAATGACGTTAAAAAATTGGTATCCTGTTTGAAAACAAAGCCTACCAGTGAAATTCTCTTAAAACAAGATCACCTTGTTAAAGAATCAACATCAATTCTCACAGCTCCAAATGTAGATGGTCAGTTCCTAAAAGAATTGCCTTCAAAACTGGTTGCAGCTAATGCCATACCCAATTCAAACGTGTCACTTATAGTTGGGTTTAATCAGAACGAGGGGACCTTTTTTTCACGTGATCCCCGTAACAGTACAGAGCAGTCTTACGAAAAAATGGTTAAATTGGTATCAAAAATTTATTTTGGCCAGGAAAATAAAGTTTTGAATACAGCTCTGCTCCACGAGTATACAAAATACCACGTGAGCAATCTGGCTCTAAAATGGTTTGAAAGCCTCTCTGACTTCCATGGCGATTCCCTCTTCGTTATTGATGTCATAAACCTGGCAGACGCTTGGTTTAAATCTGGAAACACTGTTTACATGTATTTGTTTTCTCATTTGCCAGATCACTTGAAATTACCTTATTTAAAGGTAACCCATGGATTAGAAATATCGTACGTATTTGGTTTTGACAGTGTTGCACCTCAATGGTCTTATCATAAAAATTTAACAGATGTTGATCGAAATGTAAGCATTCAGTGTATGGAGAAGTGGGTGTCTTTTGCAAAAAACGGATTTCCAGGTAAAGGTTGGCCTAAATACAGTTCAAATACTAGACAGTACTTAAATATAAAAAATCCTTTGACTGTTGAAAGTCAACCATGGCCTAACAGGATGGCCTTCTGGAACAAAGTTGCCCCACAAATTCTTAACGGGACAGTTTCTTCTAAATGTAAAGATAACCCCAAAGCTTCGTCTCCAGCAGTTGAAGGAACTTTCGCTTTGTTGCTTGCATGCTTTTTGTTTAATAAACTTGTTTGATGATTATGATTATAAGCGTATCATACAGCGTTTATGATTGCTATTGGTAAATTGCTATTGGTATATGGCTAGTATGAATATCCTACCCAAGGACACAGAATAGGAATCAGGCAGAATGGGAACTCCAGCCCATCAGGTGAAGCCTGAAAATTCTAGCACATGCGTTAACTTATACGAGGCTAAGCATGTATCTGCAGGGGAAATCTAAAAAGAATGAAAATAGAAAACGTTTTTGACACGGAATAGCCTATCATAGTAAACAAATTCATACATCGTTTTCTGAGGTATATCAAAAGATAACTTTGCGTGCCAGTTTACTTTTAATGAAATCGAGGTTAAAGGGGAATTAAGAAGTTCTACTGTTGACTCAGGCTTCAAGTTACTGTTTCAGGGGTGTACATGCTAGGGGAGTCGTCAGGGTGTCAATCAATGTGTACTTTGTCGGTTCATTTAACGATAACTAGGTTCACAGAATGAATCTTCTGTATGAGGATTTTCTTGATTCGACTAGTTATTCTTGCAAAGCACTTAGTGGTAGTGGGATTACAATAAAAAAATGATTAATCAGATAATGCACGCTTATCAACAGATTCAGAAATCAAGCTTGCTGACTTAGATTGTATTGCTGAAATTGCTTATTATAAACATTACTTGTCACCAGATCCCTCGAAGTAGCTAGATATGGTTTTTTCGAAAAAGGAAAAATTGGATACTCTGTGTATCAACTGTGTATCAATTAAATGTATTATGTTTTGTTCATAAAATAAAGAAAATTAATCCAATGTCTTGTTTTCTGACTTCGAGCATCGTTTTCATATTATGACGCCCAGTGATTGTCAACCTGAGAACACTTGATGAATGACCCTCAAACCCACCAGCATTGACAGGATACTTTCATATTCTGTCAAATTCATGACTACTTTTGAAGGGTAAGAGGACGAGATTTCAGGTCCAGTCACAAAATGGTTTCAAAATAGTTCGCATCTGGCTCAAAAGAGGTATGAAATCTTAGCTTGAAGTTTATGAAACTCTTCCTTCACAGCAAATTGAATTTTGTGACCAAGAACATTTAAATGTGGACAATATACTAACTGCAGACAAAAAGGACATAAGAAGGCAGGGGGTGGTTGGGGTGGGGTCTACATTTGCCAACTTTCAAACGGACAATTCAGGATCAAATTCTCCGGAGACTTTTCTGTGGCTTGAAGTTTGTCTAAAATTCTGAAAAGCCTAGTGGCGTCGTCAGAAATTCTCGAAAGAACAGAACTGGCGGCAGAGAACTCTTAATTGGAAGTCTTCTTTGGATGAGTCTAGTGTAACATAGCTAGCCTCGGTTGATTGCATTGATTGGTGCAGTCGTTTGAGGGGCTCCACCGCAAGTTGGAATGTAGGGAGAGTGGGAAGGGCAAATTAAAGATGCAAAGTAATGGGGGAGCCCATGGCCATCCTGTTACACGTACTAACAACCCCCTCCCTCACGTTTGGACTCCCTGTGCATTCTACCTACGCATAAATTGCTCAGAGCAAAAGTGACCTGGCCTTCTTCCACTTCAGGAAGCGCATAATCATTGATAGAAACGTTAATAAGAGAATCAAAGAATCGCCAGAGAAGCGAAACGTCCAGACAGCTACAGCAGCAAGTGGTCCCAAAATGTCATTCATTAAATAAACACAATATTCTTATTATATACAAAATTTACTGGTTATAACCTACGGAAACGCTTTGCAATACTCGGTTAAGTCATAGAAATATCACTGTAGATGTTAAACCGATACATTAAGGACAATTAAGATCTGCTCTGAGCAGAGTAAGACACTGGACGATATTTTCCATGAGGTATCCGCCATTGAATCCTGCTCACTAGCTTGCAGGGCTTTTCAATTTGCTTTAAGTTGACTTTAAAGTACATCGACGGTTCATAGTGGTGTAAGCTCTCATTTAAATCAGCTACTTATGTATAACTTTCAATTCGAGTCATCTTTGAACTTCAAACTAACGTTTGCTACCGATTGTATTACCTTGAAAAAATAAGCTTCAAACGAAGCAATATTAATGAGAGAATGGTTAGAGTCTTGCACTGAAGAGTTAGTTATCTTTATATCCTTTTTTGGTTAAAAGCTGTGGACCAATGCACATCCACTTTGCATAAAATCAGGCAAAAAAATATGTCTCTTAATGTTTAGAAAATTCTTTGTGCAAATACAATGTTACGCATTAGTACTCATAAGCATATTCACAATAGAGTCATTGCTTCTCTGTCTTTATTTCTAAACCCAAGATAACTATATATTAGGTAAACTTTATTTTCATTTCATCCGAAAATTCAAGATTCAAAAAGCTTAGAAAAAAATCTTAATAATTTTTGACGAAAAATTTTTCTTAGCAAATGCTCCTACACAGAACATTTCTACTCTTTGGCTCGTTCTCAATTACTGATGGCGCACCCACCAAAGAATTTTAAACCCAATAGCAACAAATAATTGGTCCTTTAATATGTAATTTGAACACCACTGTTAGTGGGTAATATTTTAGCACTTGAGTACTAGAGGCAGTTATTCAAGCCGTTCAAGAAATATCTGGTTCATATTGCTATTATGCTTGGCTCAGAATGGGTTGTCAAAGTAAATATTTTTTAAATATTGGAATCAAAAACTCATTAGAAAAACCCTTGCTAAACTTGGCGGATGGCCAAATCAATTGATTATTCAATATCTACGAGCATCTTAGCATAAGAGATACATTCATGGAGTGAGGGAAATGGTAAGTATTACCAGTTACGCTAAATATTCTATAATAGAGACAATATATACCTGTTACCTAACAAAAATACTACCTAAAGACACAAATAACATTTTATGCAAAGTAATCTCCAATTTTATTAAAGTGCTGATTCTGGAGTTAAGCTCAGCATTAAAAATTTGCGATTCAATATCGAATCTATTCTAACATAATACAGGGTTCAAATTTATCAACAATTTAAATTCCAATGAGATCTCTCACTTGAGATAGAACTTCATCCTTTTTTGATGTTTTCCTGTTTAGTTTTGCTTCAAAGGATTTCAAAAGAAGGAGCCCAGGTGGAGTATTGCCCAGTCTTCCTTGACATAAATACCTGTATACAGAAAGTAATAGGCGTTGATAAAAATGATAGATGCAAAGTCAGCTGTAATTTCGGAGTTCACATTTGATTGACAAATGAGGGAGTAGGAGTGTCACTCAGGGGTGCAAATATGAACATTTTGTGCGGTGGTTACATGAACATTAGCGCCCCACATATCGCTATATCTTTCATTAGAACGACAAAACATACTAACTGAATCTTTAACTACAGATCATCGTACAGCACATGCACAAAAAGACGATGACAAGGCGCTGGATTTAGCTGCAAATCAGCAAGCCTGCTCCTTCGTCATGCTAGAATATTGATTAATATCAATATTTTGATAAATATCAGAAGTAATAGTAGCGAACAACTTACTGTTTACATCCTTCCACAGTCTGCATTGTCTCTTTTAATTGCTCCCTCGTGTCATCGAATGAATCGGATTTATCAAGGTCTTCTGTTTTGAATTTAAACATATACGGGATACGATATGATCTGCTTTCATCCCATTGGTCGCTGATGGTAAGACAAGTGATCTGTGACTTATGAGGCACTTCGTTGCTTGTCATGTTGTAGGGACTTATGATAATCCCAACAAACGGAGCACCAGCTCGCGAGAACCATTCCTATAAAACCATGAATCAGTGTTATGATTACATTACAAAGCCAACTATTCATTTCTTGGATCAGCATAATTGGTAGCCTTTACAAAGATGGCATACAGAAAAATATGAAAATGGCTCTGAAAAAAGCAAACATTTGAGTAAATTAAAGCTTTTCGTCTGACACTCTTCAGAGTTTAAAATGTCAGAACATAGATCGAAAACTCTACGCTTTTTTCAAAGCCATTTTCAAGTTTTGTACCACCAAAAGATTGTTTACAGACGAATATGTTTCAGTCGAATTCGATCGACTCAAAGAACCGAAATAAAATGAAGGTCCCAATTTACAATGAAACGTGTTTTTGCGCTTAAATTCATCAATGACCTACTATCATTTTGCCCTGCCTTTTCTGACCACCCATATCCCGTCAATTGGGCAGGATACCGAAATTTTCACTATAACACAATTCTAAAAAAGCAGTTTTACCTGGAACGTAGACTGGGTGTCAATGTCCCTTAGAGAAGGAGTTGGTGCAAATGTAGGATGGGAATGGTACCAGCCGACTACGTCCAAACCATGTTGCGCTAGGTCACTTGATGCCTTTGCCTGGGACACAGGGTCCATTTCACACTGAAGATTTGTGCCAACGTTGCTGCATGGAGACACACGCATGATCTGAAAGGCAATTCAACCAAGCATCAAAATAAGGCACACAGTTCATAACTGTTTCATTCACATTAATATAAAAAGCAAAATCTATGCAGCGACAGATATCTAGGCAATCAGGCCAACTCTCTTTTAGCAAATCTTAAGACTTGGCTAAGAGGAAAAGACCCGAACGAACCCAAAATGATGGCCAGAACAGCTTCGTTCAAACGATGTTTGGAGCTGCTCTGTTTACTTTGAAAGGTTTTACCGCAGACCGGTTAAAGGCACACGTAAATAAGTAACGGGAAAGGGGTCTCCTTTGCTTGAGGCCAATTCGTCAGATAAGTAGAGAATTTAATAAGAAAACAACCACAACGCAAGAGATGTTTAAAAACATCAATTACAAAACCAATTTTTGTCACTGTCACCAAGATCTCAATAATGGGCTAATTATTAACAATTCTTTGGCATTTGGTTTTATAAAAACAAAGGATAGCTCGATACCTCTTTGCTAAGAAAATATCGATCTGTCTGGTTGATTTCAAGGGTGAAATTCCTCGTTAATTACAATTTAGATGGCAAGATTGAAAACAAATAGAAGCTCAATTGTTCAAAAAGGAAGAAAGTAAATTTGAATTGAGGTTGCAAAGTTAGCAAAACATAGAACGAAGATTGGAAAAATTTGAAAGCAGTTTTCCCCCTTTTCTCCTCTGTTAAAACTTCAGGCTGCTCCCGAAATATAGCGTGTCCGATACAAACACGTGTATCGACAATGTTAGACGGTGGGAAGAGCGGAATGTGTGAAAACGTTGAATAAAAATAGCATAATATACAGATGTTTCAGACTAGACACGTACTAAAGTTATAATTCTAGCAAACGTGTTTGGCCATAAAATTGAGGCAGTAAACAGAGCGAAAAGATTCTTAGACTGGGAACAAACCTCGAGCTTTCTGCTGGCATGATAGTATTTGCCACCGACTAGGCCAATGACTTCCGAAGATGAAAGATGTGAGTGAAAATCCATTACAAGTAAGGCTTTCAGGCATATGGTAACAGTGAATGGTTGCGCATTTTCTGAAGGGAAAAATCTGCATGGTACCAGCTTGTAAGGATCAGATTCTGGCAAAGATTTCTTGAGCTTATTTGCAAAACTCAAAGGTCTTGCGCGTGATTCCATCCGCTCTTCGTCGGGAGAAAGATGCTAGAGAAAAATAGAAAGTCGTTTACGGATGGCCACTGATTCCGTAGTAGAACCATTCAACAATTATTAATCTCTATTTGTTGACAGTTCATACTTAAACATTTCACTCACTAATTATAAATCATTTTTTGGAAAATAACTAAAGCTTGCTGGCAAGCAATTTTCAATCTGCAAACAATTTTTCAGTGAAAAAATATCTGAAAACGGCTGTGAAAAGGAAAGCATTTTAAAAAGCCTTTTTTAGCGTACTAACTAGGGGGTAATGGCCCCTCCAGCCCTAGTGACCGTGTTAAAAACAACAGGCTTGTTGTCTTCCTATTTATACAAACAAAAGCTTGATCTCCACCGCTGATGTCCCTATACAAAAGGCTCATTTTATAGCATACTAAAGCCTTTCCTCTGACAATCTAAGTTTGATCTTTATGTGTAGAAATCATCTACCTCCTCTTTGAGTACCTCTACTTGGAATTTGCAAACAATGAGTTTCAGGCAAATGCTTTTGTATTTCTAAAAATATTTGATTTTTTCAAAGTCATTTTCAAATTGAAAATTTGCAAATATTTCATTTAAATACGAGGTGCATTGCCCACTTTGAAGAGTTTTTTTCTAGTGAGAGCTGATACCTTCTATCTACATTGAGGTAGTTTAATTCCCATTCAAGTTCAAAACCTAACATCTTTGCTTAGTGGACCTCATGCTTAATTTCACAAAACCTATGTAGATACTCTCAGATAACTCTTACATGACTGATGGTTCCGTTGAAGAAATACATTGTACGTCAATTGCGTTTTAGAGTAATAGAATCTCTGCACATTTAGTCATGCAAAAAAAACTAGAGAAAAGTTTTGAATGATATTGCATTGTTCAACATAGCAAATCGTCTTACCTTGATAGTAAAGCCTTCTGACTCTGTCCTGTCAATCCAATCTTGGTTGATGTCCATCTTCCAGCGTTTCCTTGGCCTAAGTCCGAGACTGAATGTCTTTGTCATGTCCCAAACACCATTCTTGCCACCTTGAGGATAAGTACCATTTATGATAGTTCTATTGTCTATATACGAGTCATCTCCAGTATCAGAATTCGTGTCCTCACCATCATCAGTATATCTTCTTTCTACGTCCGATTTTGTTAGATACTTTTGTTTGCATTTCGCCCACATATCAGAAATCAGATCCCTGAACTTCGAGTAGTTACTTGGAGACGTGTCCACACCGTTACCTTCAGTTAGAAATCTTTTGAATGCTTCTCTCTCGTCAGCCGTTATCAAATCGTTGTTGAACATGTCATCATTCAATAGTCTTTCAGCAACTGCATCATCGTCTTCAGTTTCGGGAGATGGAAAATCATACCTTGGCGAGTCAGTTAATTTTCGCTTCCTGCAAACGTTCGTTTTCCCATTTCGCTTAGGCCTTTGCACAGCACCATAGTTGATTGCACCAACCCTTTCCAAATACGCGTGTACCCTTCCGATTGAATTTATGTCACCAGTATACCAAGGCATATCGCAGCGAGCATTGTGCTTGTTTAAGTAAAACGGTTTTCTATCATACCAAGATTTCAAGATCGAGTCTCGTATTTTCACATACTTTTCTGGTGGTTTTACTTTGCTGCCAATAAAAAATTCCGGGCATCCAAGCTTTTCTTCCTCTGTAATGACACTCAAATCCAATATCCGTTCTTCTGTTGGGATCGGATAAATCTGCTCATCATTGTCGTCCTCTGAATTTGCTACGGTTGAATACTGCGAAGGTCCGTTAACTTTTAGACCGATATCGGATTCCAGAAGTGGACTTATTTCGGACACTGAATCAAAACCAGAGTCACCAATCGAGCTTTTGTCTGAAGCAGGACCGGATTCACGATCTGATATCAAATCTTTTACAGGTATTAAACCATTTCTTGGTGGCACACGGATCAGTTCCTTTTCACTCAACAAATTCTCATCGTGAACTGTAGAATCCGGTTCGCATTGTCGTATTTTCGGTTTTCTGCCTCGTTTTGACCTTGGCTTTAACAAATCACCCTCATCTATGCTCAGTATATCATCAGTGGATCTTTTGGCTCCTCTGCTATAATTATCAAATGGAATTAATGCGTCTTCGATACTGCACGGTGCGACTGGCTTGCCCATTTCAAGCTCTACTTCCCTTGATATATCTTCTAATTTCTTCTGTGCAGATTTCATTCTTGCAGCTTTTGTGCCCACCGACCCATCCCTTTCAGCATCTTTGTCTTTTGGAACCGTCACACATCGCTCTTGGTTCATTCGTGCGCGACTCGGCCTTCCTCTCCTGGGCTCCTGGGCACACCCAAAATTGATTGCTCCGATTTGCTCGAGGTAATCGTGTACACGGCTAATAGCATTCACATCTCCACAATACCAGGACATAGCCATTCGTGCTGCCTGTTTGGTTAGGTACGCAGGCTTCGAGTCCAGCCAACAGTATATTATAGAATTTCTCATTTTAAGATATTTTTCAGGAGATTTATTTTTATTTCCATTAAAAAATTGCGGATTGGCTTTCTTCTCTTCTTCAGTAATCGTATTAAAGTCTAAAAATGTCTCTTCATCTGCCTGGATATGATTGGTAGTCTTCGGGAGAATACTGTCTTTCTGGGAAGGTCTTCCTCTTTTCCGTTTCTGTTCCCCAGTTGGAATTTCTGAATTCTCTGCACGTTTTGCATTAAAATACTTGCTTCTGCGCCTCTCCATTCGTTCTACCCATTTATTCTTTATCGAGCAACCAACGTTGATAGCACCACAATTTTCAAGAAACATAAAAACTCTCCCAACTGCATTGGCATCCGTTGGGTCAACCTTACTTCGGATTGAATTCTTCGTCAGGTAAGCAGGTCTGATCTTACTCCATTCCTTTATGATGAATTTTCTGATTTGAAGATACTTTTCTGGAGTCTTTGAAAGCTTTCCCATGAAAAACTCTCTACATTCCTTGCGCTCTATTGGCAAAATTTCTCCTTCCTCAAACATGATCTCATCAATTTTTATGGGTACAAATGCATCTTTTTCATAATCTTCCTCTAACCTAGACAGATCGCTTTTCCCCTCTTCAGCAGATGAAGAACCATTCTTTAACTCTTCATTGATATCCGATTCACTGTCACTTGTCTCTGACTCCTCGTCTGTGTCATCATCATCATCATCGTCATCACTCCGGCTACTGCTGCTGCTGCTGCTGTCTGTATCGGATTCAGAGCTGTCACTGTCATCCTCATCTTCTTCATCTTCGCTTGAACTTCCGCTGCTGTAGCCTTCACTGGCCTCCTTCGCATATGACACGTTTTCATGTGGAAGTTCCTTCAGTTCTTCAGAGCACGCGAAATTCTCAGTTGGCATAGCAACACTCTCGAACTGACCACTTGGCAAGTCATATTTAGTATCACAACTGTTTTGTGATTGAGCATCGGACACATCATTAGCAGAGAAATCCTCAACATCAGAAAGCAACGTTTCACGGGGATTTTCACCACTGGAATCAATTTCATCTCCGTTAATGAAAGGGTCAAGTTGTGACTTATCAATTAAACAGGCATGAGACGGCCTATCATCATTATAAATGACCTGATCCCATTTATCCGTCTGTCTTTCGTTTTCTGGCTTAAAATCTACCTCTGTCTCCTCATCATCGTCAAAAGGCGAACCAGTGCCATTTTCGCTGAAAAACGTATCCTTTTCTTCAAATTTATCAATTCTGCGATCAACATTGCCAAAATCGGACTCGCATTGATTGGTTTCATCATTGTCCATAATAAGAAACTTTGAGGTATCGCCATACGGAGAAAGACAGTCTAGTCGTGGATCGCCTTGCACAAGCCGCTGTCTGCATTGCATCTCACAATTAATTCTTCCATTTTCACAACCTAAATCCTCTTGCTGGCAAATTTCATTCATTTCATCTCCACTTGAACATGCATCAGCCGGTGGCAAACGCAAGCAGTCTTCAATTTCATTTGTTCTTACAATACCCCCATGCAAACAGTCCCTCTTGACGAGGACATCCTTTGACATGCCTGGTAAAGTAAATTCCAAGCCACAACTGTTCATGTCAAATAAATCATTACTCAGCGACGTAACAATGGAGCTCATAATTGACGTGCTGACTCTAGGCCTTGTCTCTTCATTAAGTTCCAGATCTTCGTTATAACTAGGGACTGAATGTTCAGGAAATGGTCCCAAATCTGTCTTTCCATCAACTCTATCAGCATCTATATCAAGTCCAATAGAAGTACAATTCTCTTCGGTCTCACTATCAATTTTGGAGTCTTTTTTCAAGTTATCTTCTTTGTCAGCTACCTTATCATCGATCGTTATTGTACATGTCTCTTTTTCACCAACATTCAAAACTAAAGAAAGGCTCTCATCTTCCATTACATCTTTCTCCACGGCTTCCAAAGATTGCTTGTTATCTAGAGTCGTTTCAAATTCATTTTCCCGTTGTTCGATTGACTCCATGTTCTCCTTCTCATTTGGCTGGCCAGCTTCTACAATTGATGTTTCGTCTAATTGTGGAGAGACTTCCGTAAGTTTCACGAATTCCTCTTTGTCTTTGTTCATATCCTCTGACTCTGCTTTGGAGCTGGACAGACCTGTAGTACTTTCCTTGGATTTATCAACCAATGTACTCAGATCAACCTGAGCCGACATCTGCAAGTCTTCTACGGACACTTGACTCAAACAGGCCTCTGGACTTTCGGCTAAACTCGACTCTGAATTCGCTAATCCCACCTTTTCAATATCATTCACTGCATTAGCTGATTCTGCTTGCACTCCCTCAGTAATTTCCCTCAAAAGTCGACTGGCAGCTCTTCTTGGCCTTAGTACTTTTCTCTTTATGTTTGCATTTCCTTCATCTCCGTTTTGTTGAGCCCTTGTTTTCTTACTTTTCCCTCCCCTTCGCTTTTTTGCATCGACACCCTTTTTACACGCTACGGCAACATCCCTATCTTTTGCATCTGACTCGTTGTTTTCAGCTTTCATTAGACTGATGTTCGTGCAACCTTTTAAAACGTCAGCAATGTGTACTTCTACATCTTTAGCAAGAATCTTTGTTTCATTCATGTTCTCATCACACGATCCAGGCTCTTTATTACCAGCGTAGGTCTGCCTTTCCTCTGGTAGTTGCGTTTCGAGCTCACAAATGCTATTTTTGGTCGTCATTTTTTCTGAAACAACGCTATCAGAGCAAAGTGATTTATCCGTACAGGTCAAGTCAGACGAATCATCCACTTCCTTTACATTTTCATTGACAATTTCGTCTTTTCCATTGTCGTCTGATACGCTTACTTTAGCTGACTGGCTCCTCGTTCTTCGTTGCAAAAATGTTTGGTCTTCCAGTACATCAATCTTATTATGTGTTTTCCCTCTCTTTTTCCTGATTTTAACTTGTCTTGAAGTTGGCTGGGGCTGGGGTTCAGGTTCACATTGCAGCTGGGTTTGCATCAAGGCCTCTTCCTGGGTTACTTCATCGGGCTCTTTCAGGGGCTCTTTCAGGGGCTCTTCCTGGGTTACTTCCTGGGGCTCCTCCTGGGTTACTTCCTGGGGCACAGACTCTGTCTCAGTATCAACATTCGTGGCCATTGTTGAGTCTAATTTCTCAACTTCAGGGCAGACCTCGCTTTCTTCTTTGCAAATACCCTCAGAAACATCAAATTCACAATTTTGAGACTCAGCCACATCACCGATAGAATTTTCTTGCTTAGTTTCCTTTTCAATTTCACAGTCTTTTGTTTCCTCAGCCACTTCAACAACACGATCATAGCAAGTCAATTCCAATTCCTCATTTTTGACACTTTTATCGTTATCTTCAGTGCTGTCTTTTACTGCCTCGATATTACTACAAGGTGCAAACGGAGCCTCCTTTCCATCAATCCCTGATTCATTTGGAGGCCATATGTAGTTAGGAGGCGCTGTTTTGGAAGCAAGAATTTCAACTTTCTCCTTGACTTCACCATTATCTCCGAGACTTCGATACTTTATTACTCCAAAGGCTTCCTTGTCAACATAGATGTCATCAACACAAAAGGTCATTTTCCCGTGCGTTTCCACGACTTCATTTTGTATCATCCAGCCTTCACTGTAAGTGTAGGTCGAAAGAGCACATACAGGTTTGTCGGTTTGTTGCTCATCTTCACAATAGGAATCAATATTCTCTAAATTAATCGATACAATGAGCTTTTCAGGTACATCAGTGGGGTTCGAAGATTTGCTATGACGCGTTGTTCGCTTCGGTAACGACTGGTATTTGCTGCACTTTCTTCCTCTGTGTGTTGTTGTCTTCTCAGTTTCTGCAATGGGCTCAAGTTCTTTCTCGCTACATTCGGACATGTAGTCTGGTTTTTCCTCTACTTTGGGGCATACATTAGTAAGCCTCTCTTTACTTAACATTGTTAGCAGTCTTGTTGATGAGCGGCAAACCCGTTTTCTATACGTCTTCTTATTCAAATTTTCTAATTTTATCGAAACAACATATTTTTCCTCTGGCTCTGAGTCAACATCGGCAGGAGACAAAGCATGTAACAAAGCATCACAGATTTTAGTGGCTTCATCTTTAGGGATTATATCACTGTCCATAGTCTCGGCTTCAATTGGATTTTCCCAAGCACTTGCCTTCGCACGATTTTCGTTAGAAATGTGACTGTTGGAACACAAAGATTCACTATCAGGCAGTTTTCTCTCGCATACTGAGTCATCATCAAGTTCTTCTTTCACGTAACTTTTTTTATCTATTTCCACTTTTTCGATTGCCTCGTGCACAATTAGTTTCTTGTCAACAACACTACCAATCATAGGGCTGCTGGCTTTAGAACAATCAAAGTGCAATTCCGAATCTTGCACCATGACATCAGCTTTACTTGTGTTTACTTCTTCTCTTGTTTGCAAGTCACAATTACTGTCGCTATTTTCACCAATTTCTTGCTTATTACTTATAATAGTTCTGATTGTCGTGATCTTTGTTTCGTCAGTAAGCAGCCCTTGTGCCGAGTATTTTGAACCACAATTTCCTCTGTCGATTTCTTCATCAGTTTTATTTATACAAATTAAATCATTCTCATCATTATTTGCTTCTGAAGTTCTTTGCGTCTCAATTTCTCGCTTAATAGCAAGTCTTGGTACAGCTTGCCGAGACTCAGTTTCGTTACGCCCAGTACCAGATATCGGCTCTGTCTCCTCCTGCCTGACGATCCGATGACAATTTCTAGTAACTTCGCTTTCATTGTCTATTTTATTGCTATCATGATGATTTAACAACGACGAGTCTTTCCGGTCACAAGCATTGCTTGCATTGTCATTTACACTACCGCAAGTAACATCGCTTTGTCGCTTGCAGCAGTCTTTGCAGTTACTTTCGATACAGTTGTTCGGCGTTGAAGGCGATAAATCATTTTCAACGGTGCCTTTCAACCGGACATGGTTAGGCAAGGTCGAAGTTATTGGTTTTAAAAAATGTTCCTGAGATTTCTGAGCGACACATCGATTTGTTAGCAGAGATGATTCATGCGATCCAGGCGGTTCTTTACTAACTTCATTTTGATTATCTTGTTTCTGAATACTTTCACTGCAGTTTGAACTAATTTTTGTCTCGACTGCCTTCAGCGTTTTACTTACTGCACCTGGAGATGAAAAGTAAAAACATGTTACGTGTTACGTACAATGGCCAAGTTTGCTTATAATTCGCGTACAATTTAATGTTAAAAAAGTGTGTCCGTACAAATATCATATTCTTTGAAACGATTGTAGCTTGGTCTTAACCAATCAAGGCAAAAGTAGTTTGGTCTTAACCAATAAAGGTAAAAGTAGTTTGGTCTTAACCAATAAAGGTAAAAGTAGTTTGGTCTTAACCAACAAAGGTAAAAGTAGTTTGGTCTTAACCAATCAATCAAGTAGAAAATTTGTTTTTAAAAAATTGACCCCAGCAACTGAACGCGTAAATGTTAAGCCCTATAGCGATTTCAACGGAAGCAGAATTTTTAACCACACTTCTTAAAATTACACCAATTGTCCCTTAGTGGAAAATGTTTTTGATGTACTGATACGAAACTATGGAACAATACTTGTTTGGGAGAAGAACAGCCTATAATCTTCAAATTTGAGCCTCCGGTCTCATGGGGTCTAGGAGCACGTGCAACACAGATAACATGACGCTGCGCGCGCTCTTTGACGGTACGCATGCTCGCGGAAATTTCACGAAGCGGAAAATGTAGAGGTGATAAACAATTCTGCGCATAGAACAAAGGTGAGAGTGAAGCAGAAAGTGCAGCAGTGACACAATTGCCTAACATGGGTTGTTCAAAAACAATTTCAGCGGCAAAACTATGTACGGAGAAAGACGGAGTTAAACTTTAGAAAGCACCAGTAATGAAGAAAGAAGCAAACCAACAACCTTAAGATGAAGAAAGATGCATTTATAAAGGCAATAAGAAATTACAAGTGTATATATAAGACATTACATGGAGGGTATCCTGGACATCTAGGATGCGTGGAAACAGTTTACATGATATTCAGAACTGAAGGTGAGCTGTTCCCCATCAACTATAATTTTTTTTTCATTGATATAATAAGTGTGAAAAATCAAGAGAGAACAGACTCGATACACCGTAAAGGCCGGTTTCCACTTGATTCGCTCTGGTCGCGCGACTTGGCGAAATCGAATAATATAATAATAATAATAATAATTATAAATAATTTGTTTAAAGTTGGCGTACTAAATGAACGGCTGATAGCTATAAAGAAGCTAATTAAGGCCAACTATTTATAAAGAGTTAGTATGAAATAAAAATATATGATACAATATCAAAAAGGTTTAAGGTATAATGTTCAATTCACCAACGGCGAACGCGACCAGTCGCCCAGTAGTTCAACTGAGTTGAAGTACTCAGCGAATAATCGCGCATTCGAAGCGAATGAGGAAGTCAATTTGCGCATGCCAAAATTTGCATTCGCTCAGTCGCGCGACCAGAGCGAATAAAGTGGAAACCGGCCTTTAAGATCTTCTATATCAATAATGACGTGCATTCCATCATAACTAACTGGAGTTTATAACCACCACACCATCCAATCAGAAGCAAGTATGAGGTTAATGTGAACTATAATGTTCTGCGAGATTACACATTGCACCAGGGACATTTTTTCTACTGTGAATACATAACAAATCAAACGGCAATCAAGAACACATTAATATTTAATATATACATTTAGATATACACACAAAGATATTTAGATAGTTACACATATATTTATATATATTTAGATATATAATCATAAGGCAAATGCTGACAGGAGGAAAATTCTTTCCACACTCTTGGTTGAATCGAACTCCAGTTTGCTGCTTCAAAAACCCCCGCTCATTCCACTGAGCCAAACGGCCCAATGAAATGAGCGATGAATCTCCGAAGCCAACACTGGAGATCTCACCGTAGCCTAGGCACTTTTAGTTTCTTATGTTTCGGCTTCAAGCCTTCATCAGAGCCATTTTAACCATAGATATATAATCACAAGGCAAATGCTGACAGGAGGAAAATTCTTTCCACAAGGGCTAATTATATTTAGATATATATTTGATACAATTTCTAAGGACAATTTATGGGAGAATCAGAGTCCAGAAAACATTCCGGTCACACGATCATTGACCGGAGGAGGAATTGGAAAGTGAGCCACTAGGTTCTGGGGGAGGGGGGGGGTGCAGGGTGGACAAAATTAATAGCGCCAATGACCTCTTAAAATCAGCTCTGGATAGGCATTTTGGTGGTGAAAGAAACTGGTATTTTATTACACCACAAAACAAGCCAGAATCAACTGCAGTTTCACGTCTGAAAAGAGATTATGTTCCATGGATCATGTTTATATGGATTTTATTGATCAACATTTATAAAGAAATATTATTCCTGAGCGGTGATGTTTTGAATGTTATTCTAGCATAATTATTTTCTATGCGATAATTACACTCGACCCAAACACATAGTGTTGTCTCTATTTATAACTTCTGCCACTTTCTAGCCATGCCCTAGCTACTCCTTAGCTACTCCTATCCACGCTGATTGCCTGAAAAATTAGAGGAAGGTTTTGACAGGGAAAAATTTCAACCGGAGGAAGGTTAAGAAGTTTTCTGGACTTTGGGGAGAATTCTTCACAATGGAAGATATTCGGAGAGATAATTTTGTTTTTGCGTGGAATGATTTGACTAGACCAAGCTATCTGGCTAGCCCTATAAAATATGCCTTTTGCCAATCTTCGCATGAAAACATGTCAGAAAAACTTTTATTTTCAATCTTGCCTGGTTTTGAAAAAAGGTTTTTGCTCAAAAGCTAACAGTCTGATGCTGATAATAGACAAATCTATGAACTTTAGAGGAGAATATAGTAACCAATCTAGGGCACCCGGCGTTCCTGCTTTTCCTGCTCGAATCTCATTTCAGAGTTTTGAAAGCTAAAGTGGGGAAAGAATTTTCTCTCTACAGTTATGTACTGACAAAAGCCACTAGTTGAAAAGAAAAGCCATTGCAAAAACGAAAAAGAAAAACTGCTGAGTCATATCAAAGAAATGGATAAACTTATAATTTTCTTCATTAGAACAGAAAAATACACAGGAACGTAAAATAGACGGTTACACCGTGCTGTATTATACTGGTTCCTATCCGCAAGGGTTGTTCAAGAAAATTAATCGTGGATTTTTGCGCAGTTAGATTGAAGAGCTACAGCAAAAAGATGGCCATATCACAATTATCATTTATAATGATATACCCTTTCTTATGTTGCCTGATGATCGCATTAAACGTGAAAGTCGGAGTTGCAACTTAACGCCTTTCTTATCTATACGTACCTAAGCGTGCAAGGCATCGAACACTTAAGCACAGATAGGCATAACAGTAATTTTCGTTATATTTTCTTGTACATCACAGAAATCTTCTAACATTCTTATAGCTTTTATTTTTTGCAATGACAAGCGTTCGATGAATTTAACGATATGTATATGAACCCACTTTTTTTGAAATCCTTATCAATAAACTCAATAATACCCAAGAAAAGACCTACATTATATCCTCGGGAGACCCCCGAGGGTATGCAATGGTATATGCGAGGAAATGCAAAGGTATATGTGAACCTATTTAGAAAAGTGTATAAATAACGCGCTTGCAAAACAAGCTGGTTGAACTCAAAATAAAAAAGCCTTTAAACGCATGACATCAAACAGACAGGAGAAAATTCTAGTTGCACTGTCGTGTTCCATGCTATTCCAGCGCAACGTATCCTAGCTATACCCAACGACTTTGATCGAGGTTTTCAGTGGATTTTTTAAGAGAGTTTAGTCAGTAATGTTAGCTCAATTAATTTCCATTAAAAATTCAAGACATGAAAGTTCAAAACTTGATAAAAGATATATTTCACAATAATAGTTGCAACAGCTGTACACGGCATAAATATCTTCGTCTAAAAAAGAAAGAGTAGGCGAGAACTGTGAACAGATGAGAATATTTTCGAGTTTTGAACTTATATCCTGTCTGATGTTACAAAGCAAAGCATCTGCAATGATGTATAGTAACAAAATCCCCCAGGGGCGTCGTGGCAAATGAATTCTAGAGGGGGCCAGAAAGAAAAACTTTCAGACAAAATTTCTTTGATTTATTTGAAATAGAAGCATTTCATGTAAGTGTAAAGGGGGGTGAGGCAGAAAAACTCATAACTTCTGCCTTAGCTGGGAAGAAACTTAAAATGCACTTTTATCTTGTCTCTGTTTCTTCATACTTTGGCTCTTAAAGTTTCGGATAACCAAATTTTGGCTCTTGAAGTTTCGGATTTTAACTGACAAAATCAGAACAGCAAATCACTCTATGGTAGGAATCTGTAAATCCTGAGAAATCATTTTGTTTTGTGGAAATCTAGTATGTTTTTTACAAAAGTGAATTGCCTCTCGAATTTACGGCAAGTACTTTAGTCCAAGTAATTTATGTTGGTAAGAGTTTGAGAATCACCCACAGCTCAAGTTTGAGAATTTTCCGGCAAAATAGTGATTTTTCCAAAAATCCATCAAATTTTGAGAGCAGAGGCCCCCCTGCCTCCCCCCCGGCCACGACGCCCCTGAAATCGTCGACACTTGGGTTCAATTAGAAGCATCCATGTTTGAGTTGCTCGATGTACAGCCGACATAAGCGCAGGCTGTGCCTATCATCAAGAAATTTAACTGTTTATTTGACATGTTTAGCAAATTACTGATAAGTTGGAATGTGAATTTTTAACAGTGTAGGAAACTGACAAATGATAAACGAAAGGTTCAAAAAATGATAAATCTAATGTTGGTTGGATAAGGGTTTTGATTTACATATAACACACTTCTAGTGGATTGCAACTCTAATATAAAAACAGAGCGAGTGATTAAGAAGCAAATAGCTTCGTGTTAGGACGGGTTTATCAACTGCTGAGTTTAGCTTTCAGATGTCTTTGCACAATATTTTGGACGAAGGCATCGAGGTAATATAAAGTGAAAAGGAAATAGAAAAGGACAAATTTATCTTCAATTTCATCTTATATCCCCTACAATAGATATTCTGTAAAAAATGCAAGCAAAGAAATAAATAGGACTATCAACCGTGCACTGGCGATCTCCGCGATCTCTATAGAAATTGTAAATCAAACTTAATCTTCTTTCTCGAGACTCGTCAACAATTCGGGTGAATGGGGAGCAACTATCCCACTTGTAAACTATTTACAAATAAGTAAAAATTAAAAGATTAGTAGTCATTCAAAGCAAAATCAAGCTCTTACAGAGCACTCTGTCTTCTTACAAAGAAAGTCAGTTAAATAAGGTAAAACTGTACTTTAACTCTTTTATTCAATTTTTTAATTTTGTTAGCTGTTTGTGTAAATCAGTTAGAAACACAAACAAGTGTTTAAACCCACTTCAGATGATTTTACAGATATGAAACTTTACATGAAATGTTATACAAAGATTTTAACCCAAATTTACAAGACATGAAGTTCCAGGACCGATGTGGAATTTGAGGATGGCCTCTTCTCACGTAGCACGCTCAGTCTCGTGTCGCCTGTGTAAATTACCGCACAGGTCATTCCATTTTGTCGTGCCCTCGCGTACTGTGGCGGCGCCAATTCGCCATCGCTCGTATCTGGAGAGTCCGTACCTTGCCTACGACCGGTGAGAAATCTCCAGAAATGAGAAACACGGGATGCAAGCTTACAAAGCGACATGCGGAACGTTGGCAGTCGAAGTGTGCAGATGAATGGATTCATTGCTGAGGTGGAGAGTACGAATAAAAGCTGCAGGTCCCTAAGTACATGTACTGACAAACAAGGACATGATGCACAAAAGTAAATCAAGTATATAAATACAACTGCTGGTGTGGTACATACCACGAAAACCATGATGACAGTTAAAAAAACTCTCGTTACACGCTTCTGGCGTAGTTCCAACGACACCGAGACCCTGCGTTCGGAAGGTGCGCTGCCACGATCGGCTATCAATTCCTTTTCGTGCACATACAGCGACCTTTGCACGGCAACATAAATAGCGGTGAGGACGATCAAGGTAAGCAACAAGGCTCCGTTGGCAAACACGATCAAATAGGTGACATACCCTAGTTTAAAGTACATCAAAGGAACAAGTCCGGATACGATCCATATTGTAATGGAAACAAAATAAGAGCGCGTAAGGCTGATGTTATGCCGATACGTCATGGGTACACGAACCGCTATGTATCGATCAACACTCAAGGCAATATGACTTAAACAGCAGGCTGTAGTTGAAATGAAAAACGCTAAATGCAAGAAGACACTGTTGCTCGCGCTTTTAAGATGCCTTGCTTCAACACAATGGAAATACATGCTCATCGGCAGCGTAACACAACCAACTACCATGTCGCTGAATGCCAGGTTCAGTATGAAGTAATTAACCGGCGTGCGCAGCGTCTTCATTGGGTCTATCAGAACAAGCACGCCAACTAAACCATTTCCTATGAATGCAAAGAAGCAAAATATCAACGAGGCAGTCGCTGTAAAGTACCCAACGGCTTCCGGCGGCCAATCATGATCACATTGATGCTGCATTTTGAAGTTCTTTATAGGGGCCTCTACAACAAAATCACTTTCTTCCTTACGGTTTATGCAATAAGGATCTCCGCAACGTTGACGGTAACATCTGAAAAATATGATCTCTTTTCCGTTGAAAAATCCAAATGATTTCAGGTAAGGTCGTCAACCAATTTCAACTGACAGCAAAGCCGTTGACGCAGAGCCGTTGACGCAGAGCCGTTGACGCAGAGCCGCACTGAGTACAAGCGGTTGATTTTCACTACGAAGATAAGTGACCTGGCACGAAAAACCTTGCATGGATAGAACCAGTTCATTCACTAATCCAGGTCCTTACTCTGATTCGAACCCAGCAGAAAAAAGTCAAGTGATTAACTGTCATCATTCATCATGCCTTAGAAACATCCAATTGCGTCCAACTATGCTAGGAGAGTCAATTTTTCGTATGTAAATCAGATCTTCTAGATAGGATGTTTGAAGAAATACGCCTTTCAAGCAACGTGTCCTTGTGAGGGCAATACACAGATAAACACTGAACAAATCCTGTTCTCATTGCCAAAAATACGAAATGGCACGATAACCTCTACAGTCCAAAGACACCTGCTCCAGTATGAATATTAAAGAAGGTCATTTACATTTCAGGTCCTTCTCACGATTCTCGTTGGCTTGCGGGAAGATTAAGAAAAATCGATGGGATTCGTATTGTTTAAAAACCATCAAACAAGTAACGAATCTTTACTCTATAATATTGACGGGCGACTGCAAAGGGAAACGTTAACGAAAACAAGTAACCATTAATAGTAGCTACGACAAACCCGGCAATCAACGGGCATTCTGAGAACGACCAACAGTAGGGCTGATTTAAAAACGATCAAATTTTAAAAAGTCAACTCGAGAGTGAGAAATACCAGCGTGACAGCAACAGGTATGTAATATCCATGCTGAAAACTGTCGGCTTGCTAGCCGCTAAAAAGCCTTTGGACAAAAGTTAACTCGTCTGACAAGCAAGTAATGCCGGGTACTTAACAATGAAAACTAGTCTTGTATCCAGAATGAAAATGTGCAGCTTGTGAGCAGCTAGAAAATCCCCAAGTCCCAAAATATTTCTACACTGACGAAGCAAGTAATTTCTGGCAATCAAAAGTGTTGCTTCTTCAACTCTGGTGAATACGATATATCGACGAGGTAATCTCAAAATAACGTTCTGGGCTTTAGATGTCTCCCTGCGTTCTGTCTTGCAACAGCCAGTTTTTTCTATTTCAAGAATTTAAAGGCGAGCATCTGTTAACATAGTCAAATTGACACCAGCAGAATAGCAACGAACGAAATAGAAGATGATGACACGGCCAGAAGATGATGATACAGCCTCTTCGCTTCGTGAACTGTTCAACAATGCAGATATTGCTTCTTTGCACTTCGAGTTCACCGTTTCTCTGCTATTTACAACTTTTAAAGTCGTTAGCAAAGCCAAATTCATTTACATAGCAAAGATTGATAACTGCACGCATGGTTAAGGCAGCTGTACAAACAGGAGCATTCTTAATGGCAAAGCCAATTTCCACCGATGATCTCAACTCATTTAATACTGAAACACTATTCTCGCATCACGTGTTGGGAAGGCTAATTCCAGCTTAACACAGGATACTACAGCCCATTAAAAGTTACCTTGCAAATGGAAACGCCTTTCATTTAGTTAAACCTGTTTGTATTTCGTTCCTCCATTCGACATTAACATTAACTCCAACAATATATTGAACAAGAATTAAACAGGATATCAAACATTGTCGACTGGTGGGATGGTACTATGAACACAAACGACTGTACCTTCAAGCAACCTGATCCCACTGATAGAATCAACATCAACAAAATAAAAAAGTTATTGACAAGATGCATAATTTTGCGAACAAAGGCACTATATTCATTCAATGGAAATCAAGTCATACCTAACCAGTCTACAATGAAAATACAAAAACACTATAACATCCACTACAAAAGGGCGTAACCCCTGTTTAAGGCTTCAGTCGGGATTCATTAAGCTCGTTTGAAATTCTGTAAAAGCAGGATGTGGCATTGGAAAACTTTTAAACCTGGAAAAGTTGAGCATAAAGATATCTCGAAACGTCACTTAGAGTAAATTAATTAAATAATGAAAAATCCATTTAAATCTTACAGAGACTACTGATTCGCTGCAAGACATGAGCTGCCAGTTACAAAGGGCACATCTAGTGTATGCCAGCAGAAAAAGCAATAGCATGAATATGAAAATAGACAATTGAAAATGATGTTATGTGCATCTTAACAATCTAAGGAAACACAAAATAACGCTGTCACTTGTCTCGCTCAAACAGCGAGGGTCGCAAGATTTCAAACCCCACAACAGACAATTTTTTGCCAGTGACTCCTCAATCAATCGCACGAGCATTGAAGCTTACGCATAAAAATGATCAATAGCATATTATTCAGCAAGATAACAATTGTTAACATTGCGACTCATTCATAAACCTTACTAATTTTCTGAGGGCTTTACGCCTTTTTTATACCAGTTTCCAACTTCCTTCGACATTGTGATTCAACATTCGAGTTTTCTAGAGTTTGCTTCTCACGTCTCAAACAGATAATTCCTGTTAGATTCTATGTCTTTTGGTTTATTAAGCGCTGAACTCGTCACCTGGTAGATCTTAAGAATGCAAATTAAACGCAAGCCAACGCAAACGAAACATAAGTTTCAAGTAAGAAATACAGTTGACATAGAAACTGAAGACGATCAATGAGATGATCAAAGAATCTTCTCTAATTCAGTTACAAAAATCTGAACCAGTGCGGCTGCAGAGGACACAACACAATGTTTTCAAAAGAAATGTTAGGATTGTAGATTGGCGATTGGTGGCGTTCTTTGAATTGCTATTAGAACCAGAGTGTTGGGGCCGTGTGCTGCACAATTTGTTTCTGTGATATCAACAACGTAAAACATACGCCCTGGAGCTCTGAACGAAGTGTGTAGAAATGGGTGTTTTATGGAAAACTTATGAAGAAAGTAGACGAGGAATATGAATAAGAACATTTTAAGAATAAGACAATCTAAACAAATATCCAGACATTTTTGCGAAGTTTCTTTCTACCAAAGAGGTATAATGAAATCAAAAGCGAATTGTTGCGCAATATATTGCATGAAAGTGCTAAAAACCATGTTTTTGAACTGAGCGATAATTGATCAGATCAGAATCAACAAAATTCAGTCAAAGTAGGAGTGTCTATTGATGATATTTTGTTTCGTTCAAAATAAGGTACAATTCAAGTTGACCCTGGAAAACAACAGATCTGTTTTTTATTGAAAAGGTTTGATCAAATTTACACAGAGCCGGAGCGTTATGCTAAAACTCAGTAAATATTTTTATAAGCAGGTGGGTTGTTGACGAACTGGACGGAATTGATATACGAATACAGCCCACTAATGTGGCACCATCTGAAAATTACTTGGCCGCAACTGAATTTTTCTGGATTTTTGCACTGTTTACAATTGCATGAAAAATTAAACAAAGGTTTAGCACAAACGTAAACATCTGAGCAAGGTTTCTAATAAAAGCTGTGTTTTGATCACCATTCAAATACTCGTTCGTAATTAAATTGAGTTTCAAAATTCATCAATAGAGTACTGAAGCAATATTTATTGTAGGTTATGATGTTTGCAAGAGACCTTTGTTTATCATACATCACACATTGGATCTCTGCAAAGAACTAGAAGATTTTGCTAATTATGCCAGAGTAGACCTAAAACGATCTTTACTCGGTTGAAAATTTACATTATTTGCCGCATATCATCACATTACTAATTCAAGCGGGTACGCTTTCGTTATTTCTAAGGGAATTTTAAAATACTGTATTCTTTCAAAAAAACAAATCGCTGCCAACTCTAGCATATCATCGGTTAAAATTTGCATGCAAAAGAATAAATTCGCTGTCCCATGCTGGGCCTCGGTAAATCTAGTCGGGGCTCTTATCTAAATACTTTATCTGATATTAACTTGATGGCAAATCGTCGGGTAGTGTTTAAAAGCCAGAATTCAATTCATATCCATGTGCTGATCGAAAATAACATGAGACTAAGAATGGTGCGTTTGGTTGCCTTCTTGTATTATATAGCTCTTAACTCTAACTATATAAATATAGTGTACTGATTCTTCGTACACAACAAGAAGCGTTTTCTTAATGGTACTTTTCGTATATGCTGAATCCTATCCTTATATAGTAGCCTCAAATTACATAAACGTGCGAGAAGTATCACATGTGGCATTCTTCAGAGAAACTCAGCCTTAAATAAGTCATATGAACTAGATGTACCAAAAGGAAATGCTTTTATAAGCTAGATGAAACTTGTGAAGCGTTTCACATTGGTAGAGCCAAATCCATTAAAAAAAGAAAAACAGACTTGAATAAAGAGAAAATCATTTCTATTAAAGAAAAGTTACCGGTTAACTTTTGACTTTTAGTTCATTATTGCTGAGCTAAGACTTCATGATTATTACATGATTGCGCTGCTTTGGAGAGGATATTTTAAATAACACTTCGCTTCAAATACTCTTCATGAAAATTTTGTCACAAATCATCAAATGCCTTCTGCTAACATCTGCTTAGACTTCTAGCTCTGCCGCAAAGTATTTTCTTCAAAAACAGACTTTGTACACACCTTATCCGCAACATATTTGCAAACTGAGTATAATTATGTATGTTCACATGATTAGCGAGAAAAAAGCAAATACAGATTCAAACAAAGATTCAACATCCGCACTCTTATTGCACCTGCAAACCATTTTTTCACACAGAGAAATACCATGCGATTGTTGAGATGTACAGGAGAAATATTGCTAAATTTTTGTTAATGGTTTTCTGGTGCAAAATTATCAAGATGAGTGAGTGTGAGTTTTCCAGGCAGTCTTTTGGAATAAATTACTTCAGCAAAAGTTCCTAAATTACTGCCAATAGGTAATAAATGTGAGCATGTCAAATCAATCAAGTTGTTAGAACGTGAGTGCATGTAACTGTTGAATCTAGGGGGTTGATTCAAAACACTTGTGAATTGAATTTCAATTTTGAGTCTAAAAACAACGAACATTGTTTTGCTCCAGTGGAATTCCTAAACATTTAAGTGAAACGACTGGCAACTACAAAAGAAACATTATTCCACGCATCTCATTTATTATCATGCTAGAGTTGGCATTCTGTGCTCTGCTGTCTCATATCCCTAACATGCCAAGCCAAATCGCAAAGGCATTAAACAAAAACAGTTAGGTTGAAAGAAATTCTGAAGAAGAATGTTGATTAACAAAATTCGAAGAAGTCCCCAAAAACACTAGAATTTACTCACGCCACCCCCCCCCCCCCAGAAATTGAATCTTATGATTTCTACTTCACAGGATGAAAATTACTTCATAACTTAAGGCACTTTTTACAGCTAGAAATGCCTACAGAATCTTTACACGGCATATCAACGTTCCTTAAGTCATCAGTGGCGTAGATAAAGGGGAGTCAGAGGGGGCGAAACCCCCCCCTGTAATGCTGAACTGCTGTTTTGTTGGAAAACGTCTGATCTTGACGTACATTTAACATGGTTCTCTGTTTCTATCTATGTGTCACATTTTGAGAGAAAAAATTTGAAAGCTGAATGTGGTGATTTCTGCTGTTGTTCTGAATCAGATTGGCAATCTCTTTCAATAAGGTATAGTACTTGAAAATGCTTCTTTCAGAGGAAAAGACAAGAAAAATCTTCAAGTAGTATGATTTATGACACGTGACTCACCTGACTTCATGTCCAAATTTTTGAAAAAATAAAAGCTCTTATAAAATGTTTGTCGAAAAATCTAAATTTCTCGTCCTTCCCGTGAATTCTCCTATCTACGCCACTGGTCATCATGCAGTCTACGAGACACTATGCAGTGATAATTTTGGCAGCTGAAATGAATAAAATAAAAAGTTTGACCGATTTCAAACAAATAAAAACAAGACTATCCCTAACCTGTAGAATAGGTCACATCTTCAGCACTCGACAGTGAGTCATCAACATTCAGCTCTTCACTTGTTTCGTCCATTTTAAGATGAACTTTTGAACTGGTCAACGCAGAAATTAGTATCAAAGACTCTGATTCCTCTATCTCCTGCAAAAAACAAAAGCTGTTATTACTGACCATTCAAATTTTCTTTTTTTTTGGAAAGAAATGAACTTCAATCCGAAATGAAAAGTAATTATTTTTTAGATTTTATTGAAAGAAATTCGAACGGTTTTTTTAGTAAGCAAATAATAATGGACACCAATTACAGTTGTAGTCACATCAAAGAATGTGGATCAAATGCTCTTAATGTTATTGCTATTAAAGTACAAAATTTTAAATAAATTCAACACCTTTTGCTTTAAAAACTTCTTTGAGAAGCTTTTTACTTGAGCTGCTGTCCTGGTCTCCAACAAATCAGCGATTTTCGTCCACTTGTGACCAAACAACTCCTGCGATTGATGAACAAAGTAAGCAAGTGATATCAAGATTTTTTATCTTTTTATATTTGTTGTTGGTTCAATGTAGCAATAGCATCGAAAAGAATATCAAACTATCATAGTAAAATCAAATGGAAATGCATGTAAAAGCAACATTTCTGTCATTACCATTATAGCAGTTGACAAAAAATGATGTTAATTTTCTAACAATCATGGGATTTCACGCTTATGAAGCAAAAACATTAGGCAGTCTATGAGCAATCTCTGACCAGCGGAAATAACATTTCAAATTGATATTAATTCATTTCATTGAAGAAACTAAACACCAATAATAGCAGGAAGATTCGTCGAGTTTCACCCCTGTTATAACCAACTGAAACAATTCTGTCTGAGACAATTTTTGTCTAGATACCATTATAGTATAGTGAAATAATGGCAAAGCCTGACCAGGGTTTCTTACTAAACATTATGGCACTCTGGAGAGATGCCTATTCTTGAAAGATGCTTAGAGAAAAACAATTGGTACTAGGTGCAAACTTTCAATATTTTATGAAGGATATTGGTTATTTTCAACAAGCCATAGTAGCGTATATTAATCGAAGAAGTTTCTTTTCTGTCATAAACATTGTAAATGGCATATTTTTTATACTCCTAGCCTTTAAACTACCATAACATCTGTAAAAAATCTGCTTTTCTATGTCTAATCATGGTCTAATTTTACCCCTACGGCTAGGGAGTGATTAGCTAACATTGTTGGAAACTAACTGTGCTCTTAAACTTGGTAAAAAACTTTGTCATCAAACTTTTATTTAAATATTATTGAGGGAAATCGTATGAAATATCTTGTTATGTAGTCAGAAAAGCATAGAAAAAACATCAACAGCAAAGCAAAAATTATAAAGCAAAAAGTAAGGAATACCAGTATGAAAGCTTTAATAAACAAAGATAAAAAATAGGCATCTGAAACTGGAGTATGCTTTTGGTGACAGAACAGGGCAGTTCTAAGGAGCTACTCAGAGTTGCTTATCAAGATCAAACAATTAGTTATTGTTATGATATGAATTGATAAATGTGTTATCAACATAGCAATATTTGGTTCCTTTGTGTACTGCATAATTATACCAACAAGCTTTTACATTATAAAATGTAACAGAAAACAAACTACAAAGATAAAATGATACAAATAAAATGTTTAGCTTGCCTTAACTGTCTACTTGGTAATTGAAAAAGAAATATACATATGTTTTGAGAGTACATTCATAAATTTGAAATGTGACTGACAGAGACTTGAATAAATCAGCATAGAAAGACTCTGAATTGAGTACTAAGGGAATGTGGGTGGTGCTGCTAGAGTATAATGTTGAGGTGACTTCTAAGCTCTAGAAATCTCACCTGCTTTTTTTCCAATCAAGCTTTACAATCACATATTTGAAAATTATTTACTCATCTGTTACATTTCCTCAACAGGGGTGGACAATTGCAGTAAAAAAGTTATCTCCCTGTAAGAGACCAAAGGCGTTTTCTGTGGTCTCCTTTATATGATCTGTGGTCTCCCGAAAGGGAACTCTGGCAACAGGAATGGACATTTCCAAGAAAATTTAGTCGCCCAGCAGATACCCTATGTAACAATAAGCAGTCTCCCATGGACTGAATTGTCAACCCCTGCTCTGATAAAGCCCTGCATGCATGCTGGGACAAAATGTTAATTTTAAATTTATTATTCAACATGTAAGATTGTTGTTTTTGCTTTGCTTTGTTCCTGCCTATTTCTTTTCTTCACAACTCATTGCAAGATTCACAGAATCCAGAGGTCAGCCTTTCCTGCATATTTTCCATCTTATATAAAAAATACATTTAACAACATATCATAGGTATATAAAGATATAAACTGCAGCCTTGAAGAGTAGCCAAAGAGAGTTAGCCCTTCACACAGTCATTAATTTTTGAAGAATGATGTTTTCATTGTTCTTATGTTCAACTATAATGGCGACATGTTTTGGATTATTGGTAAAGCCCGATCATCGTTCCACCTAGCAGTTTTGGAATCTATCTACATAGCACGAAAAAACCGCTACTATGTAGGCAAAAGTTTGTTTTCACCTTAGGACTCCATTGGTAACATTCTCAATAGGCAAGCCGCACTGATTGGTCAACCTCAACAGTCATGTGCTCGTGTTTCCAATTGGCCTATTTGGATCCACAACTGGGTATATATATTTCCTAGTGTAGAGTTTACGGTCTATGTTCTGACGTTTTAAACTCTGAAGAGTGTCAGATGAAAAGCTTTAGTTTACTAAATGTTTGCTTTTTTCAAAGCCATTTTCATTGTTCTCTTAAAAGGGAACAACAGGTATTTTTAGCACTTTGAGGTAAATCATAAGGGAGAATGCATCTATTCTTAATTCATGAAAATTAATTGTAACTAAGGTTAACTTTATATGCTGATGATTAATAACTGATTAACATTGCAAATGCCCATTTCAAACTGCACTATTTCAGGTGTAGATTCCCCTAAAATCTATGAAAAAGATGCACACAATATAACACATAAAAACTTGAATGTACACCTGTTCATTTGAACTTCTGTTAAGAACTGATGTTCTTTTGGAGATTATTCAAGTTTATTTATAAAATCTCACCAACCCTGATTCCAACTAAGCACAGACAATTGTCTATGGATGTGTTTGGATAAATGGAACTAAATATATAGTGATAAACAAAAACAAACAGAATTATTGGACTTCATTCAAACTATATTTTCTGACATTGCTGACTGCAGTCTTTTACTATAAGACAAGAATGGTGGAGTCTTCTAAGGGTTTGAAACTGCAAACTTGAATGAATGTTATATTCCAAACAAGTGACAGTGGAGACTATATCATGGCTTTGTTATCATTTAAAAAAAGAATGGGCTATTCAGCATCCTTTATCTTTATAAATTTAACAATAAATTTGAATTTTATGAAGAAAAAAAACAATTCACTGACCTTGATATAAAACTGAACCTAGATTCAGGTTGCAGTGGGAGTTTGGTGTAGGATAGATATGTACACAACACTCAGTTTAGTGGAAAAACACCCTTTAACTCAGAGCAAATATTTAACATGCTTCTTTTGATTGACTTTAATCAAATCTTGTAATGTAATTGTAAAAATCATTCAAAAAAATCCCACAACTTTTATAGGAAAATATCTTTATCCACAAATTTGGTATTTTCATGTAATTTCTGCAAAAATTTGCTTTTTTCCTCAGCAGCAAAAGTTGCTTCCAAATTTCAATATTTCTAAAGCCTGGCAATTTCTCTTATTGAATTGATGACAACTGGCAAAAGGCCTTTCTAGTTGGTTGTAGTAAACATGAGTATGTAAAATTATGCAAACCATGTGCATAGAGCTTCTATACTTTTTGCTGATTTTAAAACTTTATATTGATGTCCGTGACAGATATCAATTAAACATTTAAGCAAAATAAACAACCAAATTTTTTATTACTCTGTTGTTATGCAGTGTAACCAAACCTATAAATTGTAACCCTATTTGCTATAATATAATTACAGAAAAAATGACTTTGAGAACATATTGGCTAAATACTTTTTTATCTAACACTCCTCAGAGCATAAAACGTCTGAATAAGGGTCCAAAAAAACACGATGAAAAATAGATACCCAGTTGTGGATCGAAATAGGCCAATCAGAAAAATGCAAGCACAAGACCGGTTTAGTTGACCAATCAGTGCTGCGAGCCTAAAGAAAAATTACCACTGGAGCCCAAGAGAGCAAACAAACTTCTTCTGTCTCCACAATGGCAGCTTTTTCGTTTATATCTAGATCGATTCCAAAACTGCTAGATGGAAGGACAACCAGGCTCTGCCAATTATCAAAAAATTGTTCAAATACAGAAATAGGACCTAATTTAGTTCTGATCAAATTTTGTGATAAACCATTGTACAACTTGCTTTAGGTTATTTTATATGCCACATGATGATTTAAAAAAAACATTCCCAAGACCACACTTAGAATTCTGAGATCACAGATGATCTACTGGCCTTAAGTTTTGCCGAATAGGGCTCTTCTATGGTCGTTTTAATGAGTACTCTTTTGATGCTATTGAGACGCTTGCATGTCTCTGTCTCTGTGTGTTTGTGAAATTTTGACATTTTTTTCAACAACTAGATGAAATGTTGTTTTGAGCAGCACCTTACAGCATTATTTGTTCCCAAAACAATATCACAATGGACTGGAAAACATGAAAGTAAAGACTAGTAACATGATTTATCAATTGAAATATTTTGTAAGATGCTTCAAATGGTCTTCCAATTAAGGCCCAATGCAGTTTAATAACATGCCACCAAGACTTTTAAAAAACTCCTTAATAACAGTCGAGGAAATTAACAGTTTTAGGCACTCAAGCAGAAAGTGAGCATCTCCGAGAATCTTACAAGTTTGCGCTGAGAAAAAAAAATGTTTAATTGCAATTATTGAACAGGTACTCCTATCATCACAGCTCTCTTTTTGTGGTTTCACAGCAGTCAGGCATGGTTTGGAAATGAGAAAATACCAAGCCTATTTACATATTTTTCAATTTTATCACTATTCATTACTATACCTGATAAATCTTCCATTATTCTCAACTTAAACAGTAATCTTAAGACATCTATTTAACTTGCTGTGACTATTTGAATTTTGGTTAGATGAAACAAATTGGCTGCAGTGCTGCGATTTTGTGGTGGGTGGTGCAAAACTTTTCGAACCTAGGTGTATTTATTAGTACTCCAAGCAGTTGGGATGAGATGACTATATGTCTTTTGCACTGAGACAATTAATCAATTCCTTGATCTATTTCATTTTTCTTTTTGATAAATATATACATGATAGAAAAATTGATAAATAAGCAAAAATATATATAATATGAACATACCAGTCCTTTTTCAAAAACTCTGACTTCTTGGTCCGTCCACTGGCCTTTATTTTTTCTTATGGCATTACAGTTTTGCCTGATAAAAAAACAGAATTTGGTATAAATCCTTGGAATGAAGATGGTTTGACAGGAGAAACCTACATCAAAAGAGTAAAATAATGTGAATAAATTTTCAATTGACCAAGCTTTAATGTCAGACCTTCAGCATTTCCACATAGCTTTCAATATTAATTTAGAAGTAAATCTAATTTATCACTGACAGACTCTCATAACAATTTCACTGCACTTATGCTTACTAAGGCTTTGTTTACAAGGTAAAAACTGCTACTTATGCCATTTTTTACTGAAGATATTGCACATTTGTTTGTATTTCTATCAACATGGAAGCACAATCTACATGTTCTACAATCTGCAACACATACTGAAGTTTCAAAATTTTTGGAAAAGTATGATAGCATTTGAATGACTTTCATGGTATCAGAGCCCTTGAGCATTCTACTTTTTTAAATGGAACTTGATGGTAAAATATTTCATTGTACCAATGTAAACATATTGTACCTATCCTAAAGAAAGCAGTGATTGGTAAAGGCATACAGCTAAAGACAACCCTCATTAGGCATAAGTACAGAGCTTATGGAGGTAAAAATTACTTTTTCTTTGAATCAGATAAAGGCTTTATTAATGGACACTTTGGAGAAACCTCCAGATGTGAATGCTATAAACATAAACTAACATCATTGGCAAAACTAAAGGCACATCAGTTCCAAACAAATAAGCATTTTGTGGTTAGCTATAATATCTGAAAATTTCATGAAAACCTATGAAGAGATTATGCTTCCAATTCTGTTTGCATATTTGAAAAACTTGTTTTGGCAAACTGATATTTCATACAGCACAAGGGAAAGCTGGCAGAAACAGTTCAAGAAAGGCAACCAACGTAAACAGATTTTTAGTTTGTCTTACAGCTGTTAGAGGGAAGGATGGTGAGCTGCAAGCATAATTGGCAAATATCTAGCAGATTACTTAAGATGTATCAAATATAGATAAAGGATACAGAACCAGAGTACAACATAAGTATTTTTTAAATAACTTGAATTATCTATATCTTTCTTCTGCACTTTATTGATGAGAAAGGAAGCTGTTAACAATTCTTTTTTACTAGAAACAGGTAATGTAATACATACATTTAGTAAACAACACTATCAAAAATGGATGTTGAAACTGTTATGTCAATAGCGGTTATCTTTTTTTAAAAGGCAAAAGGCTGATAGAATCATAATATTTTAACAAAGGTGCTATAAACAGTACTAAATATCACTTTGCTTTATAGTGTGCTTTGGAAATTAGCAATAACTTCAGAGGAGCCTAGTTATCAACTTAAATTACAATAGAACAATTCAAACAATAAAAACCTAAGGAAAACCTACTTAATACATTAAAATAATATCACATAATGTGTCAGCTATATCATTATATATATATATATATTTATAGGAAACTGGCAACTGGAGTTCAATTCTGACAAGGTGCAGTAATTTTATAATTGGGCAGCACCCTTGTGGAAATAATTTCCCTCTGTCAGCCTTGGCCTACTGAATAAATATAAATGGTTATATGGCTCTGACGATTGGCAATGATGTTGAAGCTTGGTTAGTAACTATTTTATCGTAATATCTAAGAAACAGATCACTTTGCCATATGAAATTTATGCAACAAGATTGGCTTGATGCATTTTGGATAATTATTGTATAAGATATCTGTATGTAGAGCGTGAAACATAGATTCCTCAATCTTATAGACATACATTTCCACCAAGACCACAAACTCAGGAAAATCTTCAACCGCATTAACTAGAAAAATGCTAATCTTCCATTTTTGCTTGAATTTAAAACTCATAACTGATAACACAGTCAAGATCAGCTACAGCTGCATGAATAACGTGCAACAAGTCATTGACAGTCACAACAAACATATTCCAAACTCACTCAACACCAACACCACCGTAAACAGCACCAATGTCAACAAAACATGTCCCTGCTGACAAAATAACATATTTCCACTCAATGTAAGCTGCCTAGGACCCTTAAAGACAACAACATTGACCATTAAATTTCCTGGCCCATACTTGCAACAAAGTCATTCAAGTAAAAGGAGAAATTTTTGCTAAGACCCTCATCATCTGCCAAATTATTGACTGACACTTAACCAATGCAATTCCTATTTCATTGCCACCATTGAAATAAAACATAACATATTATGTAACACCTGGATGTCACCACTTGCATAGCCTCACATGTCACGTAACACCTTCTGTACCACCTTATGTATCATAAATCTGTATTTACATGAGGAGCATTTCTGTTTATCTACCTTCCCTGAAGAGTGATCTAATCACAAACCAGCTTGTAGAGGTGAAATCTGTAGATTGATTTTCTTCAAAACAACTACATATAAAACAATTTGTCTGTTGATAGTTCCGTAGCACAGTGCTCAATACATTTGCACATAGAACGTAATATAGCAAAGAGTTGGAGAAAATAAAACTACATGTTTTATCTCTACAAGCCTGTTTCGTGAATAACTCACTCTTCATCTCTCAAAGAGTAGTTATTCGTGAAACAGGCTTGTAGAGATAAAACATGTAGTTTTATTTTCTCCAACTCTATGCTATATACATATGATATATACATTTTTTCTAACAAACTTGAAATAGTTTCAACAGCCTCTAAGCCTTACACAACTTAAAACTCACATAGTAGGAAAAAATTAATGTTTATATTATCAGAGGACTGAATAACTAAACTTTTTTTCATTAAAATGCAGCTTTTTTATAAATGTTTGCTAAATAAACAAGAAAAGGTAAAAGTGCTAAAGAGTTTTCACAAGCAAGGATATTTTGTTTTTGCAAATATATTTTGCAAAGTGCTATGTTTTACTGCTTTCTATAAAGGTTTTACATAGGAATGTGATGGTGAAGCAAAGCCTATCAGAGACAAAGCAACACACACCAATCTATGCACGATGAGAAATAAAACTTCAACTGACTACAACCTTTTCTGTCCTTATGACTTGTACTTTAGATGACAAAATGATTTAAGTTGTTCAAAACCAAGCAAATAGCAGATGCATACCTGCCAATCACAGAACTAGTGTGGTGCAATTTTAATCAAACATTAAATGTTTATTCGCGTTCAACAAGGCTTTTACTTCAGGGCAGATAAAATATCCGCTTTAGAAGTCTCCCAAGTTTAAGAAATTACATGGCTATTTAGGCATATACAAAACGAAGATTCGTTGGCGATTAATAATTTAATGTTTGATTCAGATTTCGAACGACGCTAGACAGAGACTTAAAGCTATGATGATAAGGTCTTGTTTACAGCGGGGAAATGATTAGGCTGACTGTCGCAAGACGTCCAACCAACAAAACTTTGTTTCGCATTTGCCATAGTGTGTGCATTATTTTAACTTCTTGGCTTTCACAAATTTCGCAATCCAAACTGCAGCTGTTTTAGGGTTGCTGGTGATCAAGAAGCCACTTCAGGCACAACTTAGCTAGGCCCCGACCACAAACGGCATTGATTGATGCTGATTGTGAGGGGTCTCCGTCAACAGACAATAACTGTTTTCTACTATCCAATGCTATCAAGGATTTTGGGGGAAATGGGGTATACGTTTGGGCGCGATTATTGCTCTAAGCAATCGAGTATGCCTTCAGGTGGCTGGATGCGACTCCAAGGATCAAAACGAGCCGACCTATTGAATGACAACGATGAATTAGCTAGGCCGCCGTTAGCAAAACAATCGATTCTATCCCGCAAACTAGAAGAATTTTTCCATGCACTGTAAAGCAAAAGTAAGGCAGGTCTGAGCTCTGGTTTGAAGAGCAAATACTTACCTGGACCACAAGTCGTCTAAGCGTACTGACTGTGAGTCAATTTGCAAGACCGCAAGGATGAAATTCCCAGATAAACAACGCCTGAATGGCGCGAGCGACGTTGTAAGGCCGAATGGCTGATTACACGCAAGAAAGCAGCAAATGCCACTGCATCTGATTAGAAGGGGGAAATATTAATACGGTCGAATGTAACTTAAGAATACTTTTCAAAGCTACTGCTTACTTTTGATCGACTGATTCCACATCAATTTCTATATCGCCATCCTCACTGTGTTCAGGAGGTTCCGGCTCATCCGCCATTTTGTTTGCTGGATCATTTGGTAAATTGGTTGATCGTTTGTTATTCAATGTGAATTGATCGCAGATAAAACGCGGTATCCCGTGGGAATGCACTCACTCTTCTTCAAACATAAGTTTTTCATAAATAAGTTTCACGAGTGTAGTGCGCAAGAAAGACGCGTCTACCTACGTTCAATCAAAAATCAATAACTGACTTCAGGGGGGTAATCTTGATTTGTAGGCAAGCCATTAGTAAATACAGAGACGGACCACAAGGCAGGGGGCAGACAGTCGGGAAATCAAAGCGAAATCCCAGCAGCAACAAAAAATAAGCATCCCCTTAAAAGGTAGAATTCCCAGCCTCCTACCCTAAAATGTGAATCTGTTTCTTTTTTACAAAGAGGATGGTGAGGAGAATGGTTATGATGATGACAAAGTATACATGAGTTGGGGACTAACGACTTCCTTTGATAAAGAATAAAGGGTAAATCAAACTAATTTTCCAACAATCAAGCTTTCTTACACTTGCATGCAATTTGGAAAAGTAGCTAGCGCCCCTTTTTTGACTGCTGCACCCCGGTGCTTAAAGGACCTTGGAGGATTTCGGTAGTTTATCTTGGTGATTTTTCTCTCCGTGTAATGATAACAGAGATTGTCAAAGGGGACACAGCTTCCCATTCGTAGGGAACAGTGGTGGGAATTATGGGGGGTTTTGGGGGGCTAGCCCCTCCAATCAGCGATGTCGTTGGAAATGTCGGGCGTTCGTTGGATAGTTGACAACTTTTGAACATGTTGAAATTACTGCAAGAAATCGTTCTGAAAAGGAATTTTAAGCTAATACTAAGGGCGTAATTGCCAAATTTTTGCGTTTTACCCAAGGGGCCATTTTACCTCAGGGGCGATCTGGATTTTCGAGTTTTACCCTAAGGGCCTCTATAACCTCTCTGTGCCCTTTTTGCAAATTTTAAACATAGCATAGCTGAAAAAATATTAACCAGTGCTAAATAATCAATCAAACAATATATGACCAAAATCAAAACTGCTTCTGAACTGTATATTTAATTTCAATTCCGTAAAGATTATCCGAAATTTCCATCGGATTCTTCCGAATAAAAGTTATTTTCAAACGTGTTTCCCACTGACGAAAATAAAATATAATGCATAAAATGAACGTACGACTTGTCAAAAGTGTAATCGGTCGACCTCTTGTATCATCAATTGTCTTAGATGAGATATCAATCTTGATATAAAAAATCATAAACGGATTGTTTTCTTGCTACTTAATTATGGCGTGGTCAGAAAAGATTCCTAAAGGGTCCCGTCAAAAAAGCATCTATTTTTATCAAAATGTGCAGTTTCTTTCAAATTAGACATGATCCAAGATGTTTTCTGTCGGAAAATTTTAGGCCTGCCTCCCCAACCCCAACCCCCCCCCCACCCCCCAGAAGATAGCCTGAATTTCCGCCACTAGGGTCACTAGGGAATTGAAGTTCGGACACTTAAGTTCCAGCCCCCAGGTTTCCCCGCTTCTAACGGCCTTGGAAGGAAATTCAGCATAGGGGTAGGAGAGTGGATTCATGTCGTCTGAAGCTACCAGATGTTATTGATAAAGACATGAAAATTTGCATTAGAAACAACAAAATAATAATAGTGTAGCAATTGCACCAGAGAATCTGAGTGAACGTCTAACAGACTTGAAAAAATATCGAATTTGTTAAGAATCAACAAAGATGAATACATGACTAAATGCCATAGGCGACAGCTTAATACGGAAAGCGATGATTTTTCTTGTCCTCAATAATAAAGTTAACAAAAGGGTTAACAAGACAAAATATTTAAAAATCAACATCGACCAAATTCTTAATTGAAAAAGCATTACAAAACTGTCAAAATTTAATTGAAAGTGGGCTTAAAAGGCCCGTAGCCAAGGGGTGACATGGGGTGGCAATGCCACCCCTGGAGCAAAAGAGTACTAGCTGTTTGCCACCCCGGGAATTCTGTCTCTAAATTTTGTAATAGTGTTCTTCTTCGTTTTCATTGGATTTCCGTGACAATTTGATCAGGCTAATACTGGTGGAAAGAAAACTACTCACTGGGGTCTCTTATCAATCATGTAGGACTTAACATTGTGCCTGGCGCTCAAAATATCTTTCGCTGCCATATTCATATTATTTCATATTTTACACATATTTATACATGGTAAAATTTCAATAAAGTTTACTGTTTTACTATTTGGCCCTGTTAAAATTAAAGTTGCTAATAAAGTAATTACAAATAAATAAGATAGAAATATAAACATCTGAAAAAAATAAGATATCTGTACAAAATTAAAGATTTTCGTACCCCAACTGCTTCAACTTAAGTTAAAAAGAGTATTCCAAGGGGGATTCTTTGATATGGTTGTTAACGCGGTAAGAGAATGCCTTTTGGCCACTCTGTTAACATTAGCGGTACTGCAAAATCATTTATAGTGTTTCTTAGCTCTCGTGTGTGGACATCTGATAGTCTAACAAATAGGTCTCTAAGGTACTGTGGTGCAAGATCGTTTAAAGATTTATACATCATTGTAAATGTCTCTTTCACGATCATTTCTTTGATGGACAACCAGCCAAGTTCTTTGCGTAACGGCACAGAAGTTGCATCATAAGGACTGCCCGTAACCATTCGAGCAGCCCTGTTTTGTAATTTTTGTAGAGACTCTATTCTCGTAATACCACTACAGCCCCAAACGGAGCAGCAATTGTTTAGATGTGGTTCTATAATGCTACGATAAATGTACTTTAAGGTCTCCATTGATACAAAGTGTTTACAGTACTGCAATAGGCCGATCACTCGAGAAACTTTTCCTTTTATGTTGTCTATTTGGTACCTTCACGTTAGACTATTGTCTAAAAGGAGACCAAGGTAGTTTACTTTGTTCACTAAGTCAAGATCAGTACCACCTACGTTAAACGCTGGCAACAAAGCAGGCTGTCCTGCGATTTTATTTACATTTTGCACTGACCCAACAATCATAGCCGTTCGAGCTTAGCTTATTACCTGGAAGCCTTTTCTCGATATCGATAAGTTCAGCGTTCAACACCATGTGCAATTCGTCCAAAATTTTGGAGGAATATGAAATCATGGTATCATCAGTATACTTGTTTGTCACCGAAACTTGGCTCTACTCGGGCGCTTCTCAGAAAATTGCTGAAGCAACTGCTTGCAACAACGTGTCTGCATCAGGACCTTAAGGAACAATGTGCAAACCTAACTGAGGCTCCATGCGCGAAAATGGTTCCTGCACTTCAGAAAATAGTAAACTCAATGCAGTCAGTCGTTAAATGTTACTGAGGTCAGTAACATTTAACGAACAAAGGCTTTTATTCCCAAGCACTTTGATGATTTTGTCAGTACCGATCACACTCCGTTGGCGAGTCTGAGTCATAAACGGTCAAAGCTTCAAGTATTCAAGAATAGACAGGGAATTTTGCATAACATTCTAGCAAACTGGGTAACCGAAGTTTTTAAAGTTTAAAGCATAAGAGTAAAGGCCACTGATCATTTTAAGCCCTGGGAACATTCTGGCAAATGACCGGAAGTTGCGTTTCCGGAAGCATGAAAAATGCACGATCAGCAATACTTCAACTTTCGAATTTTTCAAATCTGATGATACTATCGGAAAGAACATGCAAAACTGAGCAAAAGGTTTAAAAAGAGCAATGTGATCTGACCTAAAAACGAAAAGTTTCCACAGCCATAACTTTTTGCTTATAGGTCAGATAACATTGCTCTTTTTGAATCTTTTGCTCAGTTTTGCATCTGATCTTAACTTTTTCGGAAATTAATTGTTTTAACAAAAATTTGAAAAACCTTCAAACTGGGCTAGACAAAATGAGTTTAAATAGAATTTATAATTGTGTCGATATTTTCTCTTTCTTAGTAGGAATGGATTATCCAAACGATCAAACTCTGAAGTTTTCTTGATGATACTTTTTAAGAACAAATCTGCCCATACTTTACTTCTCAGATCCTCAAAAAGTTCTTTCCAGCAGTTTCTTTTCCTTCAACAGCTAATTTCTCTCTTTTTGTAATGTTTCTGAGAAAGTTTTCGTTAACAAATAGACCTTGTGTGCCAAGTTTAGGCAATGGAAAAAACAAAACTCCGTCAATTTGTGTTGGCTCAAAGTTATTCCGGACTAGGTTTCTCGAACTAGTTGCTAAGCCCAGCTGTTACTTGTTATAAAACTTAGACACTAACCGATTTCTTCGAGCTAATTCCCATATTCTATGGTAAAGACATGGCAACCAAGGTATCATTAAAAAATCATTAAAAGCATTGTGAACTTATGTTACATCTACTGGCCTTGCGACTGCCAAGAAAAGAGGAGAAACAAACGAGAAAGTACTTATGTATCTTTTATAGACTTGAATTTCCAAAAGAAATAACACAAGAAAAAAATTACATAATATCGTCAAAAATACCGTTTAATGAAAACTGGTTTGTAGAAGCTTTAGAATCTTGATAGACCTGAAAGGATCTTGATTAACTTATATACTTTTTATTTATTGTATCAGTGACTACTGTCTTCAGATTGGCTAGGAGAGCACTGGTATTTTTAGGCACCCCCTAGAGAACATCGCCCTTAGTACATAACCCTATAAAGGCAGACAAAACATAACTGAAATGGGGCCACAGTGTGAAGGGGTTCCGTGCAGGCTGTCAACATAAAATTGATGGCAAAACTCTTTCACAATATGATTTGAAACACATTGCGTTTTACAATGTTACACTTTTGCATAGGGTACCAAAACGCATATTACACCGGCAAGAAAAAGTTTACAAATATGAATTCTAGAGATGGAATTTGCTAAACTACTTTATATAGTTTTTGAAATTCAGTAGTGCTTTTTACAATCTGGGTTATCTAAAAGATGTTGACCGATAGTAGAATCACTTGTTTTCCCAGGTTGGTTGAGATCCTCAATCTCCTGTTTTGTTTTCCCAGGTTGGTTGAGATCCTCAATCTCCTGTTTTGTATACCTCTCTCTGCAATGACGTCATGTTTCAGAAAATTCAGTAGTTTCTAGAGGGATAGGATAGTTTTCAATGATAATTGATATGGTGTTTTTTTTCATGTGTATTTTTTATCAAAGTTGACATTGTCGATTTATTGTTAGCAAGTAGTAGCGGTAGGAATACAAGGCTAGGGACTAAGGGCTGCACTATGTAGAGCAGTTGGAGGGGTACAGGGGGTACAGCACATGTTGCAAGGGAAACCATGTTGCAGAAATAAGGCGATTTTTCAAAGACAATACTTCGAAGAGAAGGAAATTCCCAAAAAGTTGAGGGGCAGTTGCTCCATCATCCGTAGTCCCGAGGCCTCTGGTGTCATCAGTTGATATTTTCGTTTTTTGAAAATAATATTGTATTCGACTAATACCTTTGATACCACCCCAAGCCACCCCTGAATACTTCTTTGCAAGCCTGCTACTTCTTTATAATATTAGACTATTAGACTTAGTGCCTAAAATGTGTATATCGAAAGTGGTACTCGAAAAAATCATACTGCTAGAAATGACAGGTAATATCAGCATTGTAGTTCACTAGGCCTGTGTTTTGTGTCATTTCATCTGTTCATTATACTTTAAATTTTATCTTCATTCTATCCGACGATCTCTAGAATAATTGTACTATGATTCACAAGGAAATCTCTTTGAACAATAAACCAGAAGGATCAGAATGTTGAATAGCTACTTCCTTTTCTGAAAACTTTTTTCACCAAAGACATAGACCAATAGCTGCTCAATAATTTTCTTTAGCATAGACTGGCTTCTTTGATTGACGTTCTGATTTGTCAAATCAGGTATCGTCTGCTACGCTTATTAAAGCGATAAATTTATTAAAGACCAGATACAAGTTGTTCAGTTGATATAACTGTTCACTGAAGAATGCAATTGCAGTTTTAAGATAATCTATAACATAATTCAATTGGCCACCTTGCCCTGGATTTTGATGAATATAAGAGTCAAATAAACATAACGATTCTAAGACTCTGAGCGGTTGCAAAGTTTTCAACAATGCAGTAGTTTTGAGGGAGGCCAATGCAAAACATGAAAAGAATATATAAAGTAAGAGGGATTTACAGTTAAGCTTAAGCTTTTTTCCTGACAAAGCGTAAAACCCCTGGCTATCAATTCTTTAAAAGTTCGTGTGGTTGAATAAGAATGCCATCAGTTCCATGATTCATATCTGCTAACATTTTTTGCTAGCAGCTCCAGGGCTGATGTTTGGTTGAGATCACTTAGATCTTAAATGCAGGGGAATTCTAGGGGCTGTCTATACATTTGAACAGTTGCACAAATTTAAATTGAATTGCAGAGATGACATAATATCTACACAGGTTAGTTCATATAAAGTAGACAGGCTGTAAAAAAGAAACTTTCACTCCAAAAAATATCAGCAAACAACTATTGATAAAATGACGTTCAGTAGCAATAGCAAGAATTACATATAGAGAACATGTAAATCAAAGTATTATAAAATAAATAATGTTTTGCAAGAAAAAATGTTGAAATTTACTGCATTTGAGAAAACAATAGTGAAACTACAAAATCTAAAAAATGACAAAATTTGGATTATACAAACATAAATTAGATGTTTTGGAGCCTAAATGTAACCAAGCTGGATGGGTGAACATGTGGCATCTGCAGATCACATAAGACATACATGCATTTGTAGAAACTATGGGTGGAAAAGCAATGTTAATATTTTGATTACATAACATTAAAAACAACAAATTAAAATACTGTAAATCCTCGAAATAAGCTCCCTGGGGACTTATTTGCAAAAATGAATTGTTGGGTGGGGGCTTATTAGAGGGGGGCTTATTCGAGGGGGGCCTATTATAAAGTTTAATATTTTCCTCAAAGGTCGACATAAAAATGACATTATTTACGGTACTGCAAAATATTTAGCGATGGTGATAGGGAGAAACTCTTGGCACTTAATTCTTCTAAATGGATAGGGCTAGGTCACATCTTAGAGGGTCTCCCAAGCCACAGTTTTTTTTGTTTTTGTCAACTTGAAAGATTTTGGTACATGAAATATGATAAAATTGTTTTTACTACAAAATTCCAATTATCAATAAAGTGATAATGCTCAAATACTGCCTCTTTGCTTAAACATAACTTAATAGTACAGAAGTGATGACGTCATAAAATTTTATTTTTAGAATTTCTGGATTTTGATCCCATAACCTGAAAGAGCATCATGAAATAACTATAAATATGCATTAGTTAAAGGCATTACCAATTGGCTGAGATATGGCCACTCGAGCACAGGCTCTTGCCCCATCAAACCTCTGTAATTTGGTCTTGGTTCATATCTTAATGAACCAGGCAAGAATGACAGTAATCCATTCCCAAACTTGAAACCCTTCATTGGCCATATCTCGCCTAATTTTGAATATATCTACCTGATATTACATATTAAGAGGTATTTGACACTGTTCCTTCAGATAATGTGGTCAAACTTAAGAAATTCTAAAAGAAGATTTTTGATGATGTCACAGTACTCAAGTTGACAGTTGAATTGACTGCCTTTGTCATTAAAATTTCTTTGTCATTAAAATCCCCTCTGACCCTAGTGGCTGGCGCTACCCCCTGAGAGTACTAAATGGTGAATATGCTAGAGCAAAGGAGTTTAAAGTTTTCTAACATTTTGAGTGAGATTCTAATGGTTTATTAGATGTACAGTAGATTGAGCTAGGACTCCATGCAAATCTGGGAAGTTGGAAGGTATATGAAAACCTGTCTGCACTTGAGACCCATGAAGGATACAGGTGTAAAACTACTAAACTTCAAACATATACCGTCCCTAATAAGGGTTCAACTGTGCACTGTTTTGAGAGCTCTTCTGAGTTGTAAATTCAAATAGGAAATGTATTAACAAATTATATACTATAACATCCTACCCTGCACCTACCAGCCCTGTCCTTGTTGCTACTGTGCCCTGACTGAACAGTTAAAACTACAAAACACTAGAGGGCATCATGCTATGTGAGTTTCATTCAACAAAATATTTCATTTACTGCAGTTCAATGTATCTACGGTCACTTACACAAAGTATTTGGGAAAAGCCACTTCGAAAATGATGGCTGCGAATGGTATAAATAAATGGATTGATACAGGAGGAGAAAAAGCAAAGTATGACACTAGCTTGGATCAAGTGGCTATTCCATTCAATCCCAGAAATGAAGCCAAAGTTAAGGCAAAAGTACAGTACTTGGTTCATTGCCCAGCATGAGAAGTAGGATATGATGACAATCATAACTGTGTTTATACTTTGCTGTCTAATCTTGATTAGGTGCAATTCACCTTGCTGTACATGCTCAGTAGGGCAACTTAAAGCATGTAGCCTTTTTGCATCTAAACAGTGCTTGATCCTTATAAAGCAAACAGTCATATAGATAATTGGTAATACAAACTGGATGCTGAATACTGTAACATAAACAACTTTTGGTGTTATATCATTGTTGTATGCATTTGAAAATGTGCAGTGTGCACCAACACTTGCATTTGTAGGGGCTGCATATTTTTCACCAACAATAGATAACGAGCCTAACAGTACAGAGAAGACCCAAATCATAATGACAAACACAATTGCCCTCTTTTTAGTGGACTTTAATCTTGATTTGAATGGTTTGCAGATTGCCATGTATCTCTCGTGTGTCAGCACAACAAGTGTGTAAACCGATACTGTAGCAAAAAAGAACAATATATTGTATCCTGTGAAAATTTTACACATAGCATCACCGAGATTCCCTGTTGGATGATCTTTATAAAGCGATGTTGACGTCAAGTAAATTGGCACACAGAGTAAACAGACCAGTAGATCTGCCATAGCCAATGCTCCTATATAAACTCCAAATGCAGTGGCGCCCATTGTTTTGTTTCTCTTCAAAACGAAAATGACCAGAATGTTACCAAAGGTACCAACCAGCCCAATAAATAAGTAACAAACCAGTTCCCATGGCCTGACCGGAAAATTTTCGTGCGTCCCTAAATTTCCCATCTTTCGAGGCAAAAAGCTAATTCACCAAAAAGTCTTGCTTGATGCTGTAAAGTGGCTTTTCTATTTCAAAGACAGATCCAGTTGCGATTGCTCGGAATCGACATGAAATAACTATATTTAACATCGAATTGCCTCATCGTTGGCACATGACTTTTTTAGTTCGCCTTTCGATTTCCGGTTTCTGCCGTTCAGCAACAACAACGACAAAGTCTCATTTCCATGCAAAGATTTCGGCTGAACTGAAGCTGGGAGCTGTGTGGAAACTCTGTGTCAATCCGTGACCCTATGTTTGATATTATAGCAATTTGCTCCTAAATGCAAAGAAAAGATTCATTAAACCAAAAGATTTCGATTCTTATTTCAAGATCCCGCTTTGCAACTGTCTGGGATGCAAAAGATGTCGTGAAGTTAAAACAGGAACTTAGAATTCCTGGAAACTTAATAGGGTCTCTTCCAAGAAAACCATGGCAAAATCAAGTTCTGGCACTTCCTTTACTGTTATCTCCGGAAGAAGTGACCTTGCTTGTCAGAAAAGGCCATGCAGTTTTGTACTACGATGAATCTAGGTCACATCAAGCGGAAGATGATATCAAATTATTTAATAGCTTGAGGGAGAAATCGCATTCAGACCAGATTAAGATTTTTGTTAAGAACAGAGAAGAAAAGAAGATAAAGTATGCCAAAAGAGATTTGTCAAAGGGTGAAGATTCTGTAAAATGTATTTCGAGGAGTTTAGTATCACCTGAATATGTTCCTGGTCAAGAGAATCGTGGTAGAAGTGATAAACTATCAAAGTGTGAAGACAAAAAAACATCAAGTGAAGAGCCTCAATATAATGAACAAACTCTTGTCACAAATGATGATAAGAAATACTTTGAAAAATCAACTTTGATACATTTGCCAACTATTGTTAACGAAAGAAGATGGGTAAATCAAGATGGCCATCAAAATCAAAGTTGGAATTATCCAGGCTCCTTAAAAGAGAAGAGCAGCTATGCTGTTTTTAGTGATTTATGGGAAAAAGGTTATTATCTTACTGCTGGTGGAAAATTTGGCTGTGATTATCTTGCCTATCCAGGCGAGCCAACAAAGTATCATTCCAGCTATCTTGTCTTGGTGGTACAATCTTCAGAACATTTTCCATCCCAAGTGCTTTTATCGTATGGACGACTGGGAAGTGGAGTGAAGAAAACAGTTTTACTTGCAATTGTTGATGAAAAAGACAATTTTTCTGTAAGGTATCAGTCAATTTCTTGGTCAAATGTAACTTGAAAAGGAATATTTGAGCTTGTCACATATGTTTTATGTCCACTGCCGATGACCATATTTTATATATTTAAACAACATGCTAATGTCAGAAATTTCCTTAAACTTTTCTTGCTTGCAGTCTCCTTATTAAAATAAGGTTTTTTAAGGATAGGTGGTGACAAATCTTCAACAGAGACTTTCATATTGGGTGAGCATTGACAGATTTTGTTAATTAAGATTTAGTATAGTATTTGAGGGACATCTATTTGAGTTAATCTGGTTTAAAAATATATTTACTGTACATAGAAAGCTGCCATTCTTAGATGCATTATTAGCCAAGTTCTACTGCACATATTGAGCTTATAAACAGGGGAGATGGTTTTGATTAAAAAATTTTAGTACGCATTATCAAAAGGTTTACCTCTAGAAAAATCAGGGGACATCATTGTTTAGCATGGCTTGTATCCTACTGTATCATTGTATTTTGATGTATTTGCTGCAGGAGCAGTGCCAAGGGGTGGACTGGGGTAGACAAGTCCAGCCCACTTTTTTTAAGATCAATTTTTTAATTTTTACAAAACTGGACAAAAGATAAGGGGGAGGATGTAAGTTTCTTCTCTGAGATCGGAACTTTGTTCCATTTTGATGGTCTTCTTCAGATCTTAGCTGACATAGAGCATGATGTGTTGGATCATCAGTTCCATAAATAGTGAGAGACTATAATGAAGATGGTCTATAAAAAACAGCTTTATCATGCCAAACAGTTGATTCTTAGAGTGTAGTTTTTGCCTTCCTTCCTTTTTGTAAATAACTTGAAAACTTGTGCTCAAACATTTTTTAAGATAAAAGGGTAGTAAAGTTGCAGCCCCACCTGTCACATCTTTATCATGCAAAAGAGCACACAGCAAGATAAAGATCAGCAGCAATTACCTTTGCGCCTCAATGTAAGATGAAAGGTTGGAAAACCCTGTTCAAATTAGCATTGATTGTGATATGGCAGATAAAATAGACATATGTTAACAAGTTTAAAACCACAGTTAGCTAAAAGTTATCACTCTGATGAGACTGATATTAGCTTTTTGTGTGTAAACCTTTGCCTATGAAACTGAACTCTTCTACTCAATGAAATTGAATTCTTCTACTGAGGGTTACAAAATAAGTCCAACATAATTATCAGTAACGAGCACAATTTGTCACCCGGTGTTGCAACAGTTTCTTGCCTTGACCCCTTGATTAGCTCCTCCCCTTCATTGTCCACCCCACATTTTTGGGGCTGGCACCGCCCCTGATTTGCTGAGGCATTTCTACTTAAGCCCTACCCAAAGGGCTTTATTTAGAGAAGCATATTCACTTCTTGGCCTGCTTAAATAAGTGAATATGCTTCTCTTAAGCAGGCCAAGAATGGCCATATACACTCCCCTAACAAAAGTATTGCTCCACCTTGTTCAAATTGGCAGCACATTTTGTCAAGTTTTCAACCATACCAAACATTTCAATGCATGATTTGGGTGAAATTGGCATACTTTAAAGCAAATTTTGGTTGGAAATTCTTGTGTATCTTTCAGACGCTATAGAAAACATAATTTTAAAGCTTTATTGTCCAATTATCATAGAAAATACAGAATAAATAAGAAAGAACTACTTATGAAACTACTACAAGGGGTGTAATTTCTGGGAGTGTATGGCATGCGATATCAATGACAAAGAGATATCAATGAACTCAAAAAACTCAAACATTTCATTCACAGCAATAATTAACTACTACATTTATATTTAATACTTGAACCACAAATAACAATAATTTTTTTATAAAAAAGGAAAGCTAGATACAGCAGGTAGTTCGAAGTTTAATATGTTTGCTGTCGGACATATGAAAAGAACTCACAAGGAGCTATCTAGGTCATATGCCCGATTTGACGTGTATAGGTGACGAAATAAAGGCCTAGAAAACTGTAATAGCGATTTAAAGAGAAGAATATGAATGAAAAATACAAAGGAAAGATTGTCAATATAATATGGGGTTAGTAGAATAAGAGATGTGAATTGATTGAAATAAAAACGCAATAGTAAGATGCATGGTGGTAATATATGCTTAATGCTAACTGCGTTTAGTAAGGGTATTAGTTTTCCCTGTTATGATGTACGGTTGTGTGTGAGAGCTGGACAATCAGGAAAAGTGAGGGAAGAAAGATTGATGCATTTGAGCTATGGTGTTCGCGTAAAATATTTGAGAATGCCATGGACAACAAGAAGAACAAATAAGTCTGTTCTAGAAGAAATAAAGCCAGAAATTTCATGATTGTCAAACAAGCGCTTACTTTCTTCGGACACGCGATACGAGCTAGGGGGATAGAAAAAGTATGATGTTAGGAAAGGCAGAGGGGACAGGGCCGTAAATCTGTCATGTGAATTGGGGGGGTCAGCAGAGCGAATGTATATAAAGTATGCAGTGGGCATGGCACCACAAGGGTGTGTTATGGAAACAGTTGAGGGGCAAATTACTTTAAAAACAAAAGTCAATATTTTTGGACTTCTCAAGACTTTTTGCTCTATAGAAGGTATTTATAGATATTCCTTAGTACATTGACTTGTGTTGATAATTGGATGGGTAACATTTTTCAGAGACGGCTACAAGAAATTGAACCTTGGGTGCTAAGAATCAAGTTTACTGTCGCAGGAGGACCCACCGTGGTTGGGTCCGACAAGAAGAAAATTTTTGAAATTTTACCTTCTAGAAAGGCTAAAAAAGCATCCCCCAGACTAAATTTAATAAAATACTAGAATCGCTCTGGATAAAAAGTTCGGCGTTTTTCAGAAGAACACAGATTATTGTTTATTGGGTGAAATTATGGAGGGGAAGAGTCGTGCTTAAACCTTAGTGACAGACTTTGGGGAAATATGGGACACTGTTGTATTGATTGGTAGAAGTTTACTTTCTGAACAGAATTGTGCGTCTTCTTATTTTGAGCGCTTTCAGTAGGCCATCTTTACACATAAAAAATGAATACATTTTAATGATACAAAAAGTGATTCACTAAATAAAAGAAAATAATAGACAAATAATAGAATTGTACGTAAAGAAGTTAGTAAATAGGTCAAATAAAATGACAGATTGCTCTCTTTTTATTTCATACTTTGTTTTCAAAAATAAAACGGTAGAAAACGGAAAAAAACGGTAAAAAACGGTAAGTTTCTATCTTGTAAAAATTCTAAAAACCACTCTGCTTACAAAAATAACCTTAGTGGCTGAGGTTTGTTGCAATAACACAGAAAAACGTAGTTTGGTTCTAACCCGGCTACCAGGGATTTCTTTCTTTCAAGAAAAATGATGGTAATTTCTCCAAAAAAATCGTTTCGCTCCAGATTTTTGGGGGGGTCCAGTCCCCCCCGTCCCCCCCGGGATTTACGGCCCTGAGAGGGGATAAGAAGAAGTGGCAGGCAAAGAACAAGATGGCTGAATGTATTGAAAGAATCAACCTGGATGTCCTTGCATCAACTTTATTGAAACAACCTGGAAATTGTTTCTTCAGAGGATCGCCAGAAGTCGTCAGCGACTTGATGGTACATGGCATGTGACACTCCCCACTCCAGTCAAAGACCAGGCAAAAGGGCCAAAATTGTGTTGTTGTCTGTCGGGCAAGAATAAACTTAAAATACAGCAGTTATCCAGTATTCATATCATGTCATTCTTTTCCTGCTCGTGCCAAAGGCATTTGCCCGACAAAAGTCAATCTATTTGTCTGCTTTTGACGCGACAAATCTGGCGATGGCCAGGTAAAGGGCATTCTAGAGTCAATAAAATCAAGAATTTTTCAACAGCTGATTATTTGGTACCCCGTCCAATGATTATACTGTTTCAATGCCTGGGATTTTTTAAGGGGCAGAGAGATGTCTAGAAGATATGGTAAGACGTAGGATTCCACGCATCCTCTCTCAAGCACATTGATTAAATACTTCAATGAGCACTTCAAAAAGCAGTAGCAGCGCCACGTCCCCCCCAGTTCTCGGCAGGATCCATTTTGTATTTCATCTAAATTCGACGAGAAAATGTTGGGGGAAGAGTAATATTTTGGCAACTTACTTTCTGTGATGTAATCTTATTGTTTTCAGTCTGCCTTTTCAGGTAAATTTGGCGTATCTTTCCTAAAAGGGCGCTTTCTGGTGCTAAAAAAGGCGTGGCCTAAAATTTTTTGTTTTGTACCCCCCCCCCCAAAACGTAGGGGCTGGCGCTGCCATTGGTTCCAATACCCCCAATCTTCTCAATTATGTATGATTTGCTGCACGTATTTTCCGAATACAACGTATTATTTGTATTATTTTCGAAAGAGTTGCAAAATAAATGCAGTATTGTGAGCTAAACTGCTTATTTTTGAAAATGCCCTGAATATTCGAAATCCTGTTGTGAGTCATTGGTGCAGTGTGAATGTTACTTAAACCCATTCGAGAAGCGCTGGGTGCCATTTAAGCAGTTGCAGGTGCATATGGTACAATAAAGGTGAAGGCAGCATCACTCAGAGAAAATATGATAAAATTTGATTTCATTTTTGGAATCATGTTTGTGTGACTGATCATTGAAAAACAAAGCTCCTAAATATTGAGTTGCAAAGAGAAGAACTGAATGCTCTTGATGTAATCTTTAATTGAAGGAACTGTTGCATCATTGAAATCAATAAGAAGCAACATTCAGGAATTGAATGCCCAAATTGATGCATGCATCAAGTTTGCAAAGACATTCACCATCGACCCAGAAAAGAGTTCTTTGGTAGAAGAAAGAAGAGGCTACCAGAAAAACTTGACCAGAATCCTTCAACTACTGCTGTTCTTGAGTTCCACAGCGATTTCCGTAGAGCTATGGTTGTGGTTCTAAACTCATGGGCGTAGCGGAAGCTAAACGTTTATGGGGGCTAACGGCCTAGTATGGGTCTTGCCGAATATTGTTGCCTCATTGAGATTAAATTGCTCGAATAGTCCTTAAATTTGATAAATTCTTTGAATAAGTCGGAACATTTTGGAGTGAGTCGCAATTCCATTACTTATTTCATCATAGAATACACTCATTTTTGTTAAAAGAAACTGGCTATAAGAAATGAGTACTTGACTGGACAGTCAGAAAAAATTAAGGAACTCCATTACTCGAAGCAAAATATTAAGAAACTATTAAATCTTGATAAAACTGAGAACAAAGAAATTTTATCAAATTCAAGAACATGATTGCCCTGTTGGCCTAGAACTTAAGACACAAGGGGTAACAATACTACACTTCTCAAATCTAAATACGGCATCAGAACGGAAGCGAATCTCTTGACGTGATAAAAAAGGTCATGAACATTTCATAACATCATGACATCATAATCAAGAAAACCTTAAGTAAGAATGAGTATTGAAATTTCCAGAAAATTAAGAAATTGGAGTACTCAACATCGACCTTTGTTTCTTATAAAAATACGAGTGTAATATTACATAAAGCTAATGCCGAGAAATCTCTCAATTCAAAAAGAAAACTACTGAACCTTATATATTACGGTTCTGTAATTAAAGTCTTCATTGTAACTGTGATTGTTTTATTGTCATTCGGAAATTTTATACTCTCATCCCCCCCAATCCCCCCCCCCCCAATAAAAGATATCCATCAATTTACGTCCATGTCCAGTCCCAGTCGGGTCTTGTCTTGTCTACTGATTATTTTTGCTACCGCTAGTTTTTGCAGCTATGGTACTCAGAGTACGGTGCCAGCAGACGAATGAAGTCTTCACCTGTCACAAGAATCAACCTTGGCTCAACACCTAGAGGTAGTCCCGAATAATTTTTTCACGTGTCACGCGAACATGTGTCAGTTGACTTCCATATGTTCATAGAAGTCATTATGCTTCCCCAATCATAAATGAAATGTTACTTTTACACTATTCGTATTTCTTTTCTGTTTTGATTTTGAATTCAGTCATTTGTCCCGACCAACATGGCTATTATTCTTGCCTTTCCGAGTTGCCATGTGATTTCGTCACTTGGTTACAAGACTGTTTACGTATGTTTGTATGGGGTCTTCCTCAGAAAACTCCAAAATGGCAACTTTCTAAACTAGGAATCAGAGGCTCGACAGACGATTAAGCTTAACTAACAAGCAGCATTGGTATACCTTATAGTTTTTGAATTCAAAATGCCGAGAGTTCAAAGTGGTCGCTCAGACATGAGTGAGGTGGAACCAGATGGCCTAGGTATGTAAATAAGACAGCATTAACTGATCAGTGACCCAAAACTCGAACTGCATAAAATCTAAAAATGAACCTATGCCAGTATAAAAGTTTGTTTTTTATACATCATTTCAACTCATAATTCACATTCTATGTTTTGTTATTAAGTCTGTTATCAAAGAGAGAAATTAAAGCTATTTCACAAATGCGATGCTAAAACTCACGAAATATGTACATAAATCTATTCTCCAAACACTACTTCATCAACCTCCTGCAAAATGTTTAGAATATAACGAAGTTTTTTCTAAAGTCCCTTATAAATGTGTAAGGATAATTCTCTCTTCCTTTTACATTTCTGTGAGTTATTACTAGAACCTGTTATTGGAAAAAATTATTGCGATTGTGTACCTGATCATAGCATTTGCTTGCTTTGCTTGCAAGAAATAATTAGGAAGATTGCAAATGTTTTGACTATGCTATACTTGCTATACTTGCCAACTAATATTTTTCTAGCTGAACAGGAGCTTACAAAGCTTCAACAGCAGTACAGGATAATGGAAGGGGATAGAAAGTCATACAGTGAGGAGTCTCAAAACCAAATAAGGAAGCAGAGGGCTGCAATTGAAGCATTACAGTTAGAGAATGAGGAATTGATGAAGGAGAATAGGCTGGCTGGAAGTCAGCAAAACAGAACCAAGGTAATATATTTTTTAATTTGAAAAAAACCAAAGAAAGTTTTAACTACCTTGCTTTTGCCAGATTTGAACCTTTCTTTGGAAATATGTAAAAATAGGTTTTTAGCAGTGACAACTAAAATGTCTAAATGTATTTTAAATATTTTGGAAAAAACTAGAAATTTTCAAAAGCAAACAATGATTTATGATTATGGCAACTTTTTATTAATTCTATATTTGTATCTAAAGTAAAATCAAAGTGATCTGTCAGACAACACCAATGCCATTAGAAACTGTCATATGCATTTAACAAATTGGTACCAGATTAGTAACTGTGATCAAAGTCAATCATATTCTTAGTATTTCATGTTTGTTGTAATGAGGAAGTATTCTCTTTATCATCTCTTTATCTTTATAATGGAACTTAAAGAATTTAATCCTGGTGTTTGTTTTAGTGATATCATAACAAAAAAAATGATGCATGAAAAAATGCTCAGAGGAGCACTAAAAGGTATCTTGTATTATATAAATGGCAAAAGACTAGGGAATCAATGACTTTAATTACATTGTAAATTTTATTGATGTAAAAAATCAATGACTTGAAACCTTGAGACATTAACTGGGTATTTTTCTTAATCATATGTTCATTTTTTAGGATTACAGCAATGTTGAAGTATTGAATGCACTGATGTCAGATGAAGGTAACCTAATATCTTTTTGTAAATAATAAACAAATTGTGTTTATTCTAGTTTTTTGTGATGCTATGAATTTTTGGGGTTATGGCTAAGGGAAATTAGAATAAAGACAATCTTGCTTTTTTTTTCTTCATGCAAAAAATATTCTCAATGAACTCATTAAGAGTAGGAATATTGCTAATTTCATGCAACAATACTTCTCAAGTAGACTTTTGCCTTATATGTCTATGCATGGAACCTAATCTAAAATTTCTTAATTCGAAGCTTTGTTAAAATCATATAATAACACTATAGGCAATTACGTATTCTCAGTTCAACAGGTTTCAATTAATTTAATCTGAATTTCAGAAAAATACAAAGAGAGGATGCAATCAGAGAAAGAGATGATCACACAACTTGATTCAGAGGTTCTTAGATACTTTTTCTTGACTGGTTTTGTAGATCTATGTTATGTCAAAAGGCAACTACTAATGTGAACATCAGAATATCAGAATTTGTAGTATTTGGTAGTTCCCCAATGTGACGTGGGGAAATGAGAGCTTGGTCAAGCTTTGGGAAAGATGAAATTAATTCTAGATTTGAAAAAATCATAAAAGATTTAAGATTATAGAATTAAGCAGACAAATAGAGTTTGTAACATAAAACCAACTAGTTCCTCACACTAAAACATGTACAGCTCTGCCAATATGGCATCAAGTCAAACACTTTGCAAAGAGTGGTATACAGTAATCTTCATTATTATCACATTACCGTGAACAGTTTTTATTACCCCTCGGGATTCTGGCCATGGTGACCACTTTCCAATCTTTGAAGGGGTAGGGATGATAAGCAAAGTCTACAGACCCAGATTTCCAGCTCTGTCTATCTCGGTGTTAATAAGACTGGTCTTAGTGAAAGATTATGTGGAATTAATGACTTTTGCCTGTATTCCACAGTCTCTAAACTGTTTCCTAAGTTCATTTGCCTCTCAACTTCTGAAGAATGCTAAAGATCAAATTAATAGATTGGACAAAAAGAAAATAATTTATTAAATTTCTCACTAAAAATTAATCACAACTGAAAAATGGAGACATTATTCAACATTTTTTATGTTTAGTTTGTTTCAACATAAGTGTTTGAAATTTAAAAACTAAACAAACTTACTTAAGTGTGCTCTTCAACTCCAAACATTTGATTTTAAAATTGATTTGATGATTAGAAAAGCAAATAATAATATAGAAATTATAAAGAAATAGAATAATTGCGAAATCACAAAGCAAATAACTAAATATTAAAAGCTGTCACTAGCAAAAATTTTATTTGTAAGTCAGTAGTTTGATTATTAACTCATCAATTATTTAAAATTTTGAATGAATTTGTTATGGTTTGTGTGTTGTGGTAGTCCATATAGACGCAGTATCATTAGAACATGCTTGTTTTTTAACTGAGAAGCATCAATAAAGAGGAAAAATAATTTCTCATCAGTTACTGCTTTCTTTTTCTAGATTTATGCAATAGAAAGAAAGATAAGCAAACAGAGGAAGAATATGGGAGGGTTAGTAATCTTGAAATTTAATTTGTTGATATCTTTCCAAAAATTATTCAATAATTGACTGTTCTTCAGCAAATTGATTTTGATTATGATCCTTTGATTTTAGTGTTCACATGAGTCAAGCAAAACAAATCATGATTCAGAAGCAGTCAAGAGTTTTGGAGAACAGGCTAGACCAGGTATGTTGCTTTAATTGGAGGGGGTTCAGACCCACCCCTCTCCCCTGTAAAGCTAAGTTTTGTCGAAGAACTTCTGATCTTGTTGGAAATATAACTTTGGTTGTCTATTTTTCATTTAAGTATTACATTTTTGAGACAAAAGTTTTTAACGCTAATTATATTGATTTCTCCTGTTGTTCTGAATGAGATTGGCAACCTTTTTGGATTTGGTGCCGTACTTGAAAATTCCTTTTTAGTGGAGAAAACAAGAAAAAACTTGTAGTATGATTTAGGACACTTCATTTTGATGATGAGGATGCCATTCACAAAGGACATCCAAGCTGAAGAGGTGAGGGGGGTTTGATGAATCCAACTTCGGTCCAAATTGACCTTATCATCAAATATTCGAAAACGAAAGGTATCTTTTAGGCACAGTTCTCAAAAAAAGAAATTGTAGTTGGTTAATATTAGGGAAAGACCTGTCAAAGAAACAAAAATTTACACGGTTTTCTGCAAACCATGGCAATATCACATCTGAAACAAGAAGGCTACAAGCAAGTGCACTTGTCATATGATTTGCTCTGTCCATCTGTGCAGAAAAAGCTTGCAGAAATAGGTGGCAGCAAATACCAGTGTAGTTTGGCTAGTGCCAGCAAACTTTCACCTCTCTAGAGCCGGCAAAAATGTACCTCAAGGTAACTGGCCACAAAAGAACAAGTAGCAGTGCAGCAATATACTCCTCTTGTAGATATTGCCACCTTCATGAAGCAGCCATTCACAGAAACTGACTACTTAGACGAACAGTGAAACACGACAATTGGAGCCACACAACAGTGAAACACAACTTTAATATTAAACTTCACCAAAAAAGTGAGGGGCTACAGACCCCCAAGCCCCTCGGCTCTGGCAGGGCTGCAGGAGCAGATTTCATTGAAATAAATAATTTTTGTATTTTTGTAGGGGCAAAAGCCGCCCACCCCTTACGAACTGTAGTAGTTACAAATAGTCAGGTCCCTGCCTTTGGATCCAAACACTTATTAGCTTTTATGTTTTACAGGAGATAGATCCTGTTTTCATTGTCTTGGGACACAATGCCCTTTTTTATATAGCCATATTTTTAGCAGATAATCTATGACACCAATCCTAGGGGCCTTTTTGATGCCAAATTCCCTGTCAACTCATTCAGTATGACATCAAGATTGTGGCGTTAAAAGATAATGATGGAAACTACCAAAAGAGTTTGCCAATACGTCTAGAGCCCCCCCCCCCCCTCTACTTCAAAATATGATCTGAGGTTCCTGATTAACACTGTTTATGAGTAAAATGCCCGAATGACTCCGTTTAGGCAAATTCTTGCTTCTGTTCTGTAGTTTCTGATTTCAAGACATAATTTTGTCAGTAAAAGTTTTGAATGGCACGCGAAAAGATCCCAAAAAAATTCCAATTCCAAATTCATGTGAGATGTGACACAACAGTAAACCCTGCAGCTGCTACGTCCTTTCTTTTCATTGACTTGTCGATCTCTGAAGTCTGGACCCATATGTACTTATTTATAGAAATTGTATTCTAATTCTTCAATGCAACGAATTTGTCAAGGATATTCATAAAGGATACCATTCGAATACATGAAATAATGTAGGTCGTTATTGCTCAACTTATCAATGACTCTTTATTATTATTCTAGGCAAGTACGAAGTTCAATGATTCTTTGGCTAAAAACAGAAAACTGAGAGAGCACATTGATCATGTAAGGACGGAAAGAGAAATCTTTGAAGGCCTTTACAAAAGGCTAGAGAAGGTAATTTACAGATATGTTCTTGACGTAATCAGCATCATTTATATTTCATTTCAATTGCTCGTTGTTCATTAGTCAAGAATGCATGAGGTATTTGATAAGTGCAAAGGAAAACCAATGCTGCGTTACTTTTTATTAAGGCAAATGAATCGAACTCTATGAAATCTAGCATTAAATATTTGCCAAACCTTCCTCCTTCATTGATTAGTGGGGTGCGAAAATGCCGTTGCCCCCTCCTTGATCACCCGAAACTGGTCCATCATATCCCTTCCTCCAAAGTTTGATCCCTTTTCAAAGATTTGATCTTGAAGAACCTTTTAGTCATCCATGTTACCGACTGCTTCTTTCCAATCGACTTTGCTGTATCTCTTTTTTACGTAAGGAACATAGCTTGACCCTAATTTCTTATTCGTCATTTTCCTTTAATATGCCCCTTAGTTTTAGCAACTGTTTAACCCGTGTTGAATTGAGTCACAAAATTCAAATCTTTTTGACATCATAATCCAAGTTCAGTATCATTTTAAAATTCCACTGCATGCAATTAATTGAAAGATTAATTTAAACAACAGAACTACAATTGAAATACAAATATAAAGAAAAAGATAAGTAAATGTTGTATGTAAAGGATTTCTTTTAAAGGGCACATTAACACATGTCTCATTAACAATTCGTTAAAAAAACAAAAGCGCCCGCAATCTCATGCTTTGTATTAAACAAAAAAGATAATTGATTTACATTTGCCAATAATCATGTTCACGACACATGCCCTTTAAAGGAGGAGTTCTCTCAATAGCTAAACTAATCGAGGAGAGGACACCCCCTGTTGTTATAAGTTTTATTATCGTCAAGGTTTAGTTAATATTTTTGCATCCTTGGCTTTTTTAGCAAATGAATGAGAACAAGCAAGAAATTGCAGAAATGATTGAAGCATCGACTACAGCTTATGACGCCAGGTTACACACCTTCCATATAAAAATTAATTCTATCAAGCTTTTTTGAAGTTTTTTATTTGCCAAATTTTCACTCGGCCTATCAAATAAAGTAGAAAAACAGAATTGAAATTCAATTTTTTACTTCAATAATATGCAGCCAGGTTTCCTGCTAAAAAAAGCTATATATTCTTTAATAATTTTTCTGTATTACCATAAAACGCTCTAATTCTACTCTATTTTTTACCAAAACACTTCGAAGATATAGCAAGCTATTTTTTGAGCATTTATATAGTTGAAAAAAGTGAAAATAGCCCTATATGCTGCGAGCTGATATTTTCAATTTTTTTTGTTTTTAGAAAGTATGCGAATAACATTTTGAATTTATGGTTGCTTTATATGTCATTTAAGTTGATTTTAATTTCAATTTTTATTCTTTATGCTTGGTAGAAGGGATACGAGTCCTGCTTTGCAGTTTGTCTTTTTAATCACGAAAAAGTGATATAAGTCCAGTTCGCAATGTTATTTTATACATTAAAGGTAATGTGTCCATATAAAAGGACTGCGTATACCCAACTTGTCAAGCCATCTATCGAAAAAACGGCTTGCGATTGGTCAGTATTCTTGCGATGCAAAACTGCTCACATGAAAAGCTAACTTTGCAGCAGGGTAGATAAACAGGATGACTGTAATGGCCGGGGCGATGAAATTTAAAATCACATGTTTCTGAAAACCCCCGAAGAGTTGCCTGCTTTAGCTGGAAACATTACCTTTAACTAAGCAAGAAAATGTTATCTCAAAAGGATACATGAAAAATAATAATTGAGGATCACGCTTAGTGTCACAGAGAATTTTTCAATCCCACATGGATCGTTGTCATTTGATAAAATTTCAAAAATTCCTAAGTAGCCCCCTTTGTTGCGACTAACCATTTTTGAATAAATTTGTTTTTACAAAGAAGCCAAAAATCAGTTTTAGAAAAGATCACTGTGTGGTATCGTTATTCGTTTTGTTTTAATTTTAGATTTTTCTGCAGGGTAGAGAAGCAGCATCAATTTGATTATATATTAATCCCTATTTATAGCGTGCCTTGGTAATTAAGAAAGTGATATTAGTTCAGTTTACTATGTCATTTCATACATAAAGTTAAAGTATAAAAGAATTGTTAAAGGTTGTGACTAAAGATCGCGCACAGCATCATCGAAATTTTCTAGCTTATAAATGGTTGTCTTTTGCCGAACTTTCGAAAATTTCTAACTTCACAGAGATGATGCGAAAACAAAGATGCTGGCTCTAACTGAAAAATCCGACAAAGATCTTGCGCAGCACAACATGGAATTGAAGGAGTTAATGCGAATCATAGATCATGACAGGAAATTGAAAGAGTTTATGGGCATTAAGAGCGAAGACCGGTCAGATGCCCACGAAGGAGCACATACATCTGGAAAGGCTAGTGAAGCAAAGGAGACTGATGACACAATAGAAGTAATGGTTTTTCCAATATTTATAGTTTAAAGATTAATGTATTAATATTGATAGATATAAAGTCCTCGTAAAGTCCTCTGGGGGCTTTGGGAGGCTTTAAAGGGAGCGTAATAGAGAGGTTAACTTGACAAAAGGCTTTGATTCTAATTTAACACACGGGAATATCAAAATCCACCGTTATTTTTGTAAAGATGTAGGGAGGGCTTAGTAGAGAGTGGACAAAAAAGAGCTTTTATAGTAAATGGTCGCAATTATTCGATAGTCGTTGCATTCCGTTACCATCTGGAAGATTTATCTAAACTTAAAGCCTAAAAACTGATACTTTGCATACTATAGAATGGCGTCGATATGATACCCGGAAAGAATTCCTTGTTACCCATCTTGCTCAAACGCGGCCCCTTCTCCTTTAATTATCCTTAGGTAGAAGCCTAAGTTGCAGTAAAAGCTCTTTAATAGCTGACCATCGTTTTCAAACTCTTGTAAAGAACACTATTTTCGCCATGAAATGTTTGGTATTTTATTTTCATCCTTGCATGCAACTGTGACGCTTGATCCTCTGTGCTTATGAGGATGCATTAGACGTTTTCAGTGTTCCATCGTACAGACCCAATGTCTACTCTCTTAAACAAGAAGGACCTATCATTTATTGACCTCGAAATCCTTATGTAACATAAAGGTCAGAAAATGTGATTCTTCTTACTTTCCAGTCTTATGAAGCTGCTTTTGACAAGATAAAGAAGACAACAAAAATCGACGATATTGATCTACTGGTTGAAATATTCATTGAAGTCGAGGACAAGAACTTTGCCTTGTTTAATTATGTGAATGAATTGAACAATGAGATTGAGATGCTCCAAGAAGGTATTGCTGGAATAGAGAATGATGTTGAGCAATTCAAGAGGGAAAGTGTTGAGTTAGAGCAGCAGAGAAAGGATATCCTTTGGCAACTTGAAGTGAGTCCTATTTTCCTCCTTAGAAAGATGGATGCATTACTCTAAAGACTTGTAAAATCAAGTGCATATATAAAGAATACCTGATTTTGTGCTTGGAAATATGTCAATTATGAGCATTTGTTTTTGTCTATTTCTAATATATATGTTGTTGAATAAAGCTTTCATTATAACGCCATGTTATAATTTTCATTATTTATCTATTCAGAAAGGAATTAATTATGATTTTCAGTTGAAGTCTCTAGCCTGAAGCATGATTCTCAATCGATTTATTTTGCTTTATCTTGCTATTCGATTCCTAAAGTGAATTGTCTCATTTCAGTAAGTAGTAGGCAGTCATGTTTAGTTTTCACTATTCGCAGAAGTATGAAATAAATGAAGTAAACCAAATTCCTGTTTTTGCCGTTTGCCAGGTTTAACGAAAAGAAAACTGTAAAAAATACACCTGAACTGGGCTGATACAAATTAAACAGAGAAAATGCACAGAAAGTGCAGTAAAGGAATCACCAGATAAGAGCTTATTCCGATGATAATTGAAAGTGATTGAAAATTGATAGTTTTACAAGAAAACAAAGTCACATAAAGGGATGTTTCCATTTTCGGGAACTTTGGACTAATGTAACCGGTAGTCCTTGCAACTTCTAGTATCTACCTCCTTAGTTCTACGTAACCTGTTTCGGTTCCGTATTGAAACCCTGCTATTTCTGTTTTCCAGGAAAGGCATGCAAGTGAGGCAGAGAAGGCTAGAGGATTTGATGATACATACAAAGCGGCCAACAAAATCCTAGAGCAGCTGAAGGCTGGTAAGGAACATCTGATATTCGATTAATTGCCTTTTCATCTTTCATATCCATCTATTAACGATTTTTGTTATATATATCCACTAATAAAAGAATACAATACAGATTTACAAAACAAAATACTATACAACTATGTGATACAATTTTTACGATATTCACGGTTTCAGCTCACCTCTCCGTATTTCTACATTTACGTAGCTCACTTCTCCGTGCTGTTTCAAGGGCTAAGCGCACTTCTCCATATTTGTTCAGGGACTGCAGCTTTCTTCCCATAATCTGCTATTGACATTCTTTCAATGTTCCTTTAAAAATTCCTTTAAAAAATTCCTTTAAAAGTCAGTCTGCAAAAGCCTATTTGTCGTTCCCTTTATCTGGCATCTTATAAGGGTTTACCGTATTCTTATTAATTACCCGTCAATCTTAACCGTTGGTTTTTAATCACACAAAAAACTGCTTGACAGTCATTTTGAACGTTTTCTAGCCGAAAAGAAATTAAAAGGAAGAAAGTTGGATAATTGCTGAAGACATTTTATAGCTTTTTTGGCTTCTTTGTTATCACTAGCTCTGCAACCCCCCCCCCCCAACCCCCCCTACAGAAAACTTCACTTTAAACTTTGCTTGCATTGAAAAAGGAGAATTCACCATTTCTCAGGCCTGGCCACGTGAAGATATTTTTTGGCCAGGGAATTGTATATTTCATGCAAGTGCTATTTGGTAAACTCTGTTTTGTTTGTTAATTCGATCGGTATGCTCGTTACGATTCTAAAACAAGAAATTAAAAATAATTTTATTCTTTTTCCTTATTCAAAGCTATATTTCACCTTAAAGGGAAATGGTTGGATTTTATTATACCAATTATTATTTTATTTTACCTATTCTACATATCTTTTATGCATATTAATACATACGAAAACCTTGTTTCTTACTAGTTGTTTTTGAGCCCTCGATATATTTTAATGAGATATTCATGTATTTAGATCGATTTTTTAGCTTAAATTGAAACGTTAAGACCAAACTTGCTTTTTCTTGGTTTACGAGCATCATTCCTAACTTCCAGGAATTGATTCTCTATTCAAGAAGATAAATTGTGATCAAACGTCTATTGTTGACATGCTTGGGGGACATGCTGGTGTCACTGACTCCAATATGATGCAGGTTTGTAAGCTTAGCTCTATATTCTAATTTTAAGCCGTTCTAGGTTCAAGTCTAGTCTCAGATGGTATTACCCTCTAAAGCCAAATTCCCGTATATTTCTGTTCGCTCTCATTTCATTTTTAGACTCCTTTCATATTTAGATTCTATTACATTATATTACCAATTATATTACATTTATACCAATAATCCTACATTGCTTGAAATTTTGTTTGAAATTATGCAAAACTTCAATTCACATCACAATATATTCAAAATATTCAGTTTTGTGCACCTTTGATTGGTTTTGCTGTTTTGCATAATTCGAAATGATATAATTTAGCATGATTTGCATAGTTTGTAATAAATTTGAATTTATAATGCATTTTACTTTTATAGTACCTTGGCATAATTGAACAGAGAACAAATGAGCTGCTGCAGGTCCAAGCTTTTGCTGCAACAAAGGTAAAGATCTAAAAAATATCTTATTTGTGCTTATCAGTGGTGGAAATAGTAATTAGAAGGCATCTCGTAGGCCTTTTTCTTTTCTAACTCTATGTCATTTGACATTGTAGTATATGTATATTCGTTCGCATTTATTTATAAATTTCTAGAGTAATTATACTTTATCATATATGTATTGCTGAAAATGAAATTTGGGAGCCATTTATGAATGTTGGGAAGTCATTTAATATAGCATGTTTTTCCGATACTATTTGGCAGTGGACATGTTTTTATTTCACTGAAGACAATCTATCCCAGTCTTAGAACTAAACTATGAAAGGAGATGCTCCTTTAGCCTATCCGAGTTTATATGTTTCAATCGAGCATAGCACTACATATTTGTGCTGTTTCTTGGCACTAACCTACCTTAGCCTTAGTTGACCATCAAGATATTTTGACACGTTTTTAATCGCCTTGCTAAAAAGCATACCGAGTATCCTTGAAAACTTTATCTTATAGGATCTTCCTTAAGAGTTCATTGGAATTAAAGATGCCTCAAAGGTCTAAAAAATACAACCTTGGTTATCTGAACGTCATTAAAAGACATTTCCCCACTTCAAGCAGCCATAATATGAAACTACTGTTATTCTGTTTTACTTAGGTAAAGCTTATAATGTACGCTTTAACTCTGTAATTCTGTTGTAATTGTTTACTTAGTTAGTTTGCTATTTGCAATGCATTCAATTTTTAGGATGAGGACAAGGCCCATGCGCTGGAGGCCATCGGCTTGCTTGGAAAAGGGCCTCATAAAGCTCAGGCCACAATGGCCGTGCCATTACCTTCAACAGGAGAGGACTACGAATCTGATATATCAATAGGCAGCGATGACGAGTCGAGGCCGCTTACCCAATCTGAGCTGATATCAAGGATAATGAAAGGGGTCTGTATTTTGTCTATCATCCATATTGCAATAAAGTGTTACATTTATATAGCATTAAGTCCCGTAATAATGAAGTCTTCACTAATGTTCCTTAGCTACTTGCATCTGCTTTTGACTTCATTTTACCTTTAATGGAATTGCCAGTCTCTATCTTCATCTAAATTCCAAACGTTTTTTCAATTCACCTAGATCCTGACAGTTAACATTTTTACAGGCTCCACAAATTTGCAAAAAATAATTCCACAATAGCATCCACTCTATGGTGTATTGCTATCAAATAACAAAGAGTGGCGCTCTTGCACGAAATTTTGCAAAAGCAATAGCAAAATAGAAATTTGTCTAATATTGAGCATCGACAAGGGAAGTAGTTAGCTCCCCTGAACCCCCTACCTCTACACCCCTGCATCCACACTCCTATCGCTTTAAACAAATTCGATATTCCCTACCAAGGGTACCTAGTATGCAAGCAGTACCTTTAAGGGCACACATACCATATAAATATCATTTTAGTTTTATCAATCTTTATATTAAGCTGTTATATATTAGTTGAAGCAAAATTATACGGAATGCTAACATACTGAAAAGCTAGTTATAAAATAATCTGGAGATTTTGGATTCCCTCCCCTTAAGTTTCATTTTGATTTATGCACTATCTTAATGTTCGTCTTCAACGCCATAAAAATCTATTTTTGGAAATGATTTTAGTGTGAACTGCATAAGTCCTTAACAAAACTGGCCTCATCAAAAGAGGGAGTAAAGAAGTCCACCATTCAATTCAATTCATTTTATTTGCTTATTACAGTTTTAAAACTCCACCATTCCACCATTCAATTCAATTTAGTAATGATACTGAAACATACAGGACCTGAGTAAAGTATAAACTACTCTACCTTGGACCTTTAACATAAAGGTATAATTAAAACAGTAATTATACTGACAAAGCCAAAAATTGAGTAATATTTTTCAAAAATAAAAGGAGAATATAGCAGGTGGATTATGTTTAAGTTCTCTAATTTAGTTCACAAATTTAGTTTTTGACAGCATATGTCCTCTAAGTGATATGGCAAAATTTCATTCTTTTTTTATATTTGATAGACTTTGAGAGACTTCAATTTATTGCTCCCTTATTTTGCAGAATTGTGACCCTAACGCTTATTTGTTATTTGTTCAATAATTCTGGATGTCAACAAGCTCCTTTCTCTCGCTGATTTTTCTGAATTTGCCCTGATCTAAGGAGGAATTCACGTTTGATACTGCCTCACTCAAACTTCTTTTACCTCAGAAGCTTAACATTTACCTGAAAATCAGCAACGCTGCAGGACAAGCATCCTTGAATATTTAAAATCGATCAGTCACGGCTTTTCCTATTGTGAATAACCTTACATGTCTTTGTCTCCATGTCAAAGCTGTAATTTGTATTCACATTGAGTTCAGAAGCAACTGTTGTCTTGAAGTACAATCCTCTCTGTGTCCATTCCTTCTTCAATTGACTTTTTCAATTCTTCTTTTGATACAGATTTCAAAGCGTGAGAATGCACCAAAGAAGATCCATGCTACTCTTCACCAAAGCCTTGAAAATATCAACGAAGAAAAAAGCTCAAGTAAAAAGAAGAAAGGTGCAAAATAAACATTTTTGTAAATTGTAAATAGGACAGCTCTCATCTGTGTCCGCATCATCCTTCACCCAGCTGTTGCTACTGAAAATGATCGAATATTTATGCCAGTTGTAAAATATCTGGGTAGGATTTTTGCCCCTACGTATAGGACATATCAGCGAAAACAGCTGGATGACCCCCACTCATAAAAAGAGTCTCGGTGCTTTAGAGAGCTTTTTCCTTTAATGCTGTTTTGATGTACCTTTTTACTTGTGCTTGATGTATCAGGTCGTTATACTTATGCTTGTACGGGCTCATGAATCATAAAAGGTTCAATCGCAGCTTTTAAGGATTTTTAAAGTTCTCATTAGTTTTTAAAGTTAGTGTGAAATAAGAAGCATCCCTTTTCGTTTTAGCTTGAATTTTGCTTAATAGCATCTCTATGTCATGAGTTATCAACCTCAAAGCCGGGTTGAGTCCAAACCGGGACAGGCTGGCATTGCCTCTCTGGGTGTGTTAGATACTTCACTAATTTTCCCTGCGCTATTTTTTTTAATCTCTATCTTTTTGCTTAAATATTTTCTGACTTGAAATCGCACTTTTTCCCTGATAAAAAGTGTTAGTCGTGTCTAGGCATTTCAATGGGACTTTCCTATTTAATTTGGCAATATTCAGCATTATGTAATGATCTATTGACGAGATACTATGAATTGAAAGCAACAACACCCAAAAGTAGAAAGAGATGACAAAAGAATGAAGCATTAACTTAAACAAACCAAGCCTTTTTATAATAGCTAATGGCCACGTCTTGCCTGTATACTTAACGTTTGGAAGGAAATAAAATTATGTTTTGCTAAAATTTCTGCAACATACCCTTCCCCTCCCATGGTACTACCTTGGAAGATTGGAAGATGCTGGAAGACCCGTAACTAGAGAAAACATCTTGCAAGAATATGTTTACGTCAGGCAAAAAATCCAGTGCCAAAATGACGCATTATCTTCAATGGAGGAAAGATTGAACGAGATTTACCAACAAAAAGGACTATCACGTCCTTCTGCTAAACTCCCATCCCTTAGTAGGTCATCTTCCACAACATTTTGCTGCTAGCACCACATCTCTTTTCTCCAGCTTTAGGCCAATCCAAAAATCATTTGCACGTTAACTTTTGATAACAATGCTACTTTTCTACGTAACAACCTAACTGCAACAGAGATAATGGCTCTACTAAATGACTCTACGAAAACTTTTTACAACTTCAAATTTTCAGGCTATCTGGCCTCCTCTTTTAATGATTTTCAGGCTTTCCAGCTTCTTCTTTCAAGGACATATTTTCAGCTTAACTTTGTTGCCTTGTGTATATTAGCAGCTTATGTGTATGTACCATTTATTTTTGAACAATAGTATCGTTTTAATTCATCGTTTTCTTATTGTGTTTTCTTTTTTCTTAATCAAATTGAAATATTTCATTATTCATAGCGTGTATCATACGTATGTGTCATTTATTGATCCGGAAATACCCGCTGATGCTATCGCTATTCCAGAAAAAAAGATTTTCTTATCTTTCACAGTCTTGAGTGCGCGTACCTTGAAATATCCTTGATGAAAATCAACAGAGTTGAACTTGAACCCATCATACAACACACGAAATGTTTCCCAATTTCTCTCTTGCTCAGGCACTATCTTTTTCAAGCGCGAAGCAAAATTCTTTCGTTGATAGCAAAGTTCCACGAATAAAAAAAACAGAAATTTCTGATTAACACATTTTCATCAAGAATGAATAAAGTTTAAAAAATTCACTGCCACGCGTTGGAACCTTTTGCTTTAGTGATGTTTGATTTGTGTTGTTTGGTAAGAAAAAAACTCGTCTGTGCCTGGTTTTAGATTGATGTAGTCATCAATATAGTTGACAATATAATCATTAACCTCATTTTACTGTGTAAGTATATTTTTAAGTAGAAATTTCTTCAATTATCAAACTTTCTTATACCAAATGGTAATAATTTATAAGGACGAGGTGAAATTGCAAATGTCATTTTCAAAAATGACACAGAACAAAGAGGTACTTCAATTAACAATACCTGTTACTTGAGACCTTGTAGAGCAAATTGTTTGGATAACCACCATCAGGGTACCAGCTGCTAGAAAAGGGTAGATGGGAAAGAGACTACTGAACAAAACCAATCTTTGACAACGGATCTCCAGAAAGTCCATACCCCTGACCCTCAACACATCCAGACGAATGCCTAGTCTGATCCGATTCAGCGGAATAAGATTGAACTTTATGTGCAAAGGCTTTGCGAACATGCTCACCCAAGCTGACACCTTGGTGTAAACCCTTAATAGCACTATTCCCTGATCAGACCTTTTTATGAGGGGCCTATTATAGGGGGTCAAAAAGCTGTGTGACAATCAGCCAAAAACTGTTAGCCGCAAGCGCGCAAGACAGTTTGCACCGCAAATACAAGACGCATCTTATCGGAAGCCGCAATTTGCGGAAAAAACCATTGCTAAATCCGTAGGCCGCATTTAGAAATTGGGCCGGGGTTGCGAAGCCGCAAACCTATAATAGGCCTCCTTTAAGCAGTGTCTCAGAAGAAGTGTCCAAACTTGCTGAACAAAGTTGTACAGAGATTTGTCCTTTTGACGTCACATGCGAAAGCTCGTGTCTTGGCGTCGGTGAAGAAAAATCTACCGGTGGTGTGTTTGTTTGAACATTAATTCTTGTATAACGCACTCACGGTGTTTCTAATTCTATTCATGCTGTCCAACACGCCGACACAATGGTGATGTTGTACGTAGCAAATAGAGAAAGGACTGGGGTGATTGTTTATAGATAAATCGGAATAAACCAGCTATTCACGCTCACAGTTTACCGATCATGTCAACATGCGTTCGCCACGCTACTTATCGTGCTCAAGGCTTGCTCGCCCGTGGACAGATAGGGTCATGCTTCTTCTAAACTCTAAACGCCATGCAAAATACTAAGCTCCTTATTTTGGAAAAGGTCAAATTTGCTGTAGACTGCTGCATTAAAAGTCAGGCTTTCTGTCCATCTGGCTACCGCGGATATGAATGCTTCTCATATAATCTTTTTTCGTCATTAAAATTTCATAAGCAATATCTTTTGAGAAAGTGAAATTTCCCTTCTTGAATCTCTCATTCTATTTGTAGCCCAGCTTTTCATTGAAATTGTTCTCAATGAAATATATCGTCTTTCTTCTTAGGAATCTTTTTTCCAAATTATTTCAGTAATCCATCTCAGAATCTCCATTTCTTTCAGTAAAGCTACATTTCAATTGCAATGAAACTTATAGGCCTATATAAATTAGGGCTGGATCTTTCGTTGAATATTCCCACAACAAAACTTTAAATTCGAAGAAATCTAAAGCAGTGACGATAACAGCCTTGTTCTCCACGAAAAGCTGGCAACTATCCTTTCAATGTGTCCTACATGAAAACATAATTCTGAACGCAGTGTATAAGCATCGATGCAAATTGGGGGCAGGGGGCAGGGGTGTCACACCCCCTTCACTCTCACAGCGATTTGGCCTCATTTGAATTCACCATGAAAATGATTGCTACCAGCACGCCGTGATAAAGGGAAATTCTGAAAGTTTTCCAGTAAATTGAAATATACTCTTTTCCAAGCCGCGTCTACCCGTTTTCTGTCAAATTTATTAATAGACATTTTTAGTCTTCTGTACGCGTAACTTTATTAGAACTGCAAAAGCCAAAATGCACAAATCCGTCTCTTTCTATGATTCTTTTGAACAGTACTAAAACTCAAATTTTTAATGCCAGGAAATCGGCGATTTGTTCGGCATCGGAAACCATGTCCCCCGTGGTTGCTGACGAAATGCGTTCTCAATGTGAACTTGATACGAGGCTGCCGAGTGATCTTTCAACCGTAGCACAACAAAGCCAGCTGATTTTTGTTTCTTTGGTTCCGTAGTTTTGTTCACGCCAACTTCCACTCTAGTATGGACATACCGGAATTCATAGGAGAATTTACCACTTGACTATACCCATCACTCTCTGAGTTGTGTATCGTTTATTCATATGGCAACCATGAACCAGCCGTCGCCGTCTCCAGGTATCATGGTATTTAGGCCGACCATGCAAGAGTTTAAAGATTTCGCGGCTTACATTAAGAAGATGGAAGACTGTGGTGCACATAAATTTGGGATAGCAAAGGTAAAGGTCAATTATGAATATTATGCATTCTTCATCAAGCTTACTTTAGAAATAATTTTTCTTATTTTATGCAATGTTTTATAGACTTATCATGCCGTGAAATGCCCCGAGGTTACGCTCGCAGCGGAGGTACTCTTTGTCTAGGCTTAAGATTCGTCAAAGCCGCACAGGAAAACACAGTAATTGGATAATGAACTTATGGAAGGTGCCCAAGTTCTGTCGCCACGAAAATCCTGATTTGGAAGAGGTTATAACAATGTCTTAATATCACTTGGTATTTGAAATGCCTACCAAATGCTTGCGCGCGTTAACATGTTCCTTCTAAACACCTGTGTTCCTTCGACTTTTGGGAAAGGGACAAGTGTTACCGAAATTCCCTTGCTTGCGCCTTTCAGGTTACCAGTTCAAAAATATTATCTTTTTGTTTCACGCCTGTGTTTAATCTCTTTGTGTCATTCGTTTTACTTTTATGATATATAGTCACAGAAAACCTCAAATGTTGGGCAGCACTGGATCAGATGTTTCACTTGTTTGGCCATGGTCATAGCTAAAATCCCGACATTTTTATCTTAACAGTAAATTTATATTTTGGTGATGTGGTCCCCAATATTTCCAGGGAAGTCTGCACGTGAAGAGGGCAACAGGGGCAAAGTGCCAAGAACATGGCAAAACTATAGGAAAACAAAGAACAATGCTCGATCATCCCCCTGTCCCCCTGGGGTAGGCATCATTAAATATTTCCGTAGATAGCAATTTTTGGTCACTTAAGTTCATTTCAATAACTTCTAACCACACCCCCTCCCCACCCCCACCTCTTTGGTCACCGTTACATGTCAGCACTGCTGTATAGTGATATAATTCCCAGTTTCATTTAAAGCTTCTATGATATTTTTTTATTTCATATCTTTTTTTCTAACTAGGGAAACAACTTTCTGCTATTTCTGTATGTCAGCTAGATATGCAAACACCAAGATAATAGTGTGTTTAGTAAAATGAAGAAAGTCAATGCTACATGCATTTTTAATAAGAAACTAATCTCAGATTAATAATCAGTTTCTTTATTTTTTTAATTTTAGTGCTAAAATGTTCTAAGTTTCTTATGTACCAAGAGCCATTTGTTAGAAAAACAAAAATGTAACATTGTGCAACTTCAAATAGTACATCTACTTTGTTGCAAGGAGCTTTTTCTGTTATCAATGTCAAGTGACCAAGAAATATGTGCCTATTACCTGAAAAGAATCATTTAATCCCATCTTTTGAAAGATGGATTTTTAAGCAGTTTTTTAAAGTTGAGGGTGATCAGCACTATAGTTTCTTAATCTTTTTGTCATCTTAGGGCTTGGTTTCTTGTAGATGGTTTTCTAATATAAAAAACTGCAGGCATGGCAGAAAATTTTTTCATTATGATAATGATGTTACAACAATTCTATTTGGCACTGTGTACTTTGATTGGCAAGCTGCAGTTGAAATTTATCAATAACTTTTGTATGCAGTTCAATTATGTACCCACAGGTTGTTGGAGCTCAGTTCAAGGGGCATCATGTTTTGATGACTGATTTCAGTCATGCACATATGATTCTGTTGCTGTGTTTGTTACCAGGGCTACCTTTGATCATTTGTTATTATTTAGTGAAATTGCTTTAAGCAATGATGCATTGATAAAGTTTTATAGATTCAACGCAAAATAAGCATCAGTTTTTGTAACCAATTTTAAGATTTCCAACTGTAGAATAGACAAAGTAGAGAATCAACTAATGCTGATTACTTTCTTTATGGTTTTGGAATCTTTTGTTGAATCCTAGCAACAAAGTTTTAGGTTGAATACCTTCCTTATATTCTTTTAAAAGAACATTTTTTAACATGCGATTCATGTATTAAATAATGGGAACTAGAAATTTGCTCATTGGGACCTCAGATGGCAAAGGTCTCCTAGAAAGATAGATTATTTGCGAGAAGTTGTAGTTGCCATCTGTTGAGCCTAGAAGGTAACCCTTAAAGAAAACCACAAAAGCCATCTTCCCAGTGGATATTGTTTTGATTCAAGGCTCATACCACATGATAACTGATGGTTATAAATGAAGTAATTGCTTACCTGTTGAATGTTTGTCAGATAAGGAAAATATTGTTGCTGGAAAGCATGTACCCATGTTTCATTCAATGCCTGGTTATTATGTTTTGAAATCAGCATCTAGCAAATTGCCAATTCTTTATTGGAAAATAGGAATCTTCTATCATGAGCTGATAGGGCTTTTGTGCCTTCAGGGATTGCTGAAGTGAGGAGCTGGGAGCGTAAGTCCTCCCGATAAATTTAAAATTTACTTGAAACCAATAATAAATGATCTGCTTTCGGTCTCTCGCATTTTTAGCCAAAACCCCTAGATATTTTACCCCTGCCCAGCCTGTAATATGCTTCACTATTCCTGTATGTCTTAGGTTATATGACAGGCAAGAATAACACAGATCTATATAATATTCTTGACAAAACCCTGTTTTCTGACAAGCTGCTGGGATGTGACCAGCTTGCCACATATGCCCATTTTCCATAACCTCTTTTCCTATAGGATATTACTCAATAGAAAACATGTGGGACACAGTGTCTTGCCCAGCTTCAAGACAACTGTTATCTGAATCCATTCTTTAAAGGCATGTTTATTATGAGAGTAAACCACCTTTACTTTCAAAGAATCAACCTCATTCCTGGTTCTTTGCTGATGTATAATATCTTGAAATATTTGTATGCACCTCCCATTTTTATGTTATAAGCATTGCCTACTTGTTTGTCAGCTAGCCTGTCCTAGTGGCATTCTGCTCATCGACTTATGTTGCTGTCTTATCTTTCAAGCTGATACAAAGCCTCTGTGGTCATCTCATTGGTTTTCTCAAAAGTTGGATTTTTCTAAAATTGTTTTTCTGTTAATAATCTTAAAATTTGATTTTCCCTAGGTCATTCCACCAAAAGAATGGTATGCTTCAAAGAGTTATGACATGGAAACAATTGGAAAAATTGTCATAGAATCTCCAATTGCACAGTTAGTCACAGGGCAGCAGGGTGAGAATGTGTTCTTATATGAGAATTGAGGAGCTGTCAGAACTTTCAAAAAGCCACTGTACAGGCATATACTTAGACATATAAATAGTTTATTTTCAGAGAGGGCTGCAATTTACTATCTCACTACATTTGTACAAACAGTGGAAAATTCTGTTATTACAAACCCTGCTCATTACAAACTTCTTGCTATCAAGAAGAACAATTCTGGTCCCTCAGAAATCTCCCTAAAGAAAATAACTTTTCCTACAGAATTGGTTATATCGGGATTTCACTGTAATTCATCACTGGACACCCAACATGAAAAAAAGTTCTTAGCCTACAATTATTCTTTTTCACTGTTTTTCAGGCAATCCTTACGCAAAATGATCTCAACTTGTTTTTTGCTCTCATGACAGGTCTTTATCAGCAGTTTAACATTCAGCAAAAGCCCCTTACTGTAAAAGATCTCAAAGAGTTGGCAGAAAGTGAAAAGTAAGTTCTAGAATAAACTTAGTTATCATTGTTTCATAGACCTTGCTTTTAAACTAATCATTGCTTTACTTTTGTAATAATTTCCTTTGGAAAGTTTTTGGGACAAAGACAGATAAAATTTGATGTAAGCATTAGAGATGTAGGAGATGTTTTATATGGAAAAAAGAGCAGCAATCTAAGAGCACCTTGGTCTCAAGTTACTTTCATTAGGGGCATGTCAATTGATTGTTTGTAGCTAAGAATGTTGAGAAAGTGATAATTTTTTCCCATAATCAAAAGTGTTTGTGTTAAATATTATTCAAATGTATAATTATCAGAAGGAAGTATTGTAAAAACAGATTTCTTGAAAGTCTGTCATCACATACATATGCTAGGAAATAGGTCTCCTAATCACCTTGAAAATAGTAAATAGAACAAATAAATGGATGAAGTCAGGTTGTAATGAATGGATAAAGTAGGAGGAAATCTTTCATTTGGAATACCACAAGACTCGTTGCTCGGACCAATCTTCTTGACCATGCACGCAAATACAATCTGCAGCTTGCACTTGGTGCAAGAATCGTACCACCGGGGGGCAAATTACTCCAAGAAAATCTTGTACACTTTTTGCGAAAATCCTATTGTTTTATCTGAAAATCCCTGGAAATCCTTTTGTTTTAGGGAAAATCTCGTACGCTATTTGCAAGAGTGAATTGCCCCTCGCGTACCACTACGATGCCGGTATTTCACTTGGCACTCGTCATCGGCCTTGAATACGGAGACTAACTCCTCGACCAATGAATGACACATTAGGGGAAGTTTTCTCTACCAATCGGATTTGAATTAGTCGTATTTTTAAAAACGACTTTTCTTAACTTATGATCCTTTACATTAAATTATGATATTGTAAAGTTGACTCGTGTGGTTAGACGTCCTTTCGAGCACATGAGTCTGTCGATAACTAGGGCTCCGTTGAAAAACAAAAGCCATTGTGGCATGTATTACGTGCGGTTATCAGGCCCATTAGATACATCAGTGATTACATTTTGCGATTTGTTCAAGAAGACAAAAGCCTAAGGGTAGTTATAGCAGTTTGGTTGTGACCTGTTTCTGTTTGGTGTCATCCTTTGGTCGAACCTGTTATCTTAATAGTTATGCTTTACCAGAATTAACATGTCTCATAGACATTTATAAGATTGTGTTGATTGCCCTAAATTATATCCTCGGCTTAAATTGTATTTTCGATTTATTTAATGGCCTACCCTGAGGTACCAATTCAAAGTAGCTGCTTTCGGACTTGAAATTTTCTTACCAGAGTTCAAATTTGTCGAATAATCAATATTCTATGAATAGGCATGCAAGTTTAGCATAAAGTAATGTTTTCCTCGTTTTCAGGTATCGCCCACCAAAAGGAGATTCGGAGAAAATGGAAAGGGCGTATTGGAAAAATGTTACATTTAACCCTCCAATATACGGTGCTGATGTGGCCGGCTCAATATACGATGCCGACGTGAAATGCTGGAATATAAATCATCTTAACACCATTCTTGACCTTATCGAAAGCGAGAAGAATGTAAAGATCCTCGGCGTGAATACGGCTTATCTCTATTTTGGTATGTGGAAAACATCGTTTGCATGGCACACCGAAGACATGGATCTTTACAGCATTAATTACTTGCATTTTGGTGCTTCTAAATCTTGGTATGTATGTCTTTTGTCCCTTGGCTCTTTTCTCTTGACATTTTTCCATTATCATTCTTCGAAACAAGCAGATTCAAATTTTCATACAATAGCATTTGCATTCTAAACGAAAAAAGGTGCCTACCCAGCAGTGTAGCCAGTGAGTATGATTGGTGGGGGGAGGGGGTGGCAAAAGTTGGTTGAGCGAGGGAAAAATGGGGGTCCACACCCTTTGAAACGCCAGAACACGCCCTTTTTCAAAAAGTCTTTTTACTATTAGGGGGAAGGGGGCGGCGTCCTTCTCACCTCGCCACTGTGCCTATTGCGTTAGAGTTCTTTGAAAATCTTTTGTGTTTGCGTACATTTCGTTTACCCTTGCTCTGCAGAGTTTCTTTCCATTCACTTGTGACGTCAGCTTGTCTAGTAAATATTTCAACAAAAGAGCTACACTCTCTTTTCCTAAAAACTGTCTTTAAGAAACCAAGCTCTAAGATGACTAAAATTACTTCAACCTCGACCTCAAGAAACTGCTTGAAAATATATTTTTTCAAAGGAAAGGGTTATATATATTCATTTTCATTTTCAGTAAAATATATTCCTGTTTAATCTACATAAATTATAGAAAGAAACACGCCTTGGATTGTTAGGGCGTTCTATCTCATGCTATTTTATTTTACATTTTTGCACTTTGTAGCACTTGGTATTTAAAAATATTTGAGTAATAAAACTGAGCGTAGTTTCCTTATAAGAAAATGCTTGTAATTGATCCTATTGTATCCGTTTGTTTTCAGCCACCAAGTCTCTTAAAGTAGCGTTCCTTAATTTGTAGGTTATGTAAAATTATGTGTAGTTTAACTTTTGTTTAATGCCATGGGGAGTCATAGATTTTTGCTTCTCATGGTATGGTAGTGTAATTAAGGTAAGTAGTTTGTAACATGTATTGTATAAAAGGTTATGAAAGAACGTTTGCTCGTAGGTGCTTCAATAACTCTAATTTGAAATATTTTTATGTATTTTTTTTGTTTAAAATTTCTGTTTTATCTTGATTTTTTCTGTGCATGGGTGTGAAAGTACTTTTGCCAATGAATTCAATTCCATATTGTGATGCTAGTATTCCAAATCTTGTTCACAATATTTCCTTGCAGGTACGCCATTCCACCTGAACACGGAAGGAGGCTGGAGACACTTGCGGCTGGATTTTTTCCTGGAAGTGCCAAGTCCTGCTCGCAGTTTCTCAGACATAAAATGACTGTCATATCACCAAGCATGTTGAAGAAGTACTCCATCCCATTCTACAAGGTGAATATCAGAGTTTTAGTGTCTGTTGAATATGCTTCTTGTATTGTAGTCACTTTAGAGTAAAAGTGTGAGCATCCAGAGATGAACGTTGGTGGGTTGTATCAAGTTTTTCAAACTGCCAAAGCTGTGCTAGATTTCGGCTGAAAAATTTAAGAACGTGAGAAATCTACATAATAGTAGAAGCTATTTCATAAAAATTTTTTATGACAGACTGGATACAGACCTTGAACTGGTGTCTTATTAAGTCCCGTTGAAACAGCCTAGAGTCAAGAAATTTTAGAGAAGAATTTTCTAAAATTCAGAATATCTAGCCTAGTATGTTATTTCAGCTTTCATGTGACTTTCTTGCAGCTTCATTTGTCTTGTTTCCAAAGCCTTCTTCAAAGCCTTTTTGGCGTTTTATTTAAAATGTGAACTGGAGCTTCATCACTTTAATAAAAGTGCATTTAATGTTAAGAGTCATTTCAGATGAGTTCATTAAAGCCTTCCATCTGGATTAGGCAAACGATGGAATGCCGTTCAAACTGTAGACACATTGGTCTTATACTACTGTGGCTAAAAGGATATGTGAGCAACTTCTCACATGGGTGAATGAATTTTTTATAAAGGTTTTCTTCTTAAACCTCGTTAACAGACTGAAAGGGTTCAAATCAAGGTTAATATAGGGCCAACACAACAGCATCGTGTAGTACCATTGTTTTCCTCGAGCATTGTGCGAGATTTGGCATCAATGTGTATCTGATTACGGAACTGCGCCATCTCGTGTACCAGTGACAGTTTCAGCTCAATGTTAGTGTTTTCAGGAAATTGGACAGTACTGGACAGGACAGTATTTTTAAGTATGACCATGCTTTATCTACTTCTCTTGGCAGATGACCCAGAACGCAGGGGAATTCATGATAACGTTCCCATACGGATATCACTCCGGCTACAACCAAGGCTTCAACTGTGCTGAGTCAACTAACTTCGCATCTTTGCGTTGGATCGACTTTGGAAAAAGAGCTAAACCCGTACGTAGTTTAATTGGAAGTAGCTTCACAAACCGAAAAGAGCAGAATTTTGATGTGTAAAGGCTTTATTTTAATTTAAGCCGTCAATTTTTATTGATTGCAGGCTTAATGTTCGCAGCAAAAAATGCAAAGTGACTTTGGTTGTTCAATCACTAAGCTGCTTATACCTGGTCTCCTATGCATAATTTATGCGTATTTTCTTCCCTGTTGATTTCACATTTTGTATGTTTGATTTCATTGACTCAGCTTCAAAATTAGCCTGGTTTTTGTCGCATACAATATGCATCGGTTTTTTGCCTTATTTTTATTTCGCGTTTATTTTCATTTGTATTCATGGGCATTAAACATCTAAGATGTAGTTTTATTTTAAAGCTATTCAAGTCTTTGCGGGGAGTCTGCCGAAGGGTAATTCACTCTTGCAAATAGCGTACGAGATTTTCCCTAAAACAAAAGGATTCCCAGGGATTTTCAGATAAAACAATAGGATTTTCCCAAAAAGCGTACGAGATTTTCTTGGAGTGATTTGCCCCTTTAGAGTCTGCTATCTTACTGACAAATATTAGGTCATTCGTCTTGGTACGAAGCGTAAACGTACACAAGTAAAGCTTGTCAAGTCTTTGTTAATCACAGTCATTTTTAAAACGCAGCTTAAAATCCATATGCTATGTTACACTGAACTGAATTTCTTTTTATTTATGCAAACCAGAATTGTTGTTTTCAAGCGAAGGGGTTTTATTTACCCTAAATATTTTGATTTAGAAAATGGGTGCTCAGAGAATTTTTTTAGGCGACTTGCCTGTTATTATGCAGCCAGTGGAAATTTTTCATTGAATCGATATTTGCGTAGCAATAGAGAACATTGTTATTATGTATTCTTTGATTAATTGATAAATCTTCCTGAATAAGGGTTCCAAATATATTTAGTTGTTGGAAATGTTGAAAATGATGCATCCCATAGTAAGTAATTATCCCTAATTTTTTGCAGTGCTCTTGCCGAACAGATAATGTTAAGATTGAAATGGCGATATTTGTCAAGAAGTATCAGGTATAGTCTCTCAAACACAGTGTAATGCTACTTAAACAATTTTTTCCAAACACACAAAAGAAAAGGTCAGAATCTTTATGTTTTGTGGTAAATTCATTTGCTTCTTTCTGTTTTTCCCTAGCTGAATTACCTACAACAGTTTTTGTCAGATATTGGCAGGCGATTACCTAATGGCTCATCCGTTATTTTTGTTATTTTTTTAGTAATTGTTTTATTTATGCGGCACCATTGATATGAGAGCTCTTGAACAAGGCTGTTATGAATTCCCACATTTAACTTTTTAAATAGATTGTAATGTTTAACAGCCAAAACAATACAAAGAATACATGGACAGCCTCGAAAAGAAAAAGTCAGCATCAGACCAGGGCGATGAAGAAAAGAAAGTCGTGGCGAAAAAGCCAGAGAAAAATATCAAAGTCAAAAGGTCAGAGTTTGTACTGTCTAACCGTAGAGTTAGTACTTTCAAATAATGATCTTGCGCTCTTTCGACTTAATTGATGGGGAGACAAACCAGCATTTGTCTCAAGGACTGTTAGATTTTCAAAACTTTGCATCTTATGCGCATGCGCTGTTAGAGTCAATGTCGTTGTTTTCACACCGCATAATATATTCTGTAGGTAGGAACATTCGTGTAGTAGGAACTACTATTTAAAATATTTTGTGTTTACCATTTCGGGGTACATATAGTACAACTGTTATCGATAGATATATGAATGAAAGTGAATGGGTTGATAATGAAAAATGTAAAATATCTGCAAAATGTACAGAAGAAAGGAGCTTTTTCTCTATAAGAAACATTTTCCGTATTTCTGGGCCATTTCGAAGAAAGTCACTGATTGTTCACTTTGTCTAGACTCATTGATCGGATCGTTGCTTTTTTACGTGCTCCGAAGCTCAAACCAAACTTCGACTGAAAATAACTTTCTGCTCCTTCTTATAAGCCCCATATAGTAGGAATTTGAATAAACAAAGAAAAATTGATTACATCTCCTATAAATGTTTGGTTGATTATGAAAATTTGTTAATTCACTGGATTCGTCATCATTAAAGCCTGAATTGCCTGAAGTGTCTCTCAATGATTTTGGCTTAGTACATCCTTTTTAGTGACAGCAAGCTTGGTGACAGCTGTGTTATTTACTTGCGTTTGCCTACCTGGGGTCTCGTTTATGTAAACTATGTCAATACTTCCTTCTTTGATTGTGTTTAATGTTGATAGAAATATGCCACAAGAAGTCGTTTGGATTGAAAATTATGGATATCTATTTCAGTTTTCATTGCTGAATAAGGTTTTACTGATTTTTGTTATTCAAATTTCTAAATGAAAGTTTTACTCGAGACACTCCATTTGCCTTTTTTATATTGATGCTTTGCCTTCATATTCAAAATTTTGATACACTGCACCCCTTCCACGCGGCCTTTTTTAAGTTTCTACCCATTTTTCGTAGATACAACAGGTATCCTTCGTTGTCTGGTGTTCAGTCCATAGCCAAACATGTCAAAAAAGAAGCTCAGGATCGCAAGAAGCAATCCATCTCAAAGATACAGAAAAAGCAGGTAATCAGGAAGGCCAAAGACATCTTGAAGAAAGCAGAAAAGGCTCGACGTGAAAGTATTGGGAAGAAGAAGCCTCTTCTGGCCATGAGGATGCAGGGTGAGTCTAATTTCGTTGATACAAATCGGTTTCAGAGTGTTCGGGGGTGAGGGGTGGGGGGTGGGGTTAGCTAAGCCCAATTTTGGAAGGGGACGTGCCATATTGGTTAAAAGATTTGGACCCATAATTCCGCACATGTCTAAAAAATTCTGCGAACATGATGGAAACTATACCCGTAGCTCCGAAAGGCAAAGAACATTTTTTAGGACACAACAAAATCATCAAACGAATTTTGTATGACATTTGCCCTAATTCTCAATATTATACATATTTCATACTTTCATATTCCATACCATAATTTTTTATGCTATATTTCCCTCCTAACAATTTTGCAATATTTTCTTAAAATGGTACTCATAATTCTGCATGTTTCTTCAAATGGTACCCATAATTCTGCTTGTTCCTTAAAATGGCACCCATAATTCTGCACATATTTCAATTACTGATACCGATAATCCCGCACTTTTCGGGAAAAGGTACCCCTAAATAGAGGCACGTCCCCGTACCTCAAATCTATTAAGTTACCTGCAATATTTTGTCTTTTGCTGGAAAGCAGGCAGTGTATTGAAGTAGCTTTAGATCTCAAGGAAAGTTGTTAACTATTCCAACATCATCAATAACGTGCTCACCAAAATTAATTGATTAGCTTCAACATGGTTGAACTTTAAAACCATCGATATGATTCAGTTGTTTTTACCTGTTGTTTTTTAACAGGCAATAAAGATCAGTGTCCGCTTCCCCTGAATATTGATGACGATTTGGGACTTGTATGCGGAACGACGCAGACATTTACGAACATGAATACAAGGACCTTACTGTGACAATTACATGTGACGTTATTGCTTTAAGCGAAAACAAAGGCTAGCATGGAAATATATCTATGCTCTTTGATTCTGCTTGCCCTCAAAGACTTTTTACTTCAGACTTTATAAACTCGATTTTCCCCGTGCAATACCGGTTTAACTGCACAAGCTCTATAGATAATTGAAATAGGAAACCAATCGGTCTTTTATTCCAAATCCAACAGTTATAGCCCAGAATTCAACAAAGCTTGTTCCTCAAATTTCATAAATGTCTATAGAGTACCGAAGTGTGACGTCATCAAAAATCTATTTTTAAAATTTCTTGAATTTGGCCACATAATCTGAAAGAACGGCATAAAATACCTCTCAATATGCAAAATTAATTAGATATGTTCCAAATTGGGCGAGATATGACCAATAAAAGATTTCAAGTTTGCTAACGAATTATTGTTATTCAGACCAAATTACAGAGGTTTGATGAAGCAAGAGCCTGTGCTCAAGTGACCATATCTCAGCCAATTCGTAATGCCTTTAACTGATTTTGCATATCTAAAGGTATTTCTTGATGCTCTTTCAGGTTCCGGGATCAAAATTCAGAAATTCTAAAAATAGATTTTTATTACGTTATCACTTCGGTACTCTATGCCCGTTGGTACTTTTTGTGTTGCTTTTCGTTTGTTTAATTGTTACCTTATTGAGACAAAAGTGCATTGGCTCAATGTTTATTGACAAAAGTATTTATAAATATATAAATGATTACGGTAGCAGGTAACAGATTACACGCATTAATGAAGCCTCTTGCATTGCTGAATTTTCATTCAACGATTTTGTTGGCAAGAATCAATGAACTGTTTCCAAAGGAAAATTCATAAATCACTCCCTTTTAACTACGGTACTTAGGGTTCGATAAATAGACTAAATATGTTGTTTTACTGAGTGTTTCCACAATGCTGCGTAGCAAATCTGATGCAATCGAGCTTCATTCTACGGAGACTTTCATACAGCGGATACCTCCCTGATATTTTTGACTTATCTTTTTGTCCCAAGTGGTCAAAACTCTCTTTACGGAACCCTTTTGCAAAGGACATCTCTTTACAACTGTCAGTTAAACTAGTTCAAATTGTTGCCCGTTATGTGGAGACTTCAATGTACTGAACAGTTTATTTGGAAGTTAGGTATAGTAGAATAGTTTTTTGCCCCACAATTTGCGGCTGTTTTGAAAAAAAAAATCACAGTTATCATCTTTATTAGTCATCATCATCATCATCATCATCATCATCATCGTCGTCCATATTGCCATCCTCGTGTTTTCTTCATTATTTTGCACCTTGTTATCGTTTTTTTCATCAGAGAGGACGGTGAAACTGGCTTGCTTTAATACAGTTTTTTATTTCTACATGCTATAGGAGAGCCAACCCATGCTCAACAGCAGCGGCCCAGTAAGATCCAAACTCCGATCAAAGTACCATTAGCACCAAACGGATCATATAATTCTACAGAGATGGATAATTCTGTGAATGAAAGAATGCGTAAATTGTTGGAAATCAAAGCAGAAATGGAAAGAGAAACGGAGATGAAGAAGAATAGGCTTCAAAATATTCGCGTTGCACGAGAACAGAGGCACCAGCAGAGAGAAGTGAAGCAAAAGCTGAGAAAAAGGGAAAGGCCGTCGAAAGTCGGAAAGCTGAAAATCAGAGCACAAAGCACAGAGTCGATATCGCCATCCGCTGCTGATACACCACAAAAAGAAGGAGCACGAATCCAAGAAACGAAACCACAGTCTCCTACTTGGGATGAGATGCCTGGTATTGAGCTATTTTTATTCAATACTCTCTTGCAATGCTTTTTAAGAACTTCAATGCAAGAACCTCCTTGCTATAAGGCCACGTTTACATTTTAACGTTTTCAACAAGTATTAACATTTCATAATGTTTTCAAACAGCAATTTATCATTTAATACCCGAAACAAGAGCGATAGGAACATATAAGAAGAGGAGAGGGTTGTCAGATTGGAAAGATTCCTTTTCTATACAATAGGAGATTATAATTCCTCAATCAATGCTTGACTTGGCATTCGTATGGTGAATCGCAACTAATGCAAAATATTTCTTGACATTTTCAATATTAAGCTGCTGTTCTTTTTACAGAGCATTTGAATGGTTTGTGGGCCAATGAACAAATAGACATACGTCGTGAAATCACATACAATAAACTTTTATCGATGAACGGTAGACGCTGTGCAGTTTGTGCATACTTTGACCCTGAGACGGTGAGTTGCTTTTTCTGTTACCCTGTTGTGTACCACAGTTCAGTCCATGCTTGTGTGTTCATCATCTACTTGTTCTTGTGAGAAACAATAGTATCTGCTCCCAGCGACAGAATATCTGTCATTTATACTTCATAATGTAGACAAGCCTGGTCTCTGATATGCTGATAAGAACGGGTGATCTGGGCCTTTGACCCTCACTGGTCTGTTACTGTTTATTTTCTGGAAACTGTTATAGGAAATTTTTTTTATTCTAGGCAAAAAGCATAGCCAAGCCATCGCACACATCGGGTGAGAGCTTCACAAGTAACCCTGTAAGGAGTGTTCCACTAGTACCCGACATCTGTTTCATACCTGTAGCAGGTAATTCACGCGTCAGCCCTACGGAAGAGCTGCCCGAGCCTCCTTCTCCCGAGCCTCCTTCTCCAACGATGAACAAGGAGAGCACATTAGTTACCTGTCGTGCTTGTTGCGTCACCGTCCATCAAAGTAAGTCCCTTGTACCTAATCGGAACTCTTCAATGACATATCAACTTAAAACTCTAACAGACACCGAGTACTTTTACCCGAGACAATTGGTCAATTTTTATAGCGACCAAATATTGGTCACAATATTACGTCTTCTCACCTGACAGTAAACCGAGAAGAGCACTTGTCCGTTTACAAAGGCCTGATCTGGCAGCCAATTTCTTTTGTCATGTGCATGGCTATGAAAAGATGTGCGCCAAAATGTCATAAAATAACGAGTCTTTCTTACTTTATCCAGAATTGTTTCTCTTTTTCGGATTTTCGCGTAGGCTCCATTGTCAAGATAACATCACCAGTTTTTCCTGGGTTGCTATTCGTTGATGTCTTGACCTCTGTAGCATGCAAACGCTTGGAGATAGCTCAGAATCTGTGGGCTTAATGTTTTACCGTTAGCCATTAAGCAAGTAAAAGTCTTGTTGTAGCGGAATTCCTATTTGAGGAAGGGGGGGGGTGCCTATTAAGTTGCTTTATATTTGGTTGTCATGGAAACTGAAGACAATTTGATTATTATCAGGGGGAGGGAGGAGTATCTTTCCCTGCTTCTGATGTCCGTAAAATATAACTTTGCAATAAGAATTAAAATGAACGATAACATTGCTATAGATCGTCTTCAAAGTGTTTCAAAGTATTTGATTGTAATTTATTCCATTCAGCAAAACCTTAAACAAAACTTGAAATGTTACAAGGAATGGAAGTTTACTTTTTTCAGGTTAAAATTGGATTGTTCTGCCCTTTTCCACGAGTTTGCTTTGGTGTATATCCTATGAAAATCCTATGGCGCAAGCACCGCGGAGTGTTGAGAAAAGTTGGGGGTCTAAAACCGTATAAAAAGAGGCTTTACTGGTAGTTTATTACTTAATATTTGGCATTTCTTGCAAAAAATGGGGGGGGGAAGCTAAACTCCCCTGCTTCGCGGTGCCTGTGGCGTCCTGGGGGAATGGAGGAAAGAGTCCAGTGCCTGTCTTTGTAGAACCTTACCTTTATTGCAACACCGTTGCCTATTGTTCCCCGGCAGGTTGTTATGGTGTACCGGAAGATGAACCTTGCGACTTGCTCGATTGGTACTGCAGTCGATGCCAGCCGACCCCAATTGGCATACCCGGGATCAAGCCAGTGGTAACTACTTTTATTTCATATTTTCTCTATTCACGTTTTTTTGTTTGATATTCGGGCACCCAAAAAACAGTACCATTTTGTTCTCATCAACAAACTTGAGAAGCGTATACTGGATGCCCCTGCCAATACCAATGCCAGTGTTCCAAAACTAATGTCATGATGCTATCATTGTATCAAATTAGTATTACCTCAGCCCCTTAAATTGCCATGCATAGTTGTCCACAGACTTCTTTGTTTTTTACTCGAACTCCATTTTGCTTGGAGCATGAGCATACAGGAGTAGTTTGTTTATAATTCTGATAACTCATCAAGGTGACATGACTGATAACTGCATGAATATATCGCCTGACGCAGTCTTCTTCAGTTTCTTTTTACGCTTGTACATTCAAATATTTTTAATGCTGCATTTCCCCCCCCCCTTTAATCCTTCATTGATTTTCCTTTCAATACTCGTTGATTTCTATGTTATTCAGAGGTGCATACTTTGTCCACTGCGAGGAGGTGCCTTCAAACAATCTACATCGCGAAGGTGGGCATGCTTTTGTTTCAAATGACATAACATGTCATTATTCTAACGACATTTTATAACGCTTTTTCACCATTCACTCCCATCGGATAAGGCATTGGTGGTGATGGAGCTACCTGTGTGGAATATTAGCTTTCAAAACTTTGATTTTGTCTTTTCTGCTTTTTATGAGGAAACTTTTTTTGTGCGTTTCCAGTATGAGAGACTGCTCTTTCCCACCAGAAAGTTGATGTTTCCAGGAGAAAAAAAAGCAGATTGGGCTAGATTGTCGTCTTATAAGCTAGATACCCAGCATGATTGAGTCATTGCTCGAGAAAAAAATATTTTTTAGTGCCGATACTGTGATTTCGAGTCGAAAATTTGTTAAATTCGTCGGTATAGAAGAAATTAATTTCAAACCTGTAAATGATTTATGGTGAATATGAATATAGTATGTAGATTGAGAGCTTGAAAATTTTTTTATGGTCCAAGGATTATTCAAATTAATGGCTCGAAGTTGCTCTTAGTGCAAGCCGTAGCAACGTAGCTATAACTTCAAGAGCCAAGTTTTATTGGCCTTGCTCTTTGTTCAGCAAAAACTGAAGCCTCAAACAGAGATGAATTGCATTTTAGCATAATAAAGGTGACGCGAAAGAGGATTTGGGTGCATACTTTTTATTTTTTTAGGGGGAAGAGGTAAGAGAAAGGTCAGCAAGAAACTCCTGGCCCTAGACTTTGTATTTACGCTAAATCTGTCATTTTTAACAGCTCTTTTGTTATAAACTACAAAGAAATGTTACACGTTAACTGAAACAAATAATTGTTAGAGTAAACAGTTGATTAATACCAAATACAACTTGCCACATTATAGACAACAAAAGTCACCTACCAATCCAATTTTAAGCAGCTGTAAGAGCAAAAGGTTAATTTATTGATTTAATAAATATTTAGAGTTAATTGATAGAAATTTCTCAAAATTGCTTCATAACCTTTCTTAAGTTATTCATCCTATTTTAATGGATGAAAATTAAGTTAAGAACGAATCAAATAGGCCACCTCAAACTAAAATTTACAATGATGACATTACCGAAAATTTGAATTTTGCAAAAACTGAAGCTATCAAAGGAATTCTTTACGGCTGAATTCAATGTCAAAATGCTCCTCAAGATTCCACTAACATGCAATGCCCCAATTTCCACGTTTTGCGAGAACCTGCGATATCACGTCTATTATATCCCAGGATCCCTTTGGCAAGTAGATAAGATGACTAAGATACATACATACTATGTTATTCCAAAGTCAGCTGATCTGCAACCTTTCGACAATATCGAAAAGGTAACTGCCGAACAATATTGAAGGGTTTTATAGGGGCGTGAAACCCAGGGATGTAGTGCTAGGGGGCTTAAGGGGGCTGAGCCCCTTTGTTAATGGCGAAAATTGGCAAATTTCTACTTTTGCTATTTTTTGCAACGTTTGTGCAAGAGCCCCCTTTGTTCTTTTGATAGCACTGCACCCCTGCCGAAACCCCTAACTCAAATGCTTGCTACTAATAAATTGAAAAAGGATTGTAATTTAATTCAATTCAAGGGATTGAATAGGTGCCCTGTTTTGTATGTTCATCGTGTTTTCTTTCAGTTGTCTTTAGATCCTATTCCCGTAAAGATTTTCTTCTTCTCGGTCTTTTAGATGGGTGCATATAGTCTGTGCATTGGCATTTTATGATATTTCCTTCCTGGATCCGAAGAAAAGAGACCTGGTAGACATTTCATCGTTGAATTTGGCTAGAACAAAATTGGTATGTAATAATGTTAGCATGTGCTGTCTGATACAAATGGTGTTCATTAATTTCTTTCTCTGCTGTTTAAAGACAATATTTGCATTTATTGATCTTTAAGAATCTACGTGATATTTCAATATCCTTTGTCTCTAAGTCATTTATATTCCTTATATATTCTCAATTATTTAACTGCTCTCTGTAAATTCATCACCAACAAAATGATGGCACTGATACATGAACAATAGATGTCATCTGCAGGGGGTCATCTTTTTCAGCATAATTAGTGAAGTTTGATTATGACGCAGTGCTTTTTTAATAAAATTTAATATCAGTCGTTTGAGCTAGATTTTAGGGCGGTCATACAGTGACCACGAACCTATAGTTTAGACCCCCGTAGGAAAAAGTATTTTGCTCTAGTTTGACCCTCGGTTGAAAAAGCTTATCCAGTCTAGATATCATAATTACTTTCTTTCAGAAATGTATATATTGTCGGAAGTCAACGAACAGTGCTATCAACAACGGAGCGTGTGTGCAGTGTGTCAGTGGCAAATGCGCGCAGAGCTTCCACGTCACTTGCAGTTTCCACAACGGCACGCCTCTGTACGCAGGAGACTGGCCATTGGTTGTTGAGGCCTATTGCTACAAACACGATAAGGCAAGAACGATCAGAGTAAGTTGCACTTTTCATTTGTACGTTACATTTTGCTGCCTTAATGAGATTAGGAGAATTAATGCCTCTTTGGTGACGTCACGGCTAACATCCCAACACCATCGTAAAACAACGAGGTTAGTATTTTACTCTTGTTAGAATTGGACTATTGCTCAGAGAGGTGATATTGATTGATATTGGTTGATATTGATTGAGGGAGGTGAACTTTGAGAAATAGTGAGTTTTGTTTCTGCAAAAACTATTTACTGCTTTTTGTACTTGTATGTCATGTGTAGAAATCTGTAGAAACATTACAGAAATTACCCTTGGTCACGGCTGGTCAAAAATGGCTGATCAAAAATGGCTGATCAAAAAGGGCTGATCAAAATAGCTACTGTTACGTATTGGGAATAGGCTTGTTGTAGAAGCTGTAATACGACTCCGACGATATCATGACAATCCAGGTCTTTCATATGAGTGTTTTCAGCATTGCCATTCTAAGAAAAACGCCGTTGGTATTTTGCTGTGATGAGAATCATTACTGCCATATCCTAATGTAGTTGATATGTTTCCATGGATGCATTGTTAGAGCTATCAAGCTACTTAAGGTCGTGTAAGAACCTTGTGTCCGTATTATGGATGGCATAGTCTCAATTGGTTTTTAGGTTGAATTTTTTTCTTAGAACGGTAAACGACTGCTTCCAGAAGTCCAGTTAAACGACAAGGTTTATGCCAAACATAAAAACGGAAGGTAATTTTTACTTTCAAAAATTGTTGCCTTAGCTAAACATTTCATCGTTTAGAAATGCCTAAAGCTCTTTATCATAATGGCATTGTTTTTAAACAGTATCACAAATCGAGACAGACAATTCTCTACTTCCGCTTCTCCTTTTCTGTCGTTTTCTTTTGCCTTCTTATTTTTCCCTTTTTCTTTGCCATTGCATCCGTCCTTTTTCCAATTTCATATTTTTTCTTATTTATCTTTTTCAAACTTTCTATCTTTTTTCTTTTTCTTTTTATGTTCTTGGTCTTCCCTTTTGTCTTTTTCTCTTTTTTCTCTTCTTCATCATTTTCTTATTCGTCTTTTGTATCCTACTGAAAATGGATATTCTCGTTGCTTGTTTTCTTCTTGTTCCCTTTTTTCTTCCTCATTTGTTTAACATCCGTCTTGATATTTTCTTCTTATTATTATATTCATTTTCTTTTCTTTTCATTTCTTTACTGTACGAATTAATATTTTTCCGTTCATCCTTAATTCTTATTTTTCTTTTCTTTTCTTTATTTTTCTTCTTATTTCCCTGATATCCATCTTGTTACTTTCTTCGTCTTGTATTAGTTTTTGTTTTTTCTTTTCTTTCACTTTTCTTCCTAATTCCTCAATATCCGCCTTGATATTTTCTTCGTATTGTCTTCGTTCTTGTTTCTCTTCTCTTTTTCATTTTTTCCTAATTTCTTAATATCCGCCTTGATATTTTCTTCGTATTCTTTTCATGCTTGTTTCTCTTCTTTTTTTATTTTATTTTCTTTTTCATTTCTCAAATGTCAGTCTTGATATTTTCTTCGTATTGTCTGCATGCTTTTTTCTATTCTCTTTTTCATTTTCTTTCTTCTTCATTATTCAGATGTCAGTGTTGATATTTTCTTCGTCTTGTTATGATACTTATTTCTCTTTTCTTTTTCCTTTTTCTTCTCTAGAAGCTTCTCCAGCTGCCACTTATTGGTTTCCCAGCTCCTCTCACTTAACCTTAATCTTCTGACTGTATCCAACAACTCCTTGCATTTACCTCGCTTGTGATCGAATTGAATTTCTTTCTAGGTACTACAAAGGCAAAATCGAATCAATAGATTCAACTACATTTTATTACGTTGTCTTTGAAGATGGGTCGTTTTGTCACGATCTGCCGCCAGAAGATATCTTGGTATGTCACCATTTTCCCATTTAGTTCAATATATAAGTTTGTAATTCTTGTACAACCAGCAATGTGTTTGTCAGCAACCAGATTATGGCTTTTTCGGCAATTTTAAACGATGAAGACTATCAGTTAAGGCAACATGTTAAATGATTTCTAAAATAGTTTAGTGTTGCTACTCTTTTCCATTTAAATAAAACACAATAGCCATCTTTACCTCGTATAGATAGAAAGAAAAAATGAAATTACAGATTGTTCACCTGTGAAAAAGTAAAGTGGTTTTGTCAATCCTCGAGCCCATTTGTAAACAGTCAAGGTGGCTCTTATTTTTCGTTCAATGACACTTTCAAATATTAAGCACCGTCTAATACCATTTTAGAAGGCTTACCAGTTTTGAATTGTTGTGTTTCAGAAACTTAACTATAGTTTGTTAGAAAACCCTTCTGCCGTTTTTATCGAATTTTTTTAATACAAAGTGTTGTCGGATATCATTGAATACGTGAGCAACAACCTTTGAATGCATTGGTAAAGGATCTTGCTCACCCTAATCAATCCTTAAGGGCTCTTGCAGCAAGACATTGTGCTTTGTCACCCTAATTCACACACTAGGTTAATACTATGTGATGTTCCCTTGCTGCAATGAGCTTGAATTTTTTAACTGAATTTGTCTACTGAATAGGGATTGGACATTTTCTATGATTTTAGTTTTTGCGCTATGTTTAGATATAAAATGTATTCAAAAGAAATAAGATCAAGTTAAAGTTTAAAGGTGAAAATTCGTCGTCTCTCCAGGTGAAATTCGGTAGAATTGGGCATATGACAACCCAACGATTAGTCAGAAACTCTTTTAAACTCGATAGAAAGCTTCTGCTTGACTTTCACTGCAAGTTTATCTATTTTAAGATGCGAAAGAGGTCGGAAAGTTTTTCTGCTTTTTTTTGCCTTACCATTCTTTTGTCCACGAAATATGGCGATAAGACTGAAAAGAAAGACTTGGTGATTTTTTGCTTTAATGAATTATGCAAAAGCACAAAATTCATTCAAAGTGTGCATTGATATAATTTACCCAGGGGTGGCTAAAGATTCGAATCGAAAATATTTTCGAATTGGGATTCCATATCATAGTGTTAAAGATATATTTTGATACCAAAGAATAAACTGCAAAAGGACTCTATGATTAGCGACTTATCTGTAATAACATTGAAAGTCCTTTTGATAGGAAATTTTGATCGCTGTAAGGACCTTTTTCCTTGCCCTTTTTTAAATGGAAAGGATATTTCTGCCTTTTTAAGTGTTTCCTGAAAAAAATTTACGCATCAAAGCTTCTAGGGAGGTGGGGGATGGGGTGGGGCTGAGGTATCTCTTATAGGGTGAGTATTCTCTCGTAAACCTCTTTCTCTAATTTCTGTGTCAGCTGAACTCCTAATTGCTTGGTAGAGCTTTCTAGAAAGAACTTGGGAATTGGTAATCTTTATTTACAATGAGCTTTGGTTTTTCAGAGCTACTCACCAGGGGTAGTGTACTCCAATGAAGAGAAGGTTGATGTCTTATGGACGGACGGTGTCGTTTATCCATCTGTTGTAAAAAGTTGCGAAGTCGTTCAAAGATTCGAGGTATGGAAAATCTCTTTGTTTTTCATTGTGAATGCCTATAATCAACTAATGATATATTTGCTGCCCTCGTGACACGTGAAAAATCACAGTTTCGCTGTCTGACAAGACTCATTTGACTGGGAATATCTTCTGGGTGATACAATCTTGATGAGGATGGATTGAAACCAATGTTTTAGATTATCAACAAAACAAATTTATAGTCATTCGCAATGAGATAACTGCGATAAAGACATTGCAGGTCATTATTTTTGTGTGTCTTTAGAAAGATTCTTTCATTTGATTTTTTCATATAGACTATTCTTCATTTGCTTATATTTCAAATCATGATATACCTCTAAGTTTGTACAAACTATAGTATTTGTATGAAGAACAGAAGCTGTTTTTAACTATGAGTTGAGTTTTACCACACATATTTTCACATCTATACAGCCGTTATGATGCTCATTGCGAAAGCTAATAGCCAGCCTTGGCTTGCGGCAAAGCCATTTTCTCCACACACGATTCCAGCGCTACATAACTACAACTATGGCGCTCTTTAGATTATAACATGGCAGGACATGGTCTTTATCCTAATAATGAGCTAAGGATAAAGCAGTTGGCGTTTTATCAAGTCAAAAGAAGCACAGTTGCGCTTTAGCTCCATTGCTTTTGAACGTGCCTTTTGTATCACAATAGGTGATTTACAGTGAAGACGTTTAGAATATGTCTGTCTGAAACTGAGCAGTTTCTAGCAAATCTCAAAGCAATTTTTTAACATCCATGGCTGAATGTTACTGTATTGTATTACTGTATTGTTGACTGTATCAATGCCGAGTCGGCATTGTTATAGGAACAAAGTCACTTCTCCTGCCTCTCGTGTCTTCTGCTTTAGAATGGTTAAGTGATCGAGTTGGAAGAATTTTTGAATTTTGACAATATGTACCAGGATATAATAGTATTATTTTGTGAAAAACTACGATAAAGCCACATTGGCTTATTTCTTATCAACTCACTGTAATTTGGTCTTGGTTTTGTAATTCATGAAGCAAGCCAAAAAAGTAATCTCTCTTTTAACTGCATTTTTTCATAGGCCATATCTCAGCCACTTTGTTACAAATTTAGTTAATATTTTAGTTAATTCTTCTTATGTCATTTTTCTCCATTACCATCAGGTAATTTTTGAAGATGGGTCCACCTTGTTTCTGAAACGAAATGACATTTATCGGGAAGATGAAGATTTGCCAAAGAAAATTCAAAGTAAATTGGTAAGAGTTATTTTTCTTCCTTTCTATTTTTCTAGCTTTTTAGCCGTTTTATTTCATACATAAAATTTCCGATTTTGAATGAAACAATAAATGCAGTGAAATTAGGTAGAAAAATTATTTCTTTAAACTACGCCTAAGCCTGGTTCACACCAGTGAGACTATCGTATTCTCACTGAGTGAGATAAAATTTTCCAGTGAAACTATTTCAAACCGGAAATCGTTCTTGTTAGAACACAGAGTTCACATTGGGTTATCTCACTCAGTGAGAAAAATGACTCAGATTTTGTCAAATGGATAGTGATTCTGACAACGATTTCGAAGGCGCAGCCCTTTTTCTTGTTTTAGTTCAAAGATCTCGAAGATCACATCTGCGTAAACAAAATGGAATATTTGGGTCCGGGATAGTTTTAGTGTTCGAAAGCGGCATGGCCAGTTCCATAAGTTACTGCAAGAAATGCGCTTCGTGGACAAATGTCGCATTTATTTGTTTTCCCAATCGCTGCTATCTCACTGATGCAGGATTGAATCCTCTAGGAAATTTATAGGAAGGGTAGTGACGTCACAGTCCCCCCAGCTCCCCGGTCCCCCAGCTTCCTGGTCCCCCAGCCCCTGTCCCCCAGCCCCTGGTTCCCCAAACCCCGGTCCCCCAGCCCCCCGTAGTTGAATGACATGTAAAATATCTTAAGGTGATCTCTTTCGGTAAGGCGAAGCTATTGAGAAGGTTTGGTTGCACAAATATCTTTGGAAAAGGTATCTGATCGACGACTTATGTAGCTTATTTTATTGCAGTCTTGTGCAACAGAGACGGCAAATTTGCTTTGGCAAGCTCCAATTATGAGAGAATCGCCGACGAAAAAAGTAAAAGCAGAACAAAAGAAACTAACAAAGCTCTAGATGTCATTTATCAATAAAACAGATATAAAGTTTTTTAAAGTGTCCTGTCGACATCGTTTCATTCCGGTGAACTTTTTCTCACGTCAATATTCGTTTGTTTCTGTTCATGTGACCTTTTCATGTGAGAGTATTGTTCATTCTTTTCTATTATTTTTATATGATTCTTATTCTTTCATGTTATCCATGAATGTTATTTACCTGTCGTTTATTGTTGCACAAAGAATTTCTGTTAAAGGATGTTTATGTGATCGTGTAGATAGGCGCCGCGTTCTGTGCATCATACTTTGTACCACATTGTACTACTTTGTACCATCCTAAAAAGCCTTATAAAACTAGTTATTTTATTCAACTGTAGCGAAGAAAGTTTAACAGCTCATCGTCTTTAAATAAAAACAACAACAAATGTTAATTTCAATATCCGCTCTACTGTTTTGTAAATGCACAGTTAGGTTTCTTACGTGTAAATATTGCTGTTTCAGCCTATTTTCTTTCCCTTGTATAATTTTTTTACTTGCACGTGCTATTGTTACCTCAGTTGAAATTTTGTTGACGTTAAAGTATCTTTATTTATTTTCAAATTTATTTTCTTATTTATAATTTGAATTAAAATTTGGGTTCATTCATTTTACCTTTGGAGTATCTTCTCCAGCTGCGTTCGGTTACTCTATTTGTTCCTTTTTCAAAGCAATTTTCGTACCTTCTAATCCAACATATCCACCAACTGTTATGATTCTTGTATTTTCTCTTTTTGGGTTTCCAGTAAAGGGAATTTTATCAAGCCTTTTATTGAAAAGGCTTGATTAGATTTAAGCTCCTCTTTTAGGCTGATCTAAAAACCTCTTCGTCCTTTGTGAAACTTCAAATTTTTTTTCTAAAATCATCGTTTGCTTTCTGGTCATTATTAGAAGACTAGCTTTCCCAAGAGGACTTTGCCTTCAATACCTACTTATTGGTGCAATGAAAGGAGTTGGAGGTTTCAATACCCCTAGGTACCCATTACCCGGTTCCCTATTCCCTTACTCAAAAACGAACTTTACTCAAAAGGGTACACCCATAGTCAAGTTGGAACGCCGTGCCGTTGGAATGCTAAGCCCGCCAAGGATAACTAGTGAACTTGCCGCATTCAAAGTGCCCGAGCCGCCGACTTACATATAAATGCATTAAATTAACTTGCAATAAAATATTTTCCTGTTCAATGATATATTTTATTTTCTTGGCACTCGATTCGAAAAAAATGTTATTATTCTAATCTAAATTAATTTTGTGTTGAGTCTTTGATTATATCAGTCGAAATAAGATTTTTATTGCAGATGTAAACATGTTTGTCGTGAGATATTTATCACGTTTTTATGGAAATATTGAAAGTGCTGTTATTCTTGATTTGCACTAATGCACTTCAGGAGCATTTTCTGTCTCAAAATCTGCGCGAGTGTGGCAAGCACACGTGTTGTGTTGCCACCCCGTTCTATAAAGCATGATGCATGCTTCCAAATGGCATCGGTTTGAAGCTGCTATTTGTCGCAATAGCAAACACCAGGCTGTTCTGTCTCAACTGCACGATCGCAATACTGTGGTTGACAGAGAGGCGAGGCATTCTCGTTTCCGCACAGGCTTGCATGGCCTAGACTTATCACCTTTACCGAGGCGTTGCCTTCAAAGCTGACTTTTGTTGCTCGTCGCCTTTGTTCGATTATTTTCAACAAATTAGGCATGAAAAGGCCAGCGAGTGTGAATAAGCCAATAGTTAGCATGAAGTACGCAAACAGTAATGTTGATGCAAATACTGTGGTGACGTAGGCTTCAAGTAAAAATAGGGTTGGGATAAACACAGCGAACAGCATGCTGTTTATGCACATTGCAAGGCATATTCCAAATGCTTCACTGGAATGCGATGCGGATTTTCTTGTTTTGTATGCAAATGTACCAGATATGGCCATGATTATGAAGCTGGGAAGTAAGTTCAATGTTGTGTTCATTGGCTTGTATTTGCAAATAACGGCTGTCTTTGTGCTGTTCTCGATGTCTGTCATTAAGACATACGACTTGCTGTCATCTTTTAACCACATAGCTCCTATCAAAAGCTGTACAAATGCAACTGAGAGGGCAACGAGAATGTAAACCTTGGTTTTTCTAGGCGAAGAATTAACTGGGTTTGCGTTAAACAGAGTTGATATGCGAGCCGTTTTTACCATCAAAGGCGTGTAGCATGCATTCAAGCTGAAACCTGCAAGTAATTCCTGAAGTCTACATTTGAACATATCTGGTTTCATTAAGAAGATGAACGAAGAACCAATAACAAGCTGCAGTCCTAAAAAGGTGATTATCGACGTTTCACGACAAAAAGTCTTGATCGCTGTAGTTCTATTATTTCTTACGAAGAGAACTGCAATAATTGAGGACAAGACAAACCCCACTATAGCAGTGCATTTGATGATCCAGCCATGGCAGCCTGCTTCGTCTGCTACAGATACAACTGGCAAAGGGACACATTCTGATCGGTGCCGATCGGGCACATGGTGAGGTAAACAGGCCACACACGTTCCGTTTTTGACAATTTCCATATGGCTACAATTTCTACAGCTAAAGCAGCATCTTGTGCCATCAGCCCCACGGTCAACTGCTTGGCCAAATGTGCATGGAACATAGCAGTATGAAGCCGGGAGTTTATTGTATCGCCAAACTATCTTATCCACATCAAGATGCAACTTTCCTTTTTCAGCTGATGAATTATATACCCAGCGGCCAACACTTCTGTAATCAACCCCATCAAAATTAAAGATTTTGAAATCCCTGTTAAAGAATCCTAACTTGTTCAACACAACCGAATGATCAAGCTGATTGCACTTTTGCTTCCCGAAATATTTCATCGACGTCTTGACGATATTCTGGATGCATACTGGTGAAGATATGTTGCATTTGTTTGCGATCTCTCCTTGCTTGAGAGCACAGGCAAGTGTCTGCACAGCATTTATGACTGGTAAAACAACTGCATTGTACAATTCAAAGACGGTTTTGTTGAGCGTTTCGTTTCCAAGACACTTTGCCCTATCATCATGATACCTTGTTATTCTATATGTCCATGGAACGCTACAGTTAAAGATCTGACTCCAAAATTCTGCCAACCACGTGTACTTTGTTGTATTGAAACGTAAGCTCATGAAATACTTACTAAAATCTTCACTATAAACATCATCAAACTGCAAAACAATTGATCCTTTGGCCGCTTTGTAACTATTACCGACCGTGTACGTGTTGGCTGGCCAGTTTGTTCCAGAGATGAACGTCAACTCTGAAAATATTTCGGCTGCCCGAAGCACCCCATTTGTCTCCCCAAAACTTGTAAATAGCACAACAGCCCGCAGGTTTTCCTTGGTAGAAATTTTCGTGAGCGCTTGCCCATACTCCGCCTCTGTTGGTTTCAAAGACAGCCAAATGCTATGAGCGACACAGATGCCGTTTTCCGTTGCCTTTAATTTGAATCTTGAGACACCTTCTTGTGTTTGAACGTCGTTTGAAGAAATTATAGCAACGTATGAGAACCGCAGTTTCTTCAAAATATCTATGATTGCTCGTGTTTCCAGTTCGTCTGATGGAACCGTTCTGAAAAGTTTTAAATTGGAATCGTCCTTTGGCTCGTCATTAGCCGAACTTTCGATATGGTCGAATGAATAACTTGAAGTTAGCGAATTAACAATGGGAGCATCACCCTGCTGATTAACGAGCAAAAAGTAGCTTGTCTGAGAAGGACTTAAGGCTAAAAGAGCTGGAGTGTCGTCGTGTTTTGAATATGGGAAACGGGATTCTTTTGCGTCTCTTACCATAAAGCCGATAGAAGCTTGAAGAAAATTCTGTCTGTTTACTTGATGTATTGCATAACGCATGGCTTCAACCAAGACTAGGCCGTCGATGATGCTCAGATACTTAGGCAAAAATTGATAGTCAGTCTCAGCTGATTCGATGTTGAAAACACCAAGCATTCGATAGTTGGTTGGCGAATAGTCCTCGCTGATACACCGTTGTCTTGCTATCTTTTCGGTGCCTGCAAATGTATGAAAAGGCAAAGTAACAGTGTCTACTGTAACGACAATAACTTATCTGCTTGAGATCAAGGTTTAACAAAGAATCATGATATCGTAAAATCATCAAATCAATTTTGGCATACAATACAGAGCTTTATTGAGCAATATGTTAAAATACAGCAATGTTCAAGTCAAATGGACTCCCGTTTTTTATCAAGTAGGTTTCTATATTAGTGAGTCGTATCTTCTCATTTTCAGATTCGCCTTTCAGTTGCCATTGCGTCTAAATGTCATAGGGGTCACTATATATCCTTGTCTCGCACATTTTTACTGAATCTGTCGTGACTCTTCAACAATCTATGACATTTTGACAAGGACATAAGCATATCTATAATTATACTTGTTAGACTAATGTCTAGAAGTGAACTCAAAACTGAGTCATATTACTCACAGACTTCCTGTAGCATCCCAGAACTGACAGTCAAAAGACTGCCAACAATAATGATCTTATAGAAGATTGCTATTGCCATGACATGAGTGTAAACAAGAAATTGTGTCCAAAATAATTCAAGGTAGAATTCCAGTGTGTTTAACCCTGAAAATGTAGAACTATTCCCGGAACTCCAAAATACTTGAATAACCTCTGCAGTTCATGGCTGCAAATCTTCTTAAGAAAGACTGTTTGCTTGTCCAATTCCATTTAGAGCCTTAAGTGATGCTTGAGCAGCTGCGTGATGTGTAAATGGATTTCTCGTAACTTTGAGATTGAATGTAAATAAAGTTAATGCTTCAAATTTACACGAAGCAGAACTTGAATGGCTTCTACTGCTCTGACAGAGTACGCGATGTCAGAATCATGGCCAAAAGTGAAGTATCACGGGTTTATAAAAAGAGTTTATGCACAGATTTTGATGAAATAAAACAATATATTTGTCCATGGTTTTAGGCATTTAATCATTGTTGAAAGTGATTAAAGACCTTGATGATAAGACAACCGTGCTTTTTCAACTATCATAAAACTGTTCTTTAACGCAGCTTCAAGTCTAGGCTTCAAGATTTAAGCTATATAGATTTAGTATTGCACTTACGAATGCTTCTTTTAACTTCCAACAAGAAGCATTTCTTTGTATTTTTCTGCCGATCCACCGCATTTCTTTGTACTTATGGGGTTTTGGCCCTCTTTTCATACCATTTCTTTGGAGGCTCAGCTTCCAGTCCTGGGATCGCCCTTTCAAAGGAGCAGTACAATTTTATTCTTTGCTTTTGGAAAAGATGCTTAAAAATTACTTTTTTTGATAAACTTTAAATTTTATAGAACTTTCCGTTGGGTAGTTGATGGCCTTCACCAATAACTGAATACAGCGAAATTTCGCCTCTTACAATCTATGAACCCAAAATCTTAGAATATTTATCATGCAAACGCAGATATTTTTCGAGTTGTTAAAAATTTAAAAGTTCCTTATAGTTAAATTTTTTATGAAAAGATGAACGCTATTATTGCTATTTTAGCTGTTTTTTTGATAGTGGCCTGTGTCATTTTTGCTGTATTTTCCTTTATCGGAAATACCTCCTGTCACTTTAGTTCTTCTCGGTCTTAAGGCCTGACAAGGGGTCCAATCGATTTGCGGATCTTACCAAATGGCTACTCGTCTAAGCAAGCTTACACAAAAGCCTATAGTTTAGTGTGCTGTTATTGAATCAGTTATTACGTGCATAAATTATGCGAAATCTTTAGTGCGGAAAGCCTTGCTGTAGTTGCGGAATAATCTTATGTTTCACAGGAAAGAGTAGCTTGTTTACTTCAATCGTTTGACAGTGTTTCCATATGCTGCCACGTGAAATCTTGACCTACTTCGTTGTTTTGGGATATTGCTAGGCTCTTTCTTACAGTTCTATTTATATTTCACGTTAATTAACATTGTTTGGAAGATTTGATTGTACAGCCCTCAAAGTAAGGTCCTGTTCTTCAGAACCTATTCTTCTAGTTAGACTTTCATCAATGTTATTTCAAGAATGTAATTTTAAGACCATAAAATATCTCAGTTGATGATCATTACAAATGAAACACGACGCTTCCCTTCCATATCTTTCTCGGGATGTGAAAGAATCATGTAGAATATGGCAGAAAGAAGTGAGAAATGTTTGTTATTCACTATGGGCATTTGGAATTTGTAAATAAGAACTTGACCCCTTTTACATCAAAAACCTATAATAGGATCTTGAAAAGCAGAGATGCAAGAATCAAACACTTAGGAACCCATAATCATGAAAAGCACAATCAAAATCTGAGGGGAGCACTTTGTTCATAGATCTTGCTACCAGGACTTCACTAAATCCATTTTAGTGAAAAAAGATAAAATTGAAAAGGCCAAAAATATTGCAAAAGTACTGGAAGCCTCTTCCCGAAACTTTCCATGGAGTGCCCGTCTGCAAAAGCAATCAAGGAAAGAGGCATCCAATCTGTGTAGGGTAGTTTATGCACAGATTTCTAAATATGTTTCTCTGTCAAGATCTTTTTTGAAGATAGATATCCCAATTCCTTGTCCCAAATGAAGTTCTAAACTTTTAAGTGGCAGTGGTAAGAATCCAAAAATCTTAGCATTAGTTTTATGTGATCTTTCTTCGCTAGAAAAGGCAACTTTCTTAGGCTTGCATTCTTACAGTGGAAATAATTATGGAACTAGCGAAAAGTACACAAGAGTTCTTGTCTACATTTGCAGAGCTTGGTTTGTCAGCTGATGTCCAAGAAAATGTTATTGCATAACTGATTGTTGCCTGTCACCTGTTTGGTGAAAGACAACACACCTGTATGGATGACGCCTACCGAGAAATCTTCTCGAGAAGTTTCGCAAGGGATGAGAAAATCAAAAATTTATTTGTGCTTAAGGGGGTTTCCCAAGTCCCATTTCCAGAAAAAGTGGATAAGCAATCCTTAATTCGCCTTTTTTACCCCTAGAACGGAACTTTTCTTCAAGAGTGTTGTCACACACCTATGCCCCCCCTAGCGAAGGCCTTGGCGGCTAGAATTTAGTTACAAGACAAGCATCAACTTAAATCATGCAGCAGGGTACCCTGGGTACCAACCTCATTCTTATTTTAACTAGAGTGAGTCTGGTACACAGGGTAGCAGCAGGACGACCCACGCCGGTTTATCCATTGTTTGGAATTTGGAAGCTTACCCAGATTTTTGTGACCTTTTTGTCAGCAATGACGATGAAACAGCAATTTTTTTCATTTCATAGTTCTTTAAACACAGACCAACCCATAAGCAAATCAAATATGCAATATCAAAAGCCCTAAATTCATTGCTCATAGCTCTTTACATCCATTATTGGTAACTCACGAATTTCGACAGGTGCACCTTTCATCAGTACCTCTAGAGATACGCTATAAAATCTTTTTGTGCAAACGCTGTCCCCTATAGGGATCTGGAGAACCACACACTGCCTCTTATTGTCTTTAGCATGAAAATATATCGGTTTGTATTTATCCCATACCTTTCATCTCATTCCTATTGTAACGGGTAAGATTCAAGTTTCAGGTTCAGGTTCATTTTATTTTAAATTCCACAACAAACATTTCCACAAAATACTAATAAAAATACAGCAACATCAAATATCAAACAATACTTATAACAACAAGATGTGGAACACAAATTATCTGTGGGATATGTATGTATGTATATGTATGTATGATTTTCTACCTCTAATAAGAAAGCCAAAGGGCTGAAAGTGTTTGGGGGGCTATCAAGTGTTTTAGGGGGCTATAAAGTGTTTTTGGGGGTTAAACATGCAAAAGGCCAAAGGCAAGATAATTATTTATATTGTTTTTGGGGGGCCACTTCCGCCGGCCCTGGTTGATGACACTTCGCAACTTTACCTAATGCTATTGATAACTTAATCCCTATATAGGCAAAAGAGTATCGTATCTTGAGAAAATTCCAAAATAATCTAAGTATCTTTTGTTTGTAACACACAAGGGTTAGACTTGGGTTCAAATTTATGTCCAACTTTTTTAGTTCACCCCAAAACAGGAATATTGACTACAGTGCACCCCCGTCTTAGCCCGATTCGATATTCCATTGGTGTGCGTCGGAATTCTCGAAAGTGGAAGAGAGTCTTTATACAAATGGCGCAGATCTCGGCATCAGTCCGAATAGATTGGGGTGTATACCTAAAGGGTTGTTGGCAAAATTTCTTAAATCAGCTATAATCGGAGGATATGAGTGCTAGTAGGAGCCCAGCATGACCTGCACAAGTCTTAAAACCCCGACTTGATTGATCAACTGTTGCTAGCGAGGGCCAACACTTCCCGAAAAGCTCTGTTGCACCCGCTGATTGTAAACGGAAGAGCACGAAATAAAGAAACAAAACAATCATGAAGAAATTCAAACGAAGAAGTTTCACTGGATCAGGTAATTTTGGACCTTGTTTTGTTGGTTATTTGATGTCTTAGCCATGCTAAGCTCACCGCCTTTCACAATGTTTCTGTCTCCTGATATAATTAGATTTAATTGTCGTTATTTATTTCCACGAATGAAACTACAGTAAGAAAGTGATCTTATAAACTGAACCTGTAAACAAGAATTGTTTAAGCAAGTTCGTTATTCTATTTTATTTTTTTCTATTTTTCAAATTCAAACTGAAATATTTTATAAGCATTTTACGGCAAAACTTATGCAGAACTATTCGTACGGACTTCAATCACAAATTCATTTAAAACTTGTTGTTGTTAAGTTTGCCAAGCCTTTATAGGTAACTGAACTTCTCAATTTAATGTTTTATCGGCCACACATAAAAAGAGTCCCTCTAGCTACTTTTCCTTCAATTAGATTGCGAACGATATATATAGATTACAAGGTATGATACAGTTGAACTGTGTTACCAATTTTAGAAATGTGCTGTTTTGTGATCCTGAAGAAATCCATTCCCTATCAAAATTTAAATATTGCTGCACTTATTTCTAAAAACGTTCCCTTGTCTAATCGAAATTGTTGAAAATTCAGGTTGACTATTAATTGTTTGAAATATTTTTATATTTAGTGGAATACTAAAGCAGTAAAGCTGAACTGAGTTAAACAAAATGTTATAAAGTAAAGGTCTTTAGATGTTAAGAATTTTACCATGGCAATTTTGCCTATCCATGCAAACTACACCACCAGCTTTCATGTAAAAATGATATTAAATTGGTACACTAATAAATCAAGCACCAAGTCTAGCTAAGGTTTGCTGATAAAATGAAATAAAAAAATGTGTAATCTAGTTCCTTTGTATTTGTTACTATCTAGCTATCAAAGATGCTTATCAAGCAGTTTTATGGTCCTTCCTTTCCATGTGGTCACACCTTGTGATTCCTATGCCTGGAATGACAGACAGCTAGTGTCTCTCCTCAAACTAGATGAGAAAAATTTCATGGCAGGGAATTGAACTCCAGACCACAGAATAAGAAGTAGGCAGAAGGCGAACTCCTGCCTATCAGGTGAAGCCTGAAAAAACTAGCGCTTATGTTTTGACTAATACGAGGCTTAGCATGTATCTGTGGGGGAAATTTTAAAAAAGAATGAAAGTAGCCAACTTTATTTGACACGCAATGCCCCGTGATAGTGAACAAGTTAAATTATATATCATAATTTGTTTATATCTGATTAATGAATGATAATTTGTCATGGCAAAGTTCGTCTAATGAAATCGAGGGCAAAGGGGAATTAAGGAATTCTATTGTTGACTCAGACTTCAAAAACAACAAAGGAACCGATGAGAGTTACCCTTCTGCCTATTTCCTATTCTGTGTCCAGCCCCTCCAGTGTGGAGTGTATATTAGTTTTAGATGAGATCTCATGCATGCACAATCTCTTTGTGCACATTTTCATTGTGTATCCATCTTTTACTTTATCATATTATGTTCTAATAGAGGCAATCTATAAAAGTGCTATTGTAAGTGTGCAATTTCAAATCATTGTGTACTGAGCTAAACTGACCGCATGCATGCATGTGTCAATCTCTTAGTACAGCAATTGTTGTCATCACACTCTGTTATTAGTGCATGCCTCTGTCATACTAAAAGATTGTCAAAACCTTAGATCTGTACTCCAGAACCCTTAACCACTGACCCCACCTAATCACTGAGCTCTAACCAAATCAGAAACTAATTCTTTCAAAGGAGCAAGATTTCATATTTTCTTTATGTAAAGATAAGTTACTAAAGTTTACTTAATTATGATGTAATTTTCTATAAATTCCTTATGATCAGAATTTCTGCCATGGTTTCAAAGTGATGAGCAGTAACAGAAGTATTTTACCGATTCTCTCAAGTTTCTGTTATATTTCAACATACTCATTCAGATAATTGATATTTTTAGCTTCACGGCTTGAACAACAAGAAGAAGCACCTCCTCTTGATAAACAAAAAGGTATGTTTAAAGAAAAGTTTTTTGATCTTTATTTTTTTTATATAATTTTCAGATTTATAAGGCTTTTCATATATTGATCTACTCATACTTATCTGTCTATAGTGTATATATATAGAGTTTTATTTTTATTTTCTGGTTTCTAATTATTTTTGGGTGGGACAGCAAAGATTATAAATGACTGTCACTACTCTTTATTTAAAAAAACAGTTTTAGCGTTTATTGTTAACTTGAAACAGGGAGAAGCAATTTATGCTACCCCTTTTATGCATGCCAGTGTAAGAATGTTGCAGTGGTAACAACATTAAATGTGAAACTCAGGCAGGGACACCAAAATGAACAAATGGGGGCAGGCTTTTGTTTGCATACAAGGGAGGAAGGGGGCTAGTCAGATTGTGCCAAATGTTTTTTAGATAGTGTTCTTCCAAAAAAGTTTTGATCATAAGTTTAAAGTTACAATCATGGGATGTGGTGCAGATCATTTACAGAATGTGAGCATAAAACTAGGTACAGATTCATCACCACAATTATGGCTGTTTAGTGTGGACCTTAGTGTAAACATTTGTCATTCATCTATCCATTACAAAAACGTTCCTTTTCGTCATGTTGCTCATGCAATACTTAACGTCATATTAATAAATTTGTGAAGTGTATACAACAGAAGGATGTGCATTTTTTGTCAAATTGCAAATGGAGGGGGGTCAACTCAAATGGTGTATATGCAAAGGGGGAAGAGGTGGCCAAAGAAGTATGACTACATACAAAGGGGGAAGGGAATGGAAAATATGAAAAAAATTTGCATTTATACTATGTGAATGACCCCATATGTGGCTTTGGTTGCTATTTGACTGACTGATAAACAGTAGATTTTTTAGGCTTTGTGCCAAGCACAACAAAACAGACTGGTTAAACCTAGTCTTTATTCATTACAATAATATGTTAAAAAAATGTGCAAGGTAATGACCAGATAGGGTTTCTAATGACCTTTTCCTTACACAGTTAATCCAATGAAGTCCTGTATATCATGATGTAAAATATATTTATTCATTTCCTTCAAGTTTTGACACAAAACTTATTTCTCATGACAAGTTGCAGAAACCGGCAGCCAGACCATACAGAATATAAATGACATTAGAAAAAATTTTGTTGAACGAAACAATTATCAGCTTGACATTTAGTTTCCGTTTCTATTAATTTCAAATTCTACTCCAAAAACAATAAAAGCTGACTGTTATGGTTATCAGCCAATAGGAGTGCATGTGTACAAAATTTAACAAATTATCTTTTTAGCTCCATTGACACTTCTAGTCTTGCAGGTGTTGTATCAATAGAAGCAGAAGGAGGATAAAAAACCTGCAAACATGCATCCATTTTCCCTGCTTGTTATAACAGTTACTACTATCCTTTTTGTTTTTGGAAAACAATGTCAAACTTAAATGCCAAAGCTGTCAGTCTGTTCTTTTTGTTGCTGATCTATCATGGATTATTGACAATAGATAATGAGTAAAGTGGGTTGTCAATATAGCACCTTGTTTTTAAGATGCATTTTGACCTGCTCCTTACCTTTATGATGTCCTAAGAACCCATTCCAAATCATTGCAATGTTTTCAGAATAGATGGTTTTGATATGAAAAAAAAATTTCTCACTTTGTATGGGCTGTAAAGAGGTTGTATCTAAGTTAGTAAACAAAGTGCTTCTTTATATACAGATCCTGCAGAGAACATGAGAGAGCTTTTAACTGAGATAACAAGAAAAGAGCAAATGGCAACTGGAAAAAGAATGGGATACCTTGAAAATTTTGTACAGGTAACCATTTTTAGGTTTGGGTGTGATTATGTGGCTCTTTTGTCAATAGAACCTGTTTTGCATAGAAAATCTGGCCGTGTTCCTTAACAGGCCTGGGAAGTTTCTAAGAAACCAAAAAATATTAGACTTTTTGTGACATTGCAATATTTATAAAACTTAATCTAAATAATCACCTCTTTTATGTTCTATGCATGCCCATTAGAATTGTTGCTTCAGATTATAGCATATCAAATCCTGTCCACTTCAAATTGATGATATTGATACTGAAGTTTGAGAACTATAAGTTTGATTTTTGACACTAAAAATCAACAACAAAACTTTTTAGAAAAAGTAAGATATGGCCAATATAGTATGATTGCAAGATGTGTTTGTGTATTGTGATGACCTGTCTTGCAGACCTGAAATTCACTGGTTCTTTCTTTTTTGCTTAAGTAAAAACCTACTACGGTTACCAGAAATTTCCATAATATTCGATGCATACATAATTTATAAGTCCCTGACAGACATTTCATGAAGAAGTTTCACATGAAGGCTGGGCTGCCCACATGGCTTAGCTTGATACAGAATGAAACCGAAAAGAATGGTCTCAAGGTCCTGAGAACCATAAAAGGCTTTGTTCAAACTGCTATTTACTCATTTAGGCCTGTTTTTATTAAATTGAATTTTCGGAAAAGACAGTTGGTTTTCTAAATGCGTGATTACAGCCAGGTTTTAAGCAAACTGTTACATATAACGTGATATATAACGTTAACAATGAAGCAATAATGTTTTGTTTTCATTCAACTTGACTTTCATTCAGGAATTCTGCGATTTATAAAAACTAAAGTTTCCGTAATTGCTATTGCTGTCCCTTGCCGACGAGGTATAAGCTCGGTCTTTGAGAAATGCTTTTGCAAAGTACTTCGGTCCCACCTGTGAAAGTACTTCGGTGAAACTGTGAAAATATTCCAGTTTGATATCGTCTTGTTATAGACTACCCCAGGCCTTGGACAACTGCAGGCTTTCTGATACTCTATGGTACTGAGAGCGTTTTTAATTATGGTAATTACGTTTTTAAATGAGATGCAGCCCTTTTTCCAAATAATTTAGTGTTTAGAAAAATGTCTTTTCGTTGCAGCTAGTGCGTTGCCTGGCTCCTAGCACAGATTTTGGTTTGTCATTGAAAGAAATCGTTATGTGGTAGGTAACTGTATTTTTAGCATCACATATTTTTCTTGTCTCTCTCTATTTGGAGGTCGCAAAGGCAGAAAATTTTGGATTTTATTATTATGTCAGGGGTTACATCGTTGTATATTTACACTAGTCAGTTTATTAATTTTCTCGTATCCTTTTCCCAGCAACAAATAATTAAGTAGAAATTCTGTCCTCCTCGTTTGTGGATGTTGATGCATAATGTGAACCCTTTGCGTGGTCAGTGATGAAGGCCATAGCTTGCATTGCTTTGCTATTGTGTGATTTTGTTAGGTATTATTTTTAGGTGTTCAAGTGTATCAGGCAACTGGGTAAGGCTTCTCTTAGTGCCTTAAAACTGAAGCGTCCTGAAGAAGTATTCATTTAATGAATGCTTGGACGTCTTTTTTAGCAATTAGTATAACATCTACAAGGCATTTCTTCCTTTGCAAAAAAGTCTACATGGCAGTAGACGTTGAAGAAATTTCAAAAATTAAACGACGCATTTGAGTTTTTAAAAAAAGTCACAGTCATTTAAAGATCGTTATCCATGAACAGACAATCACTGCCAAAAGTCTTGAAACCCTAACGCCAGTTTTCAAAGGCAAATTCATCCATCCCCTTTCCACCCAGGAACAATGTTGATTTACTATAGAAAAATGAAAGGGGTTATGGAGTACGCTTTTTCTTTTGGCTTGTTTGATATTTTTCTATACTTTCAATATTGTTCTGAGGGGGGCAGTGGCGGTTTTAAGGGGGGTCCAGGGGTTCTATGGCCCAGGCCCCGCGCATATGATAGCCAAAAGGGGCCCCACACCTAAGAAAAAAGATGGAAATTGTAAAGAACAAGGGCCCCGCAGTCCCCAAAACCGCCACTGGAGGGGGGGGGGGACGGAAGTAGGAGTATTTGGGAAAACAAATGAATAACAGAAAAGCTCAGCGCAAAGTGTTGGATGTTCCAAGTAATTTTGGCAGCGATTGGAGGTCAGCACCGAAAATTATTTAAAATGTTTAAGTCCAAAGCAAATTCTAATTACATGAAAAACCCACCACTGAAACATGAAATTAAAAAGGGATGATGCCTCAGATAAAAGAAAATGTAGTTTAAGCCTGTTTTCATATTCTTAGGATTTCATTGGTTTGATGCTTAAATTCTGCTAAACATTAGTTAGGAGCAGTTCCTTTGGAGAAACCGCTTAGAACAAGTTCTTTTGATTTACCGATTTCGCATAGCTGCTTTGAATGATTTCAGGGTATGCATTTTTGCCTTCTACAACATCAGTTTTCCGATCCTCACGAAAGAGAATTTTTAATGACTTGATTATCTCTTGAACTTTGTCATTTTCTGTTCAATTCATCTAGCCGATCGGTTGGTTTTTACTCGTTATCTCCGCGACAGAAATTTATCCGGCTTTATTTCAAAACAGATGCATGTAGCTGGATGAAATCTCTCAAGATAACATGATTGGCCTTTCTGTTTTCACGTCTATCGTTAAAATGGTGTAGTTTACACCGCTAGGCGATAAACCCAGTGGCAAACTCATCTAAATCTAATTGCCCGTGTTATCATTTTAAGACTTCTTTCGATAGCCTTTTGCAATTTTCTTGATCCTTGCTGGGTGGCAGGATATCTAAAAACTAGTTCTTGTTTGAAATGCAATTTTTATTTTCTCTGATTGCGATGTGGTGTTAGAGAAATTACCCGATTCGCAGGATTCTTTCATTTGCTTGCAATCTGCTCTTTTTTAATTGTTTAAGTTAGGAAAAGACCAAAGTGCCTAAAACTAAGCCCTAACGATGGAAAGGGAGGAGGGATTAGGAAAAGAGAGAGGAAAGATCAAACTTATTTTGTTTTGTTTTGAATAAAGACAGGTTGTAAGAGTTTGGGAAACAGGAAGGGGGTAGGGTATTCCATAGTTTACAGGATCTAGGAAGGAAGGAAGAGATGTGGGATTGAGTTCGTGCGTTTGCCTGTTAACACGTCACTACAGCTTTTCTTTATCTTGTTTGTCAGACTTTCTCCCCTTATTGCATATTTTTTATGGGATTTCTGTCTCGGGGCCTAGCGGTAAAAGCTTCTTTATCTATGACCCTTTTTAGCACTAATATTTCTTAAAAGGTTTTTGGTATCTCAAAGAAGATTCGCACATAAATTGTAGCTGGCGCTAATATGAAGATTAATGAGTGCTACTAAAGATTTAAAAGGTGGCCAGTTCTAAGTTTCTTATAAACCGGAATTTTATATCAAAGAGGTGTAGCTTCGACAACGTGTTGAATTCATAAGCAAAGCTGATTGTAATGCTTCGACGAGACGATTTTCTTGCCAGTTAAATAATGGGTCTGGGTTTCGATTTCAGTCATACTTGGTGCAGTTCTAAGTTTCTTATAAACCGGTATTTTATATCAAAGAGGTGTAGCTTCGACAACGTGTTGAATTCATAAGCAAAGCTGATTGTAAGACTAGTCATGCTTCGGCGAGACGATTTTCTTGCCAGTTAAATAATGGGTCTGGGTTTCGATTTCAGTCATACTTGGTGCAGTTCCGTTCATTTGCAGTAACTTGACTAGTTTCAAGTTCGAAGCATCAATACCTTTTACGACACGCTGCTATTTTGAGCTATGGCACAGACGCAGTAATATTTGTCCAATGCTCCTGTTTCTGTCATTATGTCCACAGAACTGCATTGACATAATCAGGTTGTAGTAAGAAAGCTGGTCAAGCCATTTATGAATAGGCCACTCAAAATTACTGTATGCATTATTTATAACTAGCTTTTTTAAGGCGAAGATTAGAAATGAGGCTTATCAGAGTTAAGTGGTATTTTGTATTCATAAGTTGACTTATGTTCTGTTTTGCGTTCCCTTTACTCGACTGATGATTTCTGCTGTTGTTTAGGCATATTCAAAACATGGCAATTGTCGGCTCCGATAGAAAACAGGTCTATCACGTGCGCTTCCCGTACGAAATCTGTTCGAGTTTGAAACCCATTAAAGATGAAATATTCCGCGTTTTAGTTAACGTTTAAAACTCAAAATAACGTTTGAAACTATATGAATATTTGATTCCACAAACAGTGGATGTTGGGTTCGGGAAAAGTCCTTTCCTGCAAGGGATTTGACTCTTACTAAACTGATTATCTTTATCATTTTTTCGCCTGTAGTTCATCGTTTGGAAAATTTTCACAACTTGCTGGTTTTTAAAAATAACAGCAGATCAATGGAAACAGAACTCCTTTTTAAGCAAGGCTTTTCTGACGGTGTCGCAGAGTTAAATGTCTGGAAATCTTATTTTAGTTAAACTGTATTTTGAACAGTTGCCTGTAAACTGTAGCCTTTAATGAATGAATTTATCAACTGGAAGGTGGACAGAATAAGATATAACCTTATCATAAACTTCAGATATATCATGCAGGCAAAGGGGTTTATTCAACATATCAATTTGAGAATAATTATTACTTGTTTAATATCTCACTTACGAGAATAACTTATGCGTGGCGTGAGTTTGCTTAGATTTGTAATACTCCAACAAAATTGGTCAAACCAATTCGTAGGGATATGTTGCCTAATATTCTGTCAAGTACTTGTCATTTTGTTGCCACTTTACAATTTGCGTTGTAATTGAATGTCAATTGTTATTTTAGCTTAAAAGTTGCATTCGTGAGCCCTGCGAAGGAGATTCGCGCCGCAAGCCTTAGAGCATTACGTCATCTGCTCCAAACACCGGAGCAAGCGAAAATTGTTATCAATCAAAGAATGGATATATTCGTGTCACGGTGCGTGCTCAATTTTAACAGATAGTTCTGTTTTGAGCTTGGAAATTTAAAAAGCAGTATAACGTATATTTCCTCGGTAGCAACTCGACGTGATTATAAGCCTCAGTCTGAAGAGCGGGAGACTTAGAGCAGGTTGCTAAATCCAGACAAAAACTCATTTGAAAACAGCTTCAGCCAAAGTGGACTAAGTATTCTACCATGGCTGATGTTTTGCAGGTTCAGTTAAGAAAGTACAATGTAAATGAATTGTTCCCTAAAAAAAGTATTTCAAATGAACTGAAAAGTCCACTTCGGCTGGAGCTGTTCTCAAGCGGATGCTTTTTTGTCTGGATTTACTTAGCTTTGCTCTCCTTTTTATCTGCAATTTTTTTAAGTGATCTTAAAGATCCCCAAGTCTTACTGCGCCGAAATTAGAGGAGTGCGAAAATTGAAGATGTTACTTTCATGTATTTTTAATGCGGTTCAGTTTTCAACTCATTCCGACCAAATGTGCACAATCGCAAGTTCTTTAAATTTTGCCACACGACTCTATAAGAAGTTACTTTAACAATTTCATTCAGCTGTTTTCCAGGGGGTCCTACAAAATTTCTACTAATAGGGATTTAATGCTAAATCGTATTTTCTTGCTGTGATGCAACGGCAATAACAAGAGCAACTAGAGGGTAGCATCATTGCCTGCAAATAGGTAGACTTGCTCCAAGTCTATTTTATGCTAGAGAGAGGAGTACATTTACTTCCCTCCTGTGGACTTCTGCGAAGGAGACGGGCGCCCGAAATTCAGTACATTGAAACATATTCTGGAAAGCACAACGAGCAGTACATGAAGATTATTCAAATTAATTCCTAAAACTATTCCCAGAGAGGTGGAATCCTTTTTTGTACTCTCAAGCTTAAATTTTTTAATGTCTAGATTTCTATTGTCTCTTGTGCTATAACTAGAAATTTCAGAGGCTCTCAGAGCACTGCTTATTAGCTATTTGCTTTGCTTATTCGGCGATACTATTTCGTAAAGGAGAAATGCTCGTACATTGGTTCATTTCTTGAATGGTATATTGTTTCAGGTCGATGGATCTGCAGCCTGCGATGGAAGTCGAGCGGGTTCAAGCATTGAAACTTGTAAGAAAGGTTCGTGCTGTCACATTTAGGCTGTTCAAGCCGAGTGTTGTTTTGCTCAAAATCCCTGTAGCGTACAGCCATTTCTGTCGTCAATGTGGACAAGTAACCTTATTTATTGAAAAGCTTTCTGCCCTTTGTTGTTTCATTGCCTCAAATTTTTGAGTCTATTTAAGTCTTTTTTTACTGTCTCTGGCGATCTTCTGAATGTAACTTAGGCCTTATCTTTAAGTTTTGTGTGTATCTGTACCCTACAACATTCGGTTTTAAAGATCTTTTCTACAACTATTCCAGTTGTTAGATAAATATTTAAGAAACAGCGTCTCTTACGACACACAAGCTCAGCAGAAATAGCTATTTATCTACGAAATATTGGTGTCTATGTTTGCTTGTTATAGACATTTTCAATTTCTTATGAGCATGGTCGGATTTTGAATCTCAGAATGCGTATACACATTAAGATAAGCCTTTTTAAATTGATCTTTCTAATTGGTCACAGATTCTAGCAAAGTAATGACAGATAGTAATTTTCAGACAAATTCTAGCATAAGAGTACGCGAAACAGAAAATAAGAGCGCTGCTAATAATTTTCGCCATTTTTCGCCAAAATTTTCTGATAAAACTTACGAATTTTAGCAAAGGGGTCACCCGTATCTCCCAGTCACGATTCAATTTCGCTTGTCAGTACTCAAAGATAACTTGCTGGGACAGATGATTTTTGATAGGAAAATATTGTCGTGAAATCCATGCGGTGACCCACTGTTTTGATTGGCATTACCTTACCATTTATGTTTATTACCAGCTCTCTTTAAGATGATACGCACCAGCGCATACAGTAATAGTTCATTTCCGATTTTCACACGTTAGTGACCGTAAATCATTGAATGAGCCACCCCCTTCGATTATGCGTCCCCTGAAACAATGGGAATCTTAATGAGCGCTCCCCTCGTTTGAGCACCATTACCTTCAACGTCAATCCGTTCATTGTTTATACAGAGGATGGTGATGGGAATGGCTGTGGCGAGGATGAAGAAATTGATATTTATATTAATCTGGGATAGATTTTCTTTTAATGAGGCTTGTATTGAACTGATTTTCCAATAATCTATCACCGGGTGGCTGTTAGCGGATTTACGGTACATATTGTACAGATGTTATACTGAAAAGCAGTTCCCATGAACTGACGGGGCTGCAACTCCTAAAGAAATATATAATGAAATGAGATCTATAAGCTTTCGGTGAAGTTAATAGAAATGCAATTTTCCATAGATGATCTACCTTTGTCCAGAAGAATTCCCCATGAGCTTAGCAATGTCTTTAGCAGCAATAAGTGCAGATATGTCACAAAATCGAGACCGGATGTCAAGAGCTTGTCTCGCAACATTATGTGAGCTGGGTATGTCGTATTGCTCTTACTACTTCTGGTGCCCATTTTTAAAGTTGTCGGCTGGAGATAGTGTTTTTGCAGTTAAAAAGGTTACATCTTTTTACAAATCATATTTGTAAAAACTAGAAACTGATCTAGGAGGGGCAGAAAAGTCATGTTCATAGCTAGAGACTGTCTTTAAAATTTCCACTGAAACTCATAATGAGATTTGCAAGAATAAGCTGCATTTTAGCAGAATGGCAATATCCGAGGATGTCCTTATCCTAGAAGGTGTATTTGATTCTCTATATTGTGGAAATGTAAACGAAAAAGAGCACTTAACTGAAGGGACTTTTTTACAGTTTTTTTATAGCTCACCTCTCGATTCTACTCTTTTTTAACCTTTGTTCTTCCTCTTTCTCTACCTGATGAAAAGTTATGCTCGCAGTGTCGCATTAATATTCAACTTCTATAGACAAAGTCGTAATTTTACAACTTTGTTTTACTACTAATTTTTTATTAAGTTCTTATTTTAACACGATATCCCTTTAGAAACCTAAGTACAAGATATGATAAATTAAAAAACTAATAATGAAAGAACAAAATTCAAAAAATTATTTAATAATTTGAGTGAATTGAATTAGACGTCTGATCTTCCTGGGAGTCATGTTTTATTTCGGATTTTTTGAGCGCTTCAAATGAGCTTTTAATTTTCGTTTGAATTGATAGAGCGATGGGATCTCCCTTAGTTCTATGGGTATTTCGTTCCAAGCTTTAATCCCAGAGGGGTGGAATCCTTTTCTATACTCTCAAGCTTAGATTTTGGGATGTCGAGATTTCTATTGTTTCTTGTGCTATAACTAGAAATTTCAATCCTCTGATTATATTTGTTCCAGAGGCTCTCAGGGCACTGCTTATTAACAATTTTTTGTGTCATGATAGATTTTTTGTGCCAGCCAATTTTTTTTACTTAGCCAATTTTTGTTACTCAATTTTACTCAATTTTGGTACTCATTTTTTGTTTGTATCTTTCAAGCTATCAAAAACATAAAGATCGCCTCATACTGTGGAGCTGTCAATGTCATTATCAGCAACATTCTAGATTGCCCGGTAACATGATTTCTTTACTTATTTTGATACTAAGATTTTCTTAAGATATTTCAGACGGATGATTTCAGTTGAGTTAAGGGAAGGTTTCAACGCAGGTATTTGCTATATCTCGCAAGCAACCGCTTCAATTCATTAAGGAGAACACAGGAGCTGTATCATGTGACAATCTTGCATTTGACTATGTACGATTGGGCCTGCAATATCCTACATAAGGATGCGTAGTCATTTAAATGTGTGGATTTTTTGGTTGGATTTCTAGCTTGTTTATTTAATGTTTGCGCTGAAACCACTCCAGATAAATGATACTCCAGTGCTATCTCGTTTATCAAAATCTGTATTGTATATGCAGACATAAATGTTTGCACCATCTGCCGAATTTCTGTCCCAGCTAGGCCGCTTAAGCGAAGGAGCACTGTACTATAAAACGTCCTAGCACTTCTAATTTACATGCAATACATTTTGAACTGGGGAACGATTATATCGATTTTATCTAATATGAAGTGGCATTTTCAATTATCAAAACACGGCGTGCATACCCCCGTGGTATGACCATACTGATCATGCCTCCTCCACGTGTTACGCCTCTTTTTGAAGACATATGCTTTGGCCAAATTGCTTATGATTTAGTTTAAGTCTAGATAAGTACTCAATTAGATCTATGCCTATGGATTCCATTATACTGGCAAGCTAATGCTAAAGAATGATTTATGCCACAGCAGATCTGATGTGATCAGTGACAGGTGTACACAGCCCCGGGTTTTTAGATCTCGTAAAAGGATTTATAAGCATTACTAAATATGATTTAAGGCTTTTTTAACGCATGTTTAAGATATTATAGCGTCAGGAAATGAGAGAAAATACCATTTTTATGATCTTATTAATTGTTTTCTTGAAAATGTGATCACAATGTTTTGTGTGTTATTCTTGTTGTCAAGAGAGCAACTTACTATGCACCATGTTGCTTTGTGGATCGACGACATGCCGATGGCAAAGTGTTTGTTATTGGCCAAGCCATTGAAATTCTTGCTGTCATATTTTAGTTGCTGTAGCACGAGCAATTGTCAATTTCTAAGAATTGTTCAAACTTTCTAACATAATTAGTTTGAATTTCGTTAAGGGATTCAGCTGTGAATTATTGCTACAAGATTTTAAATGACTAGTTCTCTGATTGATTTGCTAAGGATAGCATGACGACTGGTAGACACAGAACTGTAGGTCGTTGTATTTTATGAGATAAAATAAACCCAAAAAAGTGTTTAGTCAGCTGTTTGGTCTTAAAACCCACTTTTAGAGCAAAAAGAATGTTTATTTTTCAGATTCCACGCATGAACGAATCCTTGATTGTCACCTTGCTTTACCTTTTCAACACGCCAAAAAACAGGTGTTATGTCCGAAGAAGTGTCGGACTCGAGGTAAATTCGCCTTTTTTGTTTTATTCTCTTTCTCTCTCTAAGTACCATGTTCTGTGAGGACGTAGGCGATCATGGTTCTCTATAACGTCCTATCCCTTCTTATTTTCAATAATGCTTGCTCTGATACCATTGCTCTCTCCTCTCTGGTAGTTGATCTGCCATCAATTTGCTTACACTTCTCAAAAAGGTCATCCGCTGTCTGCCCCTGCTCCGTTTTCCTTCTATTCTTTCTGTTAATGTCAAGTTTTCTAGACCTTCCTTTCGCATTATGTGCCCAAAGAACTCCAGCTGTCTTTTCCTGGTTGTTTTTATCAAGTTTCTTTCTCTTTCTGCTCTTCTTAATACTTCCTCATTTGTAACATGATCTGTCCAAGGTATTCTAAACCTTCGCCTTAGGAACCACATTTCTACGGCTTCCATTACCTTGTGCAAACAATTTATTCAATACAACAAAATACCCTCTTTGTTTCTGACTGGCTCCCACTCTATTACAACTTTGATCTCAGCAATCTATCTTTAAAGATTCGAATCGTCTCGTGCGTGCAAACAAATGAATAAATATCAATGAACTAGTGAATGAATGAATGAATGAATGAATGAATGAATGAATGAATGAATGAATGAATGAATGAATGAATGAATGAATGAATGAATGAATGAATGAATGAATGAATGAATGAATGAATGAATGAATGAGTGAGTGAATGAATGAATGAATGAATGAATGCATGAATAAATGAATGAATGAATAAATAAATGAATGAATGAATGAATGAATGAATGAATGAATGAATGAATGAATGAATGAATGAATGAATGAATGAATGAATGAATGAATGAATGAATGAATGAATGAATGAATGAATGAATGATGATGAATGAATGAATGAATGAATGAATGAATGAATGAATGAATGAATGATTGAATGAATGAATGAATGAATGAATGAATAATTGAATGATTGAATGAATGGATGATTGAATGAATGAATGAATGAATGAATGAATGAATGAATGAATGGATGATTGAATGAATGGATGATTGAATGAATGAATAATTGAATGAATGGATGATTGAATGAATGAATGGTTAGTGGAATAAAAGTCAAAGCCCGCTGTATTTAACGCTATCATGTAATTTTTTTTCATGGAGAAAGAAGAAGGTTCAAAAGTTTCGCAATTTTAATGAAAAGTAATATGGAAAAATAGAGCTTTATGTTGCATTTTTCAAAAAACTCTTAAATCATTTTGCAGGCTATTCTTGCTCCGTTCACTGATCTTTATTATCGACATAATTCGGACATTCCAGACAACGCTATCATGTAAGTAATTGAAGAAGGAACATTCATTAAAAGCATCATGACAAAATTGATTTTTAGGCGGACAATCAAACGTTAAGGGTTTTCTGTTTGAGTATTGAGTTAATATTTTTATTCAAGATTCAAAAAAGAAGTATTTTTACTGACCGGATTACCAGAATGTACTCAAAGCGATTTGCGTATATATTGATCTGCAATCAAGTTCGGCAGCTGACTTGAATACTAGTGACCGCAGTGACCCCATTGACCCCATTGACACCAGTGTCCCCACTGAAATACTCCAATTGACACCAGTGCCTCCAGTGATTCCAGTGATTCCAGTCGATCTCAGTGGTTTACCCTTTCTGTTTGTTCTAAATATGAAAATATAACAGGAACTGAATGTTGTATGTACTTTGATGATAAATCGCTGACATCATTATGACATAATCATGACAAAATTATGACATCATTATGACATCATCACCACAACTGGACACAGCTCTGGACAGGGAGAAATGGCCCGACTAGTTGCTGTTCTTACAGTATGTTAGTGTGGTCACCTATGCCAGCCTGACAACAAATGTGAAACTGGCTCCTGTCTTTTCAGTAGTTTTTTGTTGTGGAAAATTTATCGTATGTTCTGTAGTAATGTTCTTGGGGGTAGTCATGATCTTTCTCCCTTTGGTATCGTCCTTGTAACGTTGTAAAGTAATTTTGTAGGTGGCTGTTTTTGTAATTTTTATTTAATTAATTTGTATTTGTGTAGTCTTTTATTATGGACAAAAACGTCCCGTCCTGTAATGCCCTATTTGTCCAGGAAGTCCTTTTGTAGGGGTGCGTAATAGATATCTTCTTGATTTTGCTCTTTAAAAAGTGTTGACATTTTGTGTTGTAAAGTATTTTCAAACGTGTATTTCTTTTATTTTCTGTTACAGAGAAGATCAAAAGGGTAGGATCGAGGCGGCAAAATTGGCACTAGTAACAATATTTCGGAGTTGGCCAGGTAACGAACAAATTTTTAACTCAACTATGATATTTTCGTAATTATTTTTCAGCAACTTTTTGTGTTGATTTGATTACCAGATGGCCTATAAATAAAGGCGGGCTTTTGCCTTTTCTGGTTGAAAATTGAAGTTCACCCCAATTATCGTCGAATTTAATACTGCATTACTTTCGTTATTTTGCCCAGACCGTTTTGCTGTTTTTTATTCGAAAGTTAAACATTTTTTTATCATCAGAATTGTGAAAAACTTCGAGGTGAATTTCCCTTCCAAATTCCAAAATGTTGATCTGTTTTCTGATGCCTCCGCAGGAATCATTTGCATGTGTGACGCTGAAGGTAACGGATTAGAATCCCTTATGGGTGTTTTCCGTCTCCCGAATACTGATGTTAGGGTAGGTTTGCAATTTGTTCCCTCGTTAGCATTTAACCTTTGTAAAGATTTAGGGGCAGATGGTTTTTTGTGACGTCGATAGCACTTGCTATTTTATAGGGGGATAAGACAATCGAGTTTTTTCCGTACCTTTATTCTCTCGTAGTCATTTGTATTTGAAGAAATGAATTGATTGTCCTTTACGATAACAGTGATGTTTCATATGACATAGAGAGAATAAGACACCGAGAGTGATGTTTCATAGGAGAATAATAATAATGAAATCGGAGAAATTAAGTCTCAAGAAAAGGCTGCCCTTTTACATTCAAGCAATATAAATTAATCATGTTTTGTCACTGTTCACATAACATTATTTGACATTTGACTTAGCTCTCTCTGGATCTTTGTGCAACATTTGACACTATTTAACTATCCTTGGCTATTGGCAATTTAAGGCCAGTGAATCTTAATAGAGTTTTAAGAATCTTCTTCTTTTATTGCTGTTCAGGCAGGAATCATCGAGACTTTGTTTCAAGTTTTCTGCTTGCGTATGCCAGTTCTAACCGATGACTTTATTGAAGCTTTGAACAGTTGTGGTAAGTAGTTTAGACCTTTGACCACGTATTCTTAAACTGCACAAGAGGTGGACACTTGGTCAAATAGTGGGGGGCAAACTTATTGTTTTGATAAGATGACGTCACATTTCGCCATTGACTTAGAACAAAATACCATTGTCTTCCAAATTATTGAAAGGGGGGGGGGCGGCCGCTCTCCTCGCCCCCAGGTGTCCGCCACTGAACCATGAATACTTCTAATCATGCAAAATCATGATCTGAATATGATCTGACTAAGGTGAGTAATGGCCAATGAAAGATTTGAAGTTTGCTAACGGATTACTGTTATTTTGGTTTGAATCATAGAGCTATGATTTGCGACTTGTGCTTATCTAAGCTAATTGTTATATCTAAGTTAATTTCACATCATTATGCTCATTATGAAGGGGGGGGGGGTATTTTATTATGCTCTCTCAGGTTATGTGATCCAATTTCTGAATTTCCCAAAACTTTCCTGAAATTCCGAATTCAGAACTTCTAAAAATGTATGTTGTAAACTCATCAACACAAAACTTTGTACTAAGTGGCGTGACAACTTTTCATGACGTCCTCCAGATTCTTCAGAGTTTGCATCGGGTACTCATTTGATACTGGGTGGACAAGAGGCAAGCCTCAAAGTCATTGACAGAAAACGTAACCTTCAGCACTGCAGCTAAACCGCTTTGCCACTTTGTCTCAAAGGTCATTAAAATACGTTTCTAAAGATTTGGGGGAGGCGCAATAAAATTGATTAATTGCTCAAGCAGACGTTAAGCTTTGGTAGAAAGCCATTCTTCAGATTCGCATCACGCCATTTTCATAAATCACGTGTTTCCAACTCACGTCCTTTAAAAACGATTTAACATTTATCTATCAGATTAGAGTGAACTTTCTTTAAAAGATAAGATGACCTTGAAATTGACTGAATCAGTTAATTCCTTTTCAGAAATATTCGGTTCCAGATTGTGGTATGACCCCGGGTATTGTTAGGATAATTTCTAATTGATAAGTATTTCAAGAAAAAAGCATTGTTGGAACGTCTCTGGGATCAACGTATCCCCAGTTTTAGAGTTGCGGATCGAAAGTTTTTACAATGCATCTAACATCAATGAAAGTTTAATGCGCAAGACAATTCTTATCAATAATTGATTGCGTGTTCTTTTTTCAATTCTTAATTATGAAAGTTTGCGATTGTGATGACTAAGAATCCTAAAGTAATATTGAATTAATTGAAAGCAATAATAAAGAACACGTTAAAGCACAAGTTTGCTATATAAAACACCCGAGAAGTAAACGATCACGAGTTTGTGAACTGGAGAATTTATTTACACCGCTGAACCCCACTCGGTGTCATTCCAAACTTTGGATAAGCCACATCATAGTGTCTACGAAATTTCTGCAAGTTTTTTTAGGGGAGCTTAAAAAATTCAACGTTAGATGCTTTAAATTTAGTTAGGCAACAAACTGAGGGAAGGGCTTGAAATTGGTATAACTATTTCGTTGATGTAATATGATAAGATTTGCACGTGCATCTTGTCACTGTACATGTTTATAGTAAACTACCTTCCTCTCCAGCTTAATGGTATTAGATGGTGACGCACTAGATTTTTTACAAACAATTGTAGTCTCATCTTTAGCTTACTCTTTTAAGCAAATCAGTTGGTGTTCACAAGGTCTCAGTATATTGCTTTTGCGTCATAGATCCATCACACATCCAGTACACCTGGAAGCTCTGCGAAGGGTTCATCGTTGAAGAGGCTTTGTCCCTCCTTAAACACAGAGCTTCAGGAAACAGGTTTGTTTTTGTCCTTATGAGTTCTTTAGTCCTGTCTTCATTTTCAGCATTGTCTGTATCAATTGGATGTATAGAGAGTTTGTCTTATATCCTGGATTTTTCAACAAAATGATAGGTTGGTCGTCGCTGATTGGTCAAAACAAGGGACCAATCAAACGCGCTATTTTTCCTATCATTTTTCATCTGCACCTGAACAAATTTGTACTTACCTTTGCCAAAGTTCCATTCTCTAGAGACTATCCAGCAAACCTTGCTGAAGTATCATTAAATTTTGCTCTGTTGGTGCCATCTTGAAATATTGTCATACAGAAGGCTTCGTTTCGAAGGAAACTAATCTAATTGTTTCAGCGTGCTTAGTTATAGGCTCGCCATGGTTTATTGTTCTCTAAAGTGTGCCTTTAATAATTGTTTACCCTAATGAAGTTTATTAGCCGATTTCTGTTTTAAAGACGCTTGAGAAGCAAAATAATACTTTTGCGTCAGTTATTTTTGTAACAAGACGCGTGTATAGCAATCAATCCGTTTATGTTGACCCTCGATTCACAGAAAACTAAAAAGTCCTCAGGATTTTAAGTTCAAATCACTAAATATGTACGAAATTCATACGTGGGAAACTGTTATTCAATTTGGTGTGTGTTGAAGTATTCTGTTAGGACCATCCCTCCTCGTCAGTGCCAAAAACTGGCCAATTTCTTAGAGCAAAAGCCTCTTTCTTCTTTACACATTGCTAAATCCCTGCAACCGACCTCTTACCAAATTATTGCCAGCAACAGCCTGCTTCAATTGACCTACCCGATTTTATCTTTTTTGTACAGGACAAATCTCGTTCAAAGTTACGTGGCGCTTGTTTTAAATGCATTCATTGACGCAGATCTGCTTGAGGTGTGTTGAATTTCTCATATCTTGATGCGACGAAACATAAAAACGTTAGGGGAAGGGGGTCGTAAGTTCAATACCACGCCATCTTTGTGTAGTATTTTGTAAGAAATGTATATTGTACACGCAGTGGTGTAGTGCTATCAAAATAACAAGGGGGGCTCTTGCCCAAAATGTCGCGAAAAACAATAGCAAAAGGAGAGATTTGCCAATTTTCGGCATCAACAAGGGGGGCTCAGCCCCCCCTGAGCCCCCTAGCTCTATACCCCTGTGTACACGGAGACAGGAGATTATGAGCTTAAAGATTTCCAACTGGTTAAAATAATTATGATTTTCCATGTGATTCAGAATTCTGATGTAGAGAACACCAAAGGAGTGGAATTTTACTTATATTTTTGTACTTATAAGTTCTCAGGCCAAAAATGAACAATGGTATGGAAAGCTGCAAAGCAATGTTATGATCAATTTTTTAGTATTGCAATGGTAGACGGGATAATAAGACAGCATAAACACTTATTTTTTCTACTTTTGAAACTCTGAATTTATTTTATGATTACACCAGATCAACTTTACACTAAGATCTCTGCAAACTTGACAAGCACTTGCTCTTTGATTTTGTAAATTTAGATGATTTGTGTGTCTTTTAGAGCCTGGTTGAAGTGATAACAACAAGTGATGACAAGTTGTCCATCAGGGCAACAATTCTTTTAGGTGAACTCCTTCATATGGTGAGTTTTAACTTGTGTAAAAGAAAGACGACAAATTTGAAGGTCAATTATCTTTGTGTAGCGAGCACAGACTTTTTTGACTAAATCAAAATTCTGTTTTTCACATTCAAGTGCTCCCAGTCCTTGGGGAGGGCCTCTCGTACTTCTGACTCGATTCTACCCTTCATAATGGTGCGATGAGCATTTAAGGTTTGAGTGAAAACGCTGTGTCTTCTATTTTGGGTATATTTTCCTCTGGTAAAGTCTTCTCTATTCAATGGCTGTGTTTGCTTAGCATTGCTGTTAGTGCAGCAAGGTGCCGGGTAGTAGAACAGTTTAATTATGGGCGACTACCGGTGATATGTACTGCACAGATAAAGGAGAGAAATGAATTGAAGAGCAGATGTCCTGTCCTGAGAGACGTCATCCCCCCTTGCACCTTATTGTAGATACGGCGCTCATTTTCTTTATTTTCAACGCAATCTCGTTATGGAATTTATCATATCTTCTTCCCAACTGCTTAGATTTCGACGTTGATTCATATCGACTTGTCTCTTTTAGGCAAATACCTTGCTACCCCCTGAATGCAGTGGGAGCTGCAGCGGGCATACACACTGTTTGCCTACATTAATGTCACTTGCTACAAACCTTGAGGTTTCATCATCAAAACGGGGGTAAGCTTGTTGTTGATTTATTTAAAGAAACAATTTTTTAGAATATGTATAACAGAAAGAGCTTATTTCAAAAGTAGTTAAATCAAAGTTTCTGGATATTTCATTTAGAGGAAATTTGCAAACAATCTCTTGGTGGTACAAAACTTGAAAATGGCTTTGAAAAAAGCAAACATTTAGTAAACTAAAGCTTTTCGTCTTCAGAGTTTAAAACGTCAGAACATAAATCGATCTATGTTCTGACGTTTTAAACTCTGAAAGTGTCAGAGGAAATTTGAGAGGAAGAATAAAGTTTAGCTGCATGTTCAACTTGTAGTTTCTATAATGCAAATTTAAGGTTTTTCACAACCATTTTTCAACTATACCGCCAAAATGTTTTTAGGAAATATTGTCATCACCATTTCAAATGAAAAAGGGATAGGCCACTTTTTCAGATCTTTAAGAATTTGAAAGTGGTTTCGGGAATAGTGACTGAAATAACGAGGTTTAAAATTGTAGACGAATAAGGAAATTGCTGACGTCTCTTAAGGCACACTCAACTTGAGGCTTTTGTTCTGCTGCCTCATTCATTTGATCCCTTTTTAAGTAAAGGGTGTTTTTTAAAATAAACCTTTCAGTGCCCTGGTGCTATAATTTTTTTTTACTTTAGACTCGCTCAGTGACGCCTGTCTTTTGTTAAATGTTGCCATTTTGTTTTACTAAAACACCATTTTCCCATTAAATGGCTTTGAAATATTCAATAGGATAGAGATGGCTACCAATTATTTCCAGGGCTTTCAGCAGACAACCAAATCCATCCCCCCCCCCACTTAGTAAAAGCAATATTTTAAAACTTTTTGCTTTTACTAAAATCCGCTATCTTCTTAGGAAGGCAAGTGCAGCTATTGGATATCTCGACCAGATTCACCAAGTCAAAAAACGGGGTACCATTCCTTGCAGTTTGTTTTTGGAACAAATCCTCTCCCAGGTACATTTTTTACAGCTTTTTTATGGTCTTAACATCTATAAAGCATCAATAAATCTTGTATTTGCTTTCTGCATGTATTTTATTCTGCTTCTGTGTCGCATGTATGAAATTCTGTTTGTTTTGAAGTTGTGTGTACAGGTATTTTTAGATATGTGTAATATTCTTTTCTATTCTATTCTGTTATGTTGTTGTATTGTATTGTATTCTATTGGTATTATATTGTATTCAATAATATTATATCCTTAGGTATTGTATTTCATTGTATTCTGTTGTATCGTATCGTTACGTCCTGCTTTTTATTTTGTTCTGGTTTAACATTATTTTTTACCAACTTCTTTTTATATTTTGATATTGTCGTAGTATTTTCTGTAATATTGTATTTTCTTTATTATGCAGTATAATGTTGCGTAGAATAATTTTCCTCTTGTGATTTGTTGCGTTAATGTTCGTGTTGTGTTGCTTTGTGTTTTTTGTAATGTCGCATTGTCTTGTTGTACTGTTTTGTATTGTACTGTGTTGTGATGTCTATTTTGTTTTGTTGTTTTTTGATAAAGCACCAAAATAAAGCTTATTAAAGCGAGAAAGAATTTTCACAACGTTATGAAAATATACATGTTATTTTTTCTTTGATTTGTTGACGTATTTCGCATGACTTACGACAAAACAAATTTTACTGACAGACACAGCATGAAGCAAATTACTAAACAGAAATAGTGTAGTAACCACTCTTGCAGATAAGACAATCCCTTCATAATCTATCTACAATTCCATTCAAGCTTGAGCTGTGTCTTTTTGAGCACCTTTTTTCAAATTCGACAAAAGCGATTTAAAAACCTTGCTATTATCTGCTTTTCCATTGACAATTTTCGGTCTTATCTCCCCTATTTTGTCAAAACCTTTCCTATCTCAATTCTTGAGTTGGTAATGTCATTGCCAATAAAGTATCAAAGTGTAACGTCATCAAAGATCTATTTTTATAATTTCTAAATTTTTACCATATAATTGGAAAGAACGGTATAAAGTACTTCTCAATATGCAAAATCAGTTAAATATGCTCAATTTTTGGTGAGATGTGGCCATTGAAAGATTTCAAGTTTGCTAACGGATTGCTGTTATTATTGCCTGGTAAATAGATTTCTGAACAAGACCAACTTAAGGCGGGTTTAACCCAATGGCATTCGCATTTAACCCAATGGCATGCGCATTCAACCCAATGGCATGCGCATTTAACCCAATGGCATGCGCATTTAACCCAATGGCATGCGCATTTAACCCAATGGCAGTGATTCCCCTTTGCACTGGCGATCGTGCGACCGCTTTTGGGAGTTGAATAGATTTTAACTTTTCTGCGACCAGATTATCAAGAACCAATTAGATGCTTTGTTTTCTTGTCTGGTTTACGAAAAATGCCTCATTCTCCTGTCTTGTTTTCTATGGCGCTTATCCAAAATATCAACTCCATGCTCTGCTACGCTGAGAAGAAGACGATGGAAAAAATAACAATTGATCCAGAAGTAATGTCGCTTTTACGCCATTTTCAGCAAAGTCATTCCCCTAAAGTACAGTCAAATTATCTTGCGTTTGAAAATGTCGAAAAGTTTCTTTGACAAGCTGATGATCCTCTCCCTTTTCACATCTCTCTTCACATATTTTCCTTACCCAGCATCTTACGAGTCTGCAGTGCCTTTCTCTTTAATCGCCGCCTCAACAAAATGAGAATCAAAATTTGTCGCTTTGTAATCGCCATATTGTTTACGCGCCTAATTCTTCTGGGGCACTGACAGCGATCGCGCGATCAAATCTCAAGAGTGGAAGTCAATCCTGCGATAGCAATCGAGCGATCGCAAGGTTCGCGCGACCAGATTCGCCAAAGTGGAAACCCACCTTTAGAGAGATTCGATGAGGAAAGGGCCTGTGCTTATGTGGCTCTACCTCAGCCCGCGTGTAACACATTTAATTGATTTTCCACATTTAGAGGTATTTTATAATACCTTTTTAGGTTATATGGTCAAAATTGGAACTTCTGAAAAATTGTGATGTCATCACTATTAAATATTGTTGGCTTTCTATATCTGATTTATAATGTACAGTTTCTTTCTTTTAAGGCAAACAATCCTCAGGGGAAGTCATCAAAAAGTTCAAAGGAAAAATCTGATCAAACAATTTTGCGGGTATGCCGTAACGTATGATCCCACTTATTGTTAACATTATTTCTGAGAATTCTTTGCCTATCAAACCTTTTTTGTCTCTATCATATTACATGTCTCCATCATTTAGAAACAGCTTGACTTTGCTACTTTCTATAATTATAGTAAGTAACTGCTAGTTTATAATTGTAAACAAATAACTGCTAGTTTATAATTGTTTTATAAAATATTCAGTTATATTCACACTCATTTATAAGGCCTATCATCCTAAAGACACTAAGTCCCGATTCATTTCGCTGACCATTTAAATTTCCCATAAGTTGGGCTATACAATAAAACTATTGTTAAGTACCCATTCGGCAACGTAAGGATAATTTGCAATGTTTTCTCGGTCATAAATGCACTCCAAAGCCTATTGTTAACTCTGAATGGTTGACTCACGTGACGTAGTGCCTTTAAATCCCCACTCTACTCCTTCACCTCCTCACGTTTTCATGCCCAGTCTTGTACCACACCTTGCCTTGGTCCAATCCACAAGTGTTCATAGAATCTCTTATTTTATCCAATAAGCTTTATATTTTAGGACAGTGAAGATATTCTGTCTGCTATCAAAGAATCTCAAGTGTTAACTGTCAACGAATTCTTAGCTGAGTGGGACTGGGACCTAATCAGTGCAGTTCTTGACGTATGTTATCATTTGTTGTCAACCATTTTACATCGACTAAAAGTACCTGTCTTTTTTTGCCTTGTTTGTATTCGTTTCAGGCTTCTCAAAGCGATCTTATTTACGTTCTATAAGGCTCTTTACCCTAGAGAGTCATTGTTTCAGTTCTTTCGCATAGCCCATGACAACCCCTTAGACAGTTTTTTGGAGCTTTTCCCGATATTTGCTTATGCTTGTATGTCAGCACGAGGCCAAATCATAAAAAGCAACATTGTTTATAAATGATGTTTGATTTCAACTCTGGCTCTCCACTGAGATCGATCATTCATTAACATCCATGATTCACTAGCGGCCAATCCCTTAATCGTCGGCATATTCGAGATCAGTAATGACGATTAAGTCGATTCTACGGATTTGCCTTATCTAATGTTGAAAACCGAGATCTATCTCCTTTTCGGGAAGTGCCTTACGTAGTGTATAATCTAGAACAATCACAAAGAAAATGGCAATCTCAAGTGTGTCGCCTTGTGAAGCACCAGCGTTGATCTTATAAGAATATAAGCTTGGTTTTGCGTAAATGAGCACTAATTTCTTACTCTTCAAACTGGGCGTTTTCCAGTTACATACTGGACAGAAATGTTATAGTCTGGGAAACATTTAGCTGGGAAATATTTTATGTTTAACCAAATATGGAAAAAAACTTATAATAACCTCAAAATCTGTAAAAATCTAAATTTATTTCCTTTCTTAATTCCTTGTTGCACAGTCTCCGAAGCTCTCAATTAAACGCCAAGAGGATCCAACACACATAAAGTGAGTTGATTTTTGGAAATGACGAGAAACACAAGTAAAAAGATGAGTTGTAAAAAAATTCTCGATTTAGATGTAGAGTTAAAACATTTTTATGCTTGTTTCAGATTTTATGCCATTTTATGCTTTTGTATTTTGCTACATATTTTCTTGAAGATCAAGCATACCAAAGACATTATTTAAGTAATAAAAAAATACCTCTACGATGAGTTTGAATTTTGAAACATGACCCATTTCGATTGCATTCTTGATACATTGTGTGCTTTGTGTTTTACTGTTGTTGATAAAATATTTAATCCCCCCGCCACTATTTTTTGCTGAATTTTTTCGTATCGGATTATTCATCTGCAAATAGATTCGTGCGTCGACTGCTGCAGTTTTACAAGCCCTCTAACAAGCAGTATTGCCTAATAGAAGTAGGAAACACGAGTGCAAGAAAGCTATCAGAAGTTGGCCTAGAGTTGATTGATTTCCTGTTAAGAAGGGAAGAGGTAATGCTGATTATTGTCTGGCCTACTTGTCTAGTTCTCCATTTTAATATCCTGCGGCGAGTAATTCTCAATATGTCCTGAAAATGTTATCTTGGTTGCTTCTCTCCAATTTCTTCTCCTTTGAATTCCCCTGTATTCATTCAAACTGGATGATTAACCTAGTGTTTCTGTTTTTTATCAGCAACCAGACGGAAAGCGCTTGTTGTTGGAACTTGTGCAAGAAATTAGCGATGGCCTAACAGAGGTATGTCGAGTAGTATCGTTGGCGACAAGATTTTGTAAGCAAGATAGTTTGAATGTTTAAAATGTTTACTTTAAATTGTATATTTTTGGCTACTTTTTCTAGAGTGATATCCAATTTCATGTTATGAATAAATCAAAGATTGATCAATGTTAATTTTCGAATTCCCGCGGTTTTTAGCTAGAAATAATTCTTACTAGAAGCATATTTTATCATTGTTCCTTTGGTAGTATTTTCTAATGTTCAATTAGGCTGCAGAAAGTAAATTGATATAAGCTCATTTTGACCCCGCTTTAAAAAACTGCACTTTCTCACTTTTGATGACAAATAGCCTTGTATGTGGCTTAGTTACAATTCTTCAATAATTTTGACGATTATGAAGAAGCTTAATGTAAAAACAATTTTTCGAATGAAATTGCTTCTAGATTAACCTTTCTTTCGCTCGGCTTTTTCTATGTTCCTCTTTTAGAACATTTATGAGCTCTGTCGCAAGGGCTGCTAATTCAATCCTCAACTAAAAGGCATCATGCCTCAACGAATTTCGATGACCATCTAAATTTTTATTGGTCGGCTTTACAATGGGCTATTGTTACGTTTTCCAATCAGCAACGCGGGACTAATTCTCAATGCTTTCGCGAAGATAAAAACGGCACGTTGTTATCCCTGAACGGTTGATTGACGGGATAAGATTTTTCTTGTTTAAGTTGCCTTTAAGGGAAGTTAATTATCAGTAAAAAGTTTTAGAGATCCCCTTGTAGCCAGTGATAAGTCCTTGTTAACTATTAGTCTGATTTCCTACCCCAGGCAACTTCAACTGGTCACATGATGGGAGTATTCTGCTCAAGCAGCATAAACGATACACTTGCTAGAGATTATTTTCTTTTCATTGGAAGGCTGTCGTCGACACATTTAGGCACGCGATGCTTGGAGAGGTCATCTGGTGTTTTCCAACAGTGGGTTTTTGTTACTGTCATATGAAAGATTTTATGAAATAACATACTTTTCATGATTTACATTTTGCCCAGTGGATGATGTTAAACTAAGATTTAAGACAATTGAATCAAACTATCAATAAATCGAATTTTCTATAATTCAAAATCATTTTAGTTGCTCGTGAAAGTTTGAATTATCGAGCTTTTAATGCAGTTTTTCTCGAACTTTCTTTGTATTTGATTCGCTGATGGGGTTTGTTAGTTTGGAAGTATTTTATCATGGAGACGGGTGCAATAACGGGGGTCCAAATGTCTAATTGCGATATTTTGCCATCATCTCAAAGGGTAATTTTAGGAAAATGTAAAGAAAAGTGCACGAAAGGCCAGGGGCTTTGCCATTCTGCAAGTGTCATCTTGAAACCTTAAAAGCATTTATGCTAACGACGTAACTAGTATGAATAAATGTTTGGAGCTGTTACTGAGCCCTTTTAAAGCTATCGTCGTGTATTCTTCATAACCGAATCCACTTCCTAATGGTATACGAAAGATTAAACGTTAAACATGGTTTTAGCCTTTTAGAAATATGCAGCATGAAAGAACGAGAAAAGATGTTGAAGCTGATTCTTGCCAGTTTTGATTATGGAAAGGATGGCATAGCACGGGTTATTCTTGCAAAAGCATTGACAGCAGCCCCGTTGGTATGTTTTGAAGTAGGGTTGATTTTCATTCATTGGTTTGTTAGTCAGGGACGGACACTTGGTCAAATATTGGGGGGGGGGGCAAGCCTATTGTTTGAATAAGATGACGTCCCATTTCCGATTGTTTTAGAACAAAAGACTATTGTTCTCTTAAGTATTGGGGGGCGCTCGCCTTCTCTCGCCCTCCCCCCACCCAGGTGTCCGCCACTGTTGTTAGTATTAGTTGATGGAAACTAGGGCTCGCATTTTAAGCAGATTCCAACTAGAACCATTGAATGATGGTCGTAAAGTTTTGATTGTCAGCAGGTTCTTACTGTATGATTGATTGCAGCTTGATTGCTTAGTTTGGCATATGTTTATTATAATCCCATCAGTAGCGGCGCCACAGGGGGGACTGGGGGGACACGTCTCCCCCAGTTCTCTGCAGAATCGATTTTGTATTTCGTCTAAATTCGATGAGATAATGTTGGGGGAGGGGTAATATTTTGACACCGTGCTTTTTGTGATGTAATCTTATGATTTTCAAAATCCTATGATTTTTAAACAAAAGTTAGTCATAGGCGTTCCCTTCGGATAAAATTGGCGTTCCCTGTTGGTAAAGGGGCATTTTCTGGTGGTTAAAAGGGCGTGGCTTAAATTTTTTTGATTTGTTCCCCCCAGAGCTTAGTGGCTGGCGCCGCCATTGAATCATATGCTACCTTCAACGGTATTATCAGTCTATGCAGTTTTTCTAAACCCGAAGTTATTCTTTAAGTGGCAAGTTCTTAACTCGTTAAAGTCTTTGATCACTCATGTATTGATTCAGAAACTTAAGATTTCAAGTTCATTTCTACAACATTTTAAACATTCATGTGCCCCATAGCTTTTTAAACAATATATACAAAGAACAAATTTTTAAAACTTTAACCCACTGATTAATGTGCATCTAGAAAGTTCTTATGTGAATAGCCGGAGGATGAGGTGCGGTTGCCGTCGGTCTAACCGCCATTTACCTTTTGGGGGTTTTTAGGAAGCACAGGGTAAGAAACAAGATTTGTGAAATCCTGACTTTCGAGAGAAAAGTGGCTTGGATGTGAGTGGAATGAAAATACGGGTAATAAAAAAGATTTGTGAAATCCTGACTTTCGGGAGAAAAGTGACTTGGATGTGAGTGGAATGAAAATAATATAATTCTTTTGTGGCTCCTTTTTCCTCGGCAGTCACACCTATTTTTGCAGTTGGGCCCCCGCAGTAAGGATGTTCTGCCTTAATGTTTAAGTAAACGAACCATGGAAACATTTTTTAATAAATGAACTACGGAAAATGAAAGCAGAGTGTAAGCAATGGATAAGCGGCATCAGAATCTAATAGGTTCATGCCATTAAGCAATAAATTTAATAATAAATGGTTTTTTTTGGTTATAATTATCATGCATAGGCTGTTATTTCTATCTCCATGTTGTCATACTGACCAGACAATTTTCTTTGGATTTTCAGGCCTCTTCAAGACTATACGCAACAAGGTTTATGCGGGTTCTTCTCAGAGCTAAAACACAATATTTCAGCAACTGGGGCATGGAATTACTTACCAATCAAGTAAGATTTATCCCCTGTTTGTTTTATTTTCATTCTATGATTAGTTAAATTTTACCTTTGCTCTTTTGAGACCTTAGCATGTTTGTGGACGAAATGGTTTTCTTATTTTGATAACCGCAACTCAACGTGCTTTTTCATGTGTTGTAAAGACTGACAGGGTGCTGTTCATAATAGATATAATCTTTGTAATAGAATCTCGATTGTTAAAGTTATATTGATTGGTAAATTGTAATATTTTGCTTTTTTTCATTCACATCGAGCGTCATATCTCTCAAATATCATAATTTTCAGCTTTTTGAACTCGCATATTTTCCACAACTACCCTCTTGCTTATGTTTATTCCACTATTTCTTTGCCATCGTATCTGTTGATACAATTATTTGCAGACTGATTTATTAATGTCACATTCTAGAATTTAAAATATGTCCACGTTTATAGACCTCGTTTTGTTGTTATCGGGGACATGTAAAGATTTTCAGTCACGGAAAGTCGAAGTTCATTAGGATATTTCCACGACAGAAAATGACTTTCCTTTGTAAATAGAATGAAAGTACTGTGAATCCAAATTTATCCTGTTTTCGTCAAGGCTGATTTCTACTAAGACATAGAAGGATTTAAAACACCCTTTTATCTGAACAGCTTTACGATCAGGCATCCGAGGTTGTTGCAGAGGCAATAGATGTCCTACAGGAAGCATGTGAAGACGAGGTAATCAACAGTTTTAGCTTTCTAAGCAGATACACATTTTATCTGCTATTCCACGCTTTGTAACGATAGGAAGTTGTTTGACGATTAAATAGAAGTTTTCGAGAAGAAGCTTAAAGAAAAGTGAAGTTGTGGTAATACAGTTTTCGTTTAAAGACCTTAAAGGCTCTTACGCAACCGGCATGCTTTGCAGATATATTTTCGAAATCGGCCTAATATCGTACTGTATGAAAATACCAGATGCAGCCCATTTTTTAAAGTAAAATAAACAGCAACGCAAAGCATGCCGGTTGCGCAAGAGCCTTTAAGAAGCCTGTTATACGCATACTGAAGTTTCATTCATGTCCATAAGACTATGTTTCCAATAACAAAGATATTTGATTTCATTTTTTGTCTATTTTTTGGTCAAGATTTTCTTTTTTCGTCTAAAAGTCGGTTTGTTAGCCTCAATATCTGCACCACCGCAATTATCGAGCAAAGTATGCTTAATCGTACGAGTTATTCTTAAATGTATCATCAAGTTTTCTAACTGAGCAAGGCTGAACTGGTCCTTTTCAAGAACTTGCATTTTTGTTAAGATTTTGAACTTTGCACTTAAATATTAGAGGTCCTTTAAAATCTAGCCATAAAATTGATTAAAATCTTTACCCTAAAATGGTCCGTTTTGGATCTGCGGGGATTCTGGCCTTATATTACACTTCTCTTTTCTAAAGAAGTCATTTTCTTGATTTTTTTTGGTTACATGACACGACTAAATTCTTTGAGATTTGATTGCAAAATCTTCGCCCTATGAAATTCACGTCAATATTCACGCTGAAGCCCTGAAAAATAAAGAGTGATGAATTGATAGAGTCCGCAAAGCTAAGTAAACATTGCGCCATCCTGAGCTGGTTTTCAAAATGTTATTGGTAGGTCCTTTGAAGTAATTTCAAAACAAAGAGAAACAAAATGTTAGCCCTTGATTTTTAAAAAAACATGCCCTTTTTTAACCTTGAAATTTTGGTGCTTTCTGTAGGCAGAAAACAGTGAATTTTCCAATTCCTTTGCTCATGTCATTTTAACCAAAGCGTTTTTTTGTTTAAAGGCCAATCTACAAAGACTGATCGAAATTCGACCTGCATTATTACATCTCGGGGAAAAAGGTGTAATTCTGCTAGTCCGGTAAGTGCAATCCTTGTTCTGGGTCTTAGCGATCGTTTGAATAGAAAATAACTGCTTATAACTCTTTTGTACCTGACAAACAAAGAAAGTTTATTTGGAAAGGAGTATATCATTCCTCTTTCTTAAGCGGTGTATCTTGGTTGTTGACCACTTCATCTAATATCCTCCATGAAGGGTCTACTGCAGACCTATGCTTTTGGGCCTATGCCTTCTGCGTACCTGTTTTCTGGTTTTCAGAATCTCGGCCTAAGCGAGGACAATGCTGTTCGTCGAATATGGCTGTCGATACAAAGTCGCTGCTTGCAATGTCACTCAGTTTTTTGTTATTTCTTTTACCGCTCGTTTCCGAACTGTCAATTTCTGAATGAAAAGGTTGTCCGTAAAAGTTCGGCGCAATTATAAATATTCTTTATTCAGAAAGTGGAAGGTAGTTTCAGGAAAGGTCACTTTTAGATAATTAAATAGACGCCTGTTAAGCTCACAGCAAAAACGCAGCAATCTATGAACTACAAATCTGCTTTCAAAAGCAAAAACACGTTTATATGGAACTAAGAGGTATAGATGCTTGCAAGCCAACTTAGATAAAATCGTTTTTATATGTTATATACCATACCATGTAGCTCGTTTCTTTATTGTTATCGATATTCAAATCTCATTAGCATTTCTGCTTCCCAATCGTCAGGTATTTGTCTGTTTCTCGTGGCTTCACCTATTTATCAGAAGTAGACTATGTTGAGCCATTGCTAAAGGTCTGGAAATTGGTAAGACTTCATAGTTATTATTGAAAAATGTCCAGCACACTGCCAGAAAGTTCTTTGACTTATTTTATAATCTTTTAGCAGTTGATGTTTGAATTTATTTCGGGAAACAGTGCCTGTGAAGTATTGGTGAATTGAATATATTTTGCTTTTTTTAACGAAGTAATTTGGAGCAAAATGCAGTCAGATGGCACTTTATCTCGTAATGGTTTGTCTCTTTGTATTATGGAGCGTTGTTTAATGTTTAAAGCAATGATATCCTGATAATTAAGTTGTTTTAGTTTGTTAATATCCCTATTGGATTGAACAGAGACTTTATTCAACCATTGCTAAACAACTTCACAGTTGCTCATGAGCTGTAAACATTATTCTGTTACAATCGAATTCTTATTATTTAAAAATAATATTGATATAATGATGGTACAATTTATTTAAAGTTGGCTAGAGAAATAGCCTGTCCTAATAAAGGCCAGCTTCACCCTATTTACAATGTTTTTTAAAATTTATCGATCAAATCCAGCTTCTGATTTTCTCGTTTAATTTAAAGTTTTTACTTGTGGGACAGCCTGATTTCATGATATTTCGATTCGATGAAAGTAACTTTCAATTATGTTTCTACTTCCTAGTCTTATAATCTGGAGTACGTTCATTGGATTGAAAACGAACTGGGAGAGGCACTCACGCTATTCCAAAAGCTGGCTGACAACGACAACTATATTCGGCGTTCGTTAAATGACAGGTAAGCACCTACGTATGTTAGTTGCACAATTCTGAAAGTAGCGGCTATGCAATTATGACTAGACATAGTGCTGGGCTCTTGTTTTACGCGTAGATTTAGTTGCTGTAAATTTATATGTGATTTTTCTAAAACTAAGCCATATTCTTTACATGCACTAACTTAGGCGCCAGTACGTCCCAAAGTAGTTGCTCGAATTCTTTCCCCCTTCTGCATCCCGCACCGCTCTTCTCCGCACCGCTCTTCTCCGCACCGCTCTTCTCCGCACCGCTCTTCACCGCGCCGCACTTTCTCTTCAACTCACCTCACCCCCGGAAACTCGCAACGAAGCTCTGTCTGGTACAGCACATAGACCTAGATTCGATGGATGTTTTCTTCTTTTATTCAGAGGGTCAATTCATCCCTTTTCAGGCCAAATATCTAATGTTAATTCCAATCTTGAAGGGCTTACAGGGTAGTGCAAGCGTCTGTAAAGTGCGGCTGTTTGCTGTGATAGTGCCAAAATATAAGGATTCACGTAGTGGCGTTTTAGTGTCAGAGGCAAGCATGCCAGATTTAAAAACCAACATATCGTGAGTTTGCGGTGTATGGATTGCAATTAAATCAAGTAAATATTATATTAAAAAACATTCGCGTATCACTTTTTTTAAATTAATGTTTCGCCTCAATTTGTTTAGACTATCCAATAAAGATGTATTTGTCATACCACATCTTTATGGCGAGTTGGCTCAACATCGAATGGGTATTAAACTAATACAAGACAAGGTATAGTATTTCATTGCTAGCAGCTTGTCCTTTTCTTCAGGATGCCTGGGTTTTTGGGACTTTTCAAAAATTATGTTTTGCAGTTGAATATGAACCTGTCAGAAGGACAAAAGAGATACATCCGGTACAGCAGAATGGCAGTCAGTCCTTTTAATATGCAGCAATCAATGAATTGTCAATGGTCGAAAATCAACGGCTAGTTCTTAGAACTCCGGGTTCTTATTCTTAGAACTCAGAATGTGGTCACTTCCGCGTTTAATGCACCGCTTCTTACTTGTTTGTGGCTTAATCGGGAAATGCAATAGCACTTGATTATTTTTAGAAATGTATCTAAAAATGCTTCATAAGCTTTATTTTAAGGGGGTAACCTTATTGCAAATAAATTTATTTAATCAATTTTTGGTGGTACGAAAAATTAAAAATGGTTTTGAAAGCGCATATTTTCCGTGACATGCTAAAGCATTTTTGTCTGACACTCTTCAGTGTATAAGACTTTGGAAAGATGGTTCAACATGATTAAAAGTTCTATAATGCACAACCAGTTATTCTGACGACCTATTAAAGTAAAAAAACTGAAGATTCTAGTAGTTGATCGAAATCTCCAACTGATATTTATGAAATAAAAATCGAATGAAAACAAGCAACAGGTGTTTGTTTTCGTTGCGCCAAATGCCTTTGCAATTTTTAAAGGCTGAAAGAATTATTTCGGGGAAATCAGTTAATGCTTTAATCGATTACCTTATGTAACATAACAAAGGATGTGTCAGTTGGCTATTTTTTAAGAAGGAAGAAATTTTGAAAATTCTTTTTTATGTTCGAATGCATTGTAATAATACGAAATATATCAAATCTTGTCATATTCACTTTTACATGATGTTAAATCTGTGTTTTTATCTTGTTCAGGGATTCTTGAAAGATTCCATCAACACCATCTTATATTATTCTCTGGAAACAGCGAAGGATATACTAAACATGAAGGCTGCACTATGGGCGTTGGTAAGCGTTTTCAATTACAGCTGGGTAGTAACGTGGGACATTTATGTATGAAAATAATAAGAACAAGGACAGAGTCCAGAAAAGATTACGGTTCCACGGATAGGGAGCAGTAGTTTTGAGGAAGGTTTTGAGGATACAAAAATTGACAATTGTGCTTGCATTTTTCTTTTTCCCTGACAAAACGTGAAAACAAAACATCAGTTGATTTTACTTAAATTCTATTTCTGAGAAATTCTTAATCAAAAGAAACAAGGAACATTTTGAGCAAGGACAAACTTCTTTCTGGAGAAGGTTGTGGTATTTTCTGAACTCTGAACATGGAAAACATTGCAAAATGGCTTTGCATTTATTTTGTGTGGTAGTTGAATTCTATTAGCCTCTCTGAGGTTATTTAAGCTTTGTTACGACTCATCCATTGCACAACCAAGGGTTTTAACTAAGATGTAGCTCTAATGGAGTTATGATTTTTGAGGTATTTCAATTAGCTACCAAATTTGAAATGGCGGAAACAACGGATCATGCTAAAAGTACCTTTATCTCGTGGATGTTAGGGAATGGGGGGGAGGGGGTTTCTTGTAAGACTTTAATTGGCATGTAGCTTTAGAGAGCCACTTGCCAATCAGATTGTTTTTTTTGTTCAAGTTGCTCTCACAGTTAATTTCAAACTCAAACAATTTTTTGTACTGAATCATTTCCATTAAATGCTGACTTCCTTTTTTGCAAACAGGGCCATATCGGATCAACTAGCTGGGGCGTCGCCTTAATCAACCCAGTTCCTAGACTTACGACTCCAACTGACACAAATTTCGACGACGATGACAGTGTGTTAGAGGATGATTACATTGACATTATAAAAGAAGTTGTCCAACTGGCGCAGGAGTGTGAGGTCTTGACTGTTCGAGGGTATGTATATTAATATGGAATATCGATATCATACCTTAATACCAATATTTGGTCATGTTGGTCTTGTGAAATATAAGTGTGGTTTAGCTTGTGCTCAACAAAACTTGTTTGACAGCAGAAAAATTCTTGGAAACAGCAACACTCGGCGGGTGCCTAACCTGTTTTTGGATTTATTATAGTTTATCTTCGTTTTTGGCTGGAAAAAGCTTGTTTTTAGATGTTGAAGAAAATTGTCAGAAAATCTTGCTAATTGCCTACCCTAGGATGAAGGTTCCACTCTGTCCCTAAGCTTCTGGATAGACAAATCTTATTTAAACATTTTGGAACCTTTTCATTTTAAGACAATTTCCACAACGAGTGTTCCTTAATTTTCATTAGATTATAGTGTGCTCTTGATGTTGGCTTCCAAGTATGGGCAAAACCTTCTTTTATAATTTTGGCTCAGTGTTGATAATTTTATTTGCCACGTTGTTAGAAGAACGTTTTGACAAAATCTACGTGATTAGCATGTTTTGAATCGTTCCCATTTCTCTTTTAATCAATACATACAGCACTTACAGCTACTATGCTACTACGCAGCTTTATTTGGGCCTTTCCCAGTTCCCTTATTGCCAATACCCATTGAATAGGCATGTCTCAAATAGTTGGGCCTAAGGAATTTTTAAAATTAGAATTTTCTCTTGATTGACGCAAATCTCTAAATTGTGCCAATCATATTAACAAGATTTAAGTAGTCTAAAACATTTGCTCTAGATCTTTTGAATTTCATTAAGTTTTGCAGTGGCGCTGGGACTTGAGATTCTTAAAATTATTTTATCTGACTGTTATTTTATCTGACCACAGAACCTGCTTCTATGTGCTTGGTCTTATTGCAAAAACATCACAAGGTGCAGATCGCCTAGAAGAGCTTGGCTGGGAATGTGTGAGGCATCGAGGAGCAGAAACATGGCCTGTCATTGAACAGGAGGTTGCTTACCTAGCCGATGATTATATGAGTGAGGAGGAATGCGTTGGGAGCGAGTCGGGTGACGAGGCAGATGAAAATCAGAACGGTGCAAGCTCGACCTCAGCAAATGATCGTTACGGGGGTGTCTACATGGGCGATGAAGTTTCAGATTTCTGTGAGCCGTATCATACAGAAGCGTTTGAATATACCCGGATAACACTGGGTGAAGACAGAAAAGGCAAGGGGAAAAAGCGAAGCCCTGAAGATGAAAAACTAAGTGAGCAAGACGAGAAGCGAGCAAATTCAGATTTCAAAACGCGTACGTTCAATATTGATGATTCTGGAAATTTCACGGAGCAGTCAGTAAGCTTGATGAGTGGCCTAGAGCGTATTGTTGGCTCAGGTACTACTGCAAGCATTTATTTAGGCGGGGAGGATACAGCGGTGTTTTCCAAGCAAGATTCGCGCGAAAACTTGATGCAAACGCTTGCAAACTTGGAAAAGCAGCAGTCCTCAAGGTCAAGCAGCAGTGAACCGAATCTTTCTATGTTTTCAAAAAGCACGCCGAAGAAAAACGGCATTGATATTCGTGAGGCAACGAAGGAGACAAGAAGCGTTTATGGAGAGGGTGGAATCTACCTGGGTGAGGAGGAAATTGAGGAAGAGCCGAGAAATGAAAGAGAGGAGCTTTTGTTTGGAAGCAAATGGTTTGCACCGAAAGCACAAGACGAGCGGGAGCCGCCGCAGAAGGAAAACGCCCAAGGAAGCGCAAGACCACAGCGTTTTGAGAAAATGTTTTCAAGTGAGCTTCAGTTAGACAACTTACGACCCATCCGTGAAGTAGACAGCAAAGAAAATATCCCTGATAATTTGAGAAGTCCTACGAAAGACGAAGTCGATGGATCTATCGCACAAACTGTTAAAAAATCTTCTTTTATTGATATCCAAGGTCAGAATGGAAGAGAACAGAACGGCAACGAAAGAGAGTCATTTTCTATGCAACCTGATTCTTACACAAGTCAGTATAGTAGCTTGCCAAGTGAGAATAGTTCTAGTAGACAAAGTCCGATTGATTTCCGTCGAAGCAGCAGCCTCGAGATTAACGGGAATGATGATAAACGAGGCCGAAGTCTTAGTCTGCCCGCACGAAAAGACTCACTAACCAGCACGCCAGGTTCACGAAGCGCAAGTTTCTCCGGTGTTCCGCAAAATATCCCTGCACTGCTGCATGGTCGATCCGAAAGTGATCCGGGAATGAGTGGTGACTCGCATGCAGAAAGCTTTAGTAGTCAAGACAGCGAAAAGGAGAGGCTTGCTGGTAGACGGATAAAATCTGGAATGAAATCGAAAGAGGCGTCAGTCATTAACGAACGACGGATATGTTTCCTGATCCTACTTCAAAATTAGGTCTTAGAGAACGCAGTGACAGCGACGAACGACGCTCAAAGAACTATTTGCTGGATGTGAGCACCGCATCAAGAAAAGTAAGGCGGCCGCGCGGAAATACATTCACGCTTAGTGTAAGCCCAGCGTCTTTTAGAGTTGGGTCGGTTTCAAGTTATTGCGAATCGCCGGTTGTTGCATCAGCAAGAGACGGTTTGGGTTACGCTGCGTGGACTACACTCCGTAAACAACGAACGTTTAGAAAGGAAATTGATCTGAAGATTCAGCAGTCGAGTGCTGTAAGTCCTTACCGGCAAATTATGGAAAGACGAAACCATAGGCGAGGGTAAGTGTTAAGTGCTATTTCGTAGCATAGGTTCCAACATCTTTGATTGGCAAATATGTAAAGAACTTATCATTAAAGTGAGTTCATGTTTGCTAATTATGTAGGTTTAACAGTTTTTAATGTTTCATGTTTGTTGTCATTTTTTCTAATTCTGTCATAATCATAACCATATCATATCATATCATATCATATCATATCATATCATATCATATCATATCATATCATATCATATCATATCATATCATATCATATCATATCATATCATATCATATCATATCATATCAATCATATATCATATCATATCAATCATATCATATCAATCATATCATATCATATCAATCATATCATATCATATCATATCATATCATATCATATCATATCAATCATATCATATCATCAATCATATCATATCATATCATATCATATCAATCATATCATATCATATCAATCATATCATATCATATCATATCAATCATATCATATCATATCAATCATATCATATCAATCATATCATATCATATCATATCATATCATATCATATCATATCATATCATATCATATCATATCAAATCATATCATATCATATCATATCATATCATATCATATATCATATCATATCATATCATATCATATCATATCATATCATATCATATATCATATCATATCATATCATATCATATCATATATCATATCATATCATATCATATCATATCATTTCATATCATATCATATCATATCAAATCATATCAAATCAATCATATAGCATCATATTTTTTCCAATAATGTCATATGATATCATATCATATAGCTTATATCACTTTGTAATGTCATTACTTTTCAGATATAGTTCATCATTCAGCACAACTGATTTCCCGCGCATTAACCATCACGTCAGCATTCCTTCTTCCTTGTCTCAACTGCCATACATTGTCACGAGGCGGCACTTCAGTAACACAACATCGATAAGCAGCACAGGCAGTGAAAACTTTCCTGCAGCAACAACAACTGAACCAGCAGTCAACACTGACGATTATGTTGGGAGATGCATTCCCATTCAATTGTACGACATTCTGCGGGTAAATAAAACTTGTGTACAATTTGTCTGTTATATAGAGGAATGTATTGTGGTATACTTATACCTCTCTATGCCATAGAAATTTCATTGTACAGTAAAGAGCTTTAATGAAGAAAGAAAGAAATGGCAAAAATTGTGGACCAGGCAAAACGAAAATGATAAAAACTCTGCTAGATCTTAAGTGCTTTGGAATTGAATTCAGATACTATGTCCTCCTTTTGTTTGAATTTTATTTGTACTGTGTGTTTTATGTTTTTAATCGTTGGCTTCCTTATTCTGCTGATTTAATACGAAGAACAACTTGTCATGATTCTAGCTAAACGCATACGAGTACAAAGGCTCTTGGGCTGCGAACTTCGATCAAGAAGGGGAAGATTGTGGCAAAGTAGTGGGGGAAGATTTTCCTCACATCGAGGGTCGATGTCTGCATTGCCTCACATTATCAAGATCTTCTTCGCGCAATTCAGTGAAGTCACGGAAAACCCTAAAGGAAAAAGATGAAAGAAAGAACTCAAACAACCTCCGAGATCGATCAGAAAACGAGTTTCCTAAGAAAAAATTTTCAGCGTCTTCACTTCCCCAGATTGATCCTCAATCGGAAGACAGAATTCTTGTTCACAAAGAGGTTCTTCGACTGATTGTAAACCTCAGCAGTTCCGTTGCATCGAAAGCTTCTCAACAGGGACTAATAACGTAAGACTTTGATATTTTAGCACTCTGCGGAGATTTACTAGTAGATGGTCTGCTATAGCCTGCCTGAGAAGTAGTGTTGACATAATTTACGACATATGATGATTGAAGAACGAATGAGAATATGCATGAGCAGTATGACTTAATCGATTGTAAGTTAATAAATCAAAAACAATATCATATAGATTTTTTCATGTTAATGTCAAGAGAGATTTTCCTCTCTAGCCTTTAAATATGACATTCCGAGAAATATGACATTAATCGTGTATTTTTAAAGATCTGGGAAATTTGACATTGATTGCTTGTAAATTAAAATCCATAGCAATATGACAATTATTGTATGCAAGGAGGAACTCCAGAACAGTGTCACTTTCCTTGTTTGTAAAGTAAATACTTCAGAGCATTATGGCATTGGTTGTTATTCCAGTCTACATAGCATAACGGCTTCTTTAGCCATTGAGTGGCCATCCACGATACCGATGACATCTCACTTTATTTTCCAGGCTCAAAGACCAGTACCCATGGGCATTCGAAGACCTTTGCCTGTATTCCCAGATGATGGATCAATTAGGCACGTACACTTTCCGCCTATCTATGCGAAGGTTCATTCAGGCAATGTTTGAAAATATCAACTACATCTCGGTAAGTCGTTTGCTTTAGAATTACACTGCTGTTTTTGTTTACTGTTGTTTTTCTGTCTAGGAAATTTCGGATAAATAACTACAAAATCTCAACACTGTATCATGAAAATTGGATAGAGATCGGATACATTGCAATAATATTCGATTAAACTTCTTTGAGATAATTTGTTGTATTTATAAACGACCTTTTCTTTTTGGTGGAAGAGACTGAAATTTGCAATTATGCAGTTGCTTGCTACTGAAATTTTTAAAACTTAAAGGAACCTCAACCCAAGTTTCATGAATGAAATCTTTGTCGAGAAAGATACTCCATACACCCTTCGTAGTAGCAGCAATATTTTGGCGCCAAAACCAAACACAACTGGGTATGGTATTGAAAATAAATGCATGTTTACTTGGAGCGAAGATATGGCATACAATGCCATCTCCCAGACATCGAATAGCTTCAAAAGAGACATTAAAATCCATCAGTTTGACCTCTTTGTTATTAGACTTATCCTTGTAAGTTAGTTATCAGCAACGTGTATTTAAGTTTTGGTTGGCATTAATTAGCAAATTATTTAGCTAGACGAAAAGCCAACCTGAAATAAAGCAATTCTTATTGTTATTATCATTTATTTAAATTCGCACACAATGCGAGGAGCTGAAATGTCTTAGCAGATTTGAGAAAGTCGTGAAGCGGTGACGTCGTTAAATTTTGTTTTGCGATTTTTCAAATATCAGTCAAGTAATCTGGAAAAACATTGCATAACACTTCAAAAGGTTCTAAATTGTCCATCCCATCAAAAAAGGGTTTTTAGCCACGCCAGAAATACTGTAATCGTTTAGTAAACATCATGGTTTTTATCAAGCGTATTTCAGGCAGTTTGAAAGCAATTAACTGTTCTTGCGAATTTGCCAGTTTTCGAGGAGTTCTACCGGATAATTTGGTCCAAATTAAATATTCTATGAAAAAGACTTTCATTACATCATCTCTGTGTTAGTTTCCTTACTGGGTATAGCTATCAATGCAACATTCGCCCCAGTGGCCATAAAAGAGGCACTGAAGTTACCAAAACTCCCTGAAAGAATCACTGTAGCAAAATGGATAAAACCTTGTTCAACATCGTATCTTCGCCATGTAATAAGGCAAACAACCTACAGACATAAAGCTTGATTAAATATAATTTAATCACGGTTAGGATGTGACGGGGTACGCTTTTTCGGTGCCCCTTAGGCTTACATTTTTGGCACAGATAGCACGATTGTGGAGTCTGTGCCCATTGTACTCGAGTGAGTGCTCGAGTGAGCCTTACACTGTATCTTTTATACTGCCAAAGCAACAAGCATGCAAGTGTGCATTAGCCTTGGGTATATAAACTCTATGTTGGCGTAATTTCTATTTGTATGTTAGCTTTCTATTTTTGTTGTTGGTGCATTCATCAAAGGCCAAATGTCTTGCGACTTTTGCATGAACATGATGTTGCTTAGTCGGCAGAAGAAGGCCGTTGTTTGCCGTCTTTGCGATTGGCGCAACTACAAGCCAAAAATAAATGGTCCTAATGACGAGAGAATGCCACCTTCAGTCTTGTGATTGATAATGATCAATTATTCTGAAAACCATCTTACCTTCATTTGCTAATAATTTTCGTATGGTGTTTATGACCATGTTTGACCATGTTTGAAGCGTATGGTGTTATGACCATGTATGGTGTAATGACCATGTTTGAAGCGCTGACTAATAACAGACTGATTTCTCCCCAAATTATTCCGCACATGTTCCCTAGAACCTTGAAGCTGCGAAGAAAAGAATGACCGTAAAGACGAATGCGTCCTGCCTAAATGTCTCAATAACTAGTTGAGGCCAAGCAATAAGCAACATGTTTGCAGTCATTTTTTATGCCCAATTTGTGATTTGCTTATTACTTGCTTTCATACCAACATTCCCCTCCCCCGGGACTTCGTTCGTCCTGTCACATTGTTTATCTAGTGTAGGTAGAAGAAAACGCTAGCTATTGTTTTGCAAACCTTAGAGTGCCATGCTTCTTAGAATGTTTTTATAGCAATAACAACAGGTTATAAGAATCCTAGCTGCAATAATTTCCTATGATATAATATTGCCAGTAGCTATGTCAAGATCCTCCGAGATTCACTATGAAAATGATCATTGCTCCCCTCTCTGCCAATTTGAACATAATGCTACCCACTGTTGAGGCAGCTCATATCAACTCTTGACCCACTTGAACTATGGGATACTTCAAACTGCTCACAGGTTTACATGTTCATGAATAAAAAGCTACTTGTTTTTGCTTCATACTTCCCTGTAAGAGAGAATATGGAGAAATTCGTTTTTTATTGTACAACCTCTTCCCTTTTATGCCAGTACATAATCTTTTCACAATTTTATTGCAGGTTTTCCATCAAGCGGATGCCATTCTTGGTCGCACAGGAGATCGATGATAAGATTTGCAGTGTTGTTTATGGCAGTGATAATTTTTCGAGGAGGCAGTCAAGTGCCTGGATATAAAATGCGTTGGCAGAAAAGGTGCGAGAAGCTGGTTGCTAGAGCTTCTAGGAAGGAAGTTATAATTCATAAGATCGACAAACGAAAATGTATACCTATTTAACTAGAATTAAAATACAAAAAACGCAAACGGTTGCCTTGCAGCTTGTTTTCCCAAGCTGCATGTATTTCTATGCTTATTTTGATATTCTGAGTGCGTATATTTTCTCCTTTTGCCTCAAATTTTTGGCATATCGTTGACGTCTAATTAAGGACCAGTTTCTAAAGTAGCAGAATACCTTTATTTGAAACTTAGCCGAAATGCCTTCAGAGTCAAAGGATAGTGCCTCCTTTAGTACAATGCAATACCCCCTTGTGACCAGAGCCCCCTTTCCAAAATAAAATAATTTCATTTCCATTACAACCGGCTGGTAGGTTTTACCAAGCAGATAGAATTTTCGGAATGATCGATGCATGCCTCGTTGTCATGTTCCAGTGCATAACTGACATGGTTGTTTGAAGTTACGTCATTTGAGTTTATGCAGGCTGATAGTAAATTTTTTGCCTTGATCACATGTTAATTGTTTGCCTCGATGACATTTAACTTTGACTTGCTACAAAAGTATTGCCAATTCACAGCTCTTGATATTGTAAAATAACTTTTGTTTACGTAGATTTTCCATTGTGCAGAACAAATATTTTTACCTTTACATAATTTTTTTGTTATGAATTCCATCCTTAATGCTTTATTTTTCGAGTGTCCAAAGTCAGTAGTCGCATGTGATTTAATTGAGTTATTTCCATTTTTCGCATATAATTCCACCCCTTCATAATGACACTGCCGCGCAGCTAGTTCCTTTAAGACGTGCTAAATTGTCATCTTTCAAAAATATTTTTCGTTCTTAATCCTGGTGGCTGAAAATCTGAAGAACAAAATTTTCAACTCAAAGGACATGTCTTCATTGCACCACGTATTAACTAAATATATTGCATTTTGCCAGGATTTCTCTCGACTTTAACTTTTCGGTCGTAAAAATGGAAATTTGTCTGGAGAAAAAAATCCTCTTCCTCAGTGCTGATAACTTGCTCTTGTGTGAAGCATTTTTGTTGGTGATTTGATTAATATGATATTCTCCCCCTTTTTTTCCTTTGAAAGTTAAAGAGAGCAAGAAACTCCAGGCAGTGATTTATGAGCTTGATAGTCCTAAGCGAATTAGGTTCGTCAAGGAGATCAAACCTTTGATACAGATTCAACATAGACAGATAGACAGAAGTTGTTTCTATTCAACCCCTTTTCCACTAATAAGGATCATTTATAGAAACAAAAATAAATTACGAAAATGATTTAAGCTTGGTATAATTTGGTAAAGATTTACATGGCAAAAGACAGCCGCCTTGATAAAATATTCTTTTCTCTTGAAGTAAAGATACTAAAGTTAAGTGGCTCCACATTTTCCAATATATTAACTTGGAATTAAAGGCCATAATGGACTGGTGAAAGTTCTATATAGAATCTCAAAAATGAGTGTGAATTAACATCACCGGCAGAATAAGATAATCTTAGCAATGAAATTATTCTTTAACATTAAAAAAGAGAATTAGATTTGTGTGAATTAATGGTTTCCGGTAACTTTTTGCACGCTACCATCAAATTTTGATAAAGGATTCATAAAATTCGAAGTATGTTCATTTTCTTGCTATTTTCTGTCAACAGTTGGATCCCGTCGTGCCCCAGACATTTCGGACTTTTACAAAGTCGGACTGACTTTACATTCCAAATGGGTTTTCCTAGACCGTTTCCAAATGGAAGCCTGTGTCCTACGTTATTCAACTCACAAAGCTTCACTTAAGATCTGCTTACAATCCATCGTTAACCCCGGACATCTCGGAATTTTACAAAGTCGGTATGATTTTAGGTTGTCCAGCGTTATTCGTCACAAAGCTTCACTGAATTTCTTTTTACAATCCATCGTTAAGAAGCGCTATCAAGTTTAATCCCGTTTAGTTGGACCTCCAAGGGGGGTAAGGGAATATTTTGAACTAGCGAATGCCTGAATTAGGCGAATCTTCTTGACTTGAATGTTTAAGCAAAGTTTTAGCAAAAAATGTATTTGGGGAAAATTGACTGTTCGGTGGCAGATTGAAACAAAGATTACATCAGGGAATTTCCATTGCAAGTTTCGGTGCATCTTGACATTCAATTCCTACATACTTGCAACTGCTCGAGCTGTTCAGTTGTCTGTAGAGGCCCACCCAGTTGTAATTTCCCGCCAATTCCTTTCACAGTCTTCACCAGACCGAGGTTATGGTGGAATATGTTGCTACTGCGCTGTCCTATTTGCCTGTTACTTGCATGCGCAACTCTCGGTGCACTATCATGATTGATCCAAAATTTAATAATTATTTTAGAGATAACATGGAGCTTCATCTCTAATGCTTTCTGCACTAAAGAATTTCTTTTATTCGTCAGTATTTCAGCCACCTGTTTAGCGATTTTGTGAATTCATTTGATTTGTGTTATTTCGCAGTGATTTTATTGTGATCCTTAATGATTTCAGGGAAATTTTATGTACTAAAAAAACAGTGTTTTGCCCCTTGCAGGTGCATTGAAATTGGCATTTTAAGACCTAATGCTGTTTTTCCCTGCTCGTATGTTGTCGAAAAACCTCTCATATTCATAGATATAAAAGAAACTTGTTTATTTTGGAGATCTATGCTAGTTTGAAGAGGTTAAAGGGTTAAAGTCAGCAAATTGGTCTAAGGCTAAAACTGCCGAACCAGAAACGATGCAAAATCTGGTCTTCCAATTGTCTGATGCGGAAAATCAATCTGCAAAACGGTACACTATTTTTTTATCAAGCCAACTAACTATCCTTTCTCTCTTGAATGCTAGATATGAATTATTTTATGTCATTTTCCCGATGGACAGTAAGATTTTAAAATAAGATTGCAACTTAATGTTTATATAAATCGTAGGTTCGAAGAAACACTTTATAAGAGATCATCCCTCTACGCTTGAACGGCAAGCTTCAAGATCTTACTACATGTCCTAAAAGAACAACTAAAATACTTCTAGTTATGCAAAATCAGTTAAATATATCAAAAGTCGGGAGAGATATGGCCATTATTTTTTGCTCTGTGCGCAAAGATATGACCACCGACCAAATTACATAGGTTTGATGGGGAGAGCACCTGTGCTCGCGTTGCCATTTCTCAGCCAGTTCTTAACACATTTACATAACTGATTTTTGCGCATTGTATCATTGTACCCCTTCAGGTAATGGGATCCAAGTTCAAAAATTCTAAAAATGGGACGTCATCACTTGTTGTCTTTCCTAACATCACTAAACTGCGACAGCTTGTGATTTGATACCATTGGGACGTATTTGCTCTTTGTAAAGCTCGCCATTGAAATGTGAAAAGCTTGCAACACCTAGAATGCAGGGTGCACATGCTTTGCTAAAAAATGAGCAGCAATAGAAGCACCAAGTCCAAAATATCGTTTGTGAAGCATGGTTAAAAATGAACAGGCACGTCATTTGCTCATGACTAAAATTCAGTCGTTTTACTACAAACATTGAGAAATGTACCACTAGCATCGCGCGGTAAAGGGGGGCGTTGAGCTGCTGCCCCTATGGCTGCTGGCTGTTGGCTGCTGGTGACTGAAGATAGCCTTTCCGACCTGACACATCAATGTTAGGCCTGAACGTTCACCACGCTTGATGCCCTGAACAAGCTGGAGTTTTTGACAAGTATGGCAATTTTGCATTTTATTGAAGTATATAGCAATTTGAAAGAATTCTCGACCATTACTGTCTTGTAATCGCTTATAAAAACATTTCATTTTCGAGAATGGACTAATTGCATAACGCAGTTTAGGGCATTTTATTTCGATAACAGAGGGCCCCCGACCAAAAGAGGCAAAAGAGGCGTCTAAGACTTTGCTCAAAGTCGCCTCATTTTCAACAAGTTTTGAAGTTCAACTAGGCCCAACCCAAGTTAACGAGAAAAAAAACAATTTTACATCTTGCTTTCGTGGTTGACATCCTGTACATCATTGGGTGGGACGCTTGTGCCATCCGTAAATAGGGGCCCCGTCTCTGTTTTTTCTTCAAGGCCCCATATATCTCTTAGGGCCCCATATACACTAGGGTATCAAAAGTATTGCACCATCTTGCTCAAAATTGCGGCACTTTTTGTCGACTTTTTGACAATGCAAAACATTTGAATGCATTAATTTGCTGAATTAGGCGCATTTTAAAGCAAACTTTGGCGGGAAAAGTTCGCAAGTTTTGCTGACGCCATAGAAAACTTAGTTAGAAATGTATATAAATTACGCGAAAAAATTTTTGTTTGTAAAAATGTAGACCATGCCTGAGCAAAAAAGAAATTGTCACATGAGTGGCGAGTCGCTTCAAATATTTCGAGGAAGTGGACCAAATTAGATTCCGCTACACAACAGCTGTGGAAAATCAAAAAATATGTTTCGAAAGTGTTACAGTGGTAAAGAAACCGAGAAGTGGGTTACCAAAAAAAAGTTGATGTCAGAGGGGAAAGAATTTGTCTGTTTCATTTTGCTGACTTTACACCAACGGACAGTAAAAGGCACGGAACTCGACACTGAGCACGGTTTTGCAGTTCAAAATCCGCACAAATACAAAAGATTTATTTTTATAAACTATTTTTATAAAGATTTATTTCCATGAAAAAGAAGTTAAAGCTTTGGCATAGCCAGAATCAAATCCAAGTTCTATCATCACTAAAAACGTTTGACTTCAAATGAAACACGTTACAAGTCATAATCCAAATGGTCGTCCAGAAATCAGAGAATCTTAATTGAAAGAATTTTCGAGCCACTGGAAAATGGAGACTGACAATGATCATGCCAAAAAAGGCATGGCTGTAGATGTCGGCTAGGGTGGGCAAACTCGAGCAAGAACCGTTCCTGAGGGGGGCAGGCTTTAAAACAAGAAAACAGATATATAGCAAGCAGATATATTTGGATTGGACTAAATTTAGCTCACGGGAATATAATTATGCCGAATTTTCAAAATATCATTCGGAAAAATTGTAGCCACAGGGGGCAAGTCGTTGTCAAAATTTTCATTTGGGAGCACAGCCCGCCCATACCCCCCAGCAGAAAGCAATCTTTTAGTGCACCCTTCCCTGACAGCGCTACTTACCATATGTCTTCAATTTCTCCTCAAATTATGAATTTCATTAATAAGTTCATTATAGTTCATTTCATTTGCCAATTCAATTCAATTTCAATACCATTTCAATGATATTTGGCAATGTCGTGTTAAGGTTCCCTTTTAAGAGAAAATTTGCAAGTTGAATTTCGTGTTAATTTGAAGTTTTACTGATACTGTAACAAATGTTTGGTGGGAAAGTAAAAGTTGAATGCCTGTCCCTTTCAAAATTCAGTGATCCGTCGTGATGGCTTTATCAGTAAGCCAGTGCGTCTTTTGGTTTCGAATGACAAGTTTCTATTTCCATTGAAAATTGAGAACGGTGTGTAGAGTTTGTGATGATTTATATCTGAACTCCTCCAACTTTCGGTAGGGCAGAAGCTACAGAATCTGAAACCAACAATAAGCTTGGAATGATTCTGAAGATTTTCTCTAGGTCTGTCTAATGAAATGGGAAGGCAAATAAATACAAGGGCAATTATTTTTTTAGCTACCAGAATCTCATCGCAACGAAAGAAAAATGAATAAAAAACTATTTATCTGTAGAAAGGAGAGGATAGATGCAAAATAAACATCGTTTCCATTTGAGTAAATTAAGTAGATATTTTAAAAAGAAGTCACTTTCTTATAAGATTTTGGTAAGAAGGCAAGTGTTAAAGAAATACTAATTTTCAACAAACGGGGGTCAAGTTAAAGAAGAGGGCAGGGGGCATGGCTTCCACACCATGAAATTGCAGTCGATTGATAACCAAACTCTTTATTATAATTTTAGGCTCCTGAAAATCGTAGCTTCATAAACTTCTATCTATAAACGTAAGCGTATCATAAACTTTGAATCATTAACCAAATATTTCTTACTGATTTTCGCCGTTTATTATTAGACGATTTTCCACAATTCTACTCAATACGCTGAATTTGCTGGACGTTTGAGGCACAAACTGTAGAACAAGTGGAATTTTGAGAAATTTTTGATAGAATGTTTTTAAAAGCATCTCTGTTCTTTGCTTACATTTCAACACTCACACTCACCAGAACTTCCTACGACCCCTTTTCAAGATACTTTGCTTGTGCACATGCACAATATGTTTCAAAATAATATACAATGCCTGCCAAAAATCTTGGAACACTGACGTCAATTTCCAAGGTCAAAATCAATCATCCCCCTCTCCCCTACAGAACTATGTTGGTTCACTATTAGACGGGTTAGGATTGTAGGCAGCACTTTCTTTTGCGCTTCTTTTATGATTTTACTTTAAATTATCAACATTGTTTTAGGAGGAAGGGGGCGGAAGTAGTAATTTTTTCGGGAAAGGAATAAAATATATCAAATGCAACGCAAATTGCTGGTTGTTCCAAGTACTTTTGGCAGGCATTGTAGGTATGTCTAAAAGGAGCATGGTCAGGGGGCATGTTGTATTGGTATAGGATTGCCAGATCGACCTTTTTCAGGCCAAGTTTTCAAATTGCCTGCAAAATTTGTTT